AAGAGATATAATGATTGAAGCTTGAGCATGTTCTTGAAGCTGATACTTCTTGAGATGAGTGATCAGTGACTGCAGATGATTTTAACTGTGAGGAAAAGAAAATATCTACAACATTTGAAAGTATTCTAGCTGATTATACAGTGATAAGACAGTACTGATCAGCAATGAGTGTGAAATCTCTGATATATCAGTGAACTCACTATGACATGAATCAGATGGGAAAAAAGAGATCAAATTCAAACTTGAATATATCTGAAAAAGAGATACAGTCTGTGATATTATTTCTTACTCTTGACACATTTGATCTCTGCATGTGAGATTCAGCAGATCATTCAGTTTAGCCTGAAGATGTTGTATATGATAGTGAAATCAGCTGTTATTATATAGATTATAGTTCAGATTCAGTTGATTCTTGTCATTGATAAAGCAGCTTCAGCATAATCTTCTTACTGTTAATTCTTTGATCCCTGTATTACTATTTTGCTGCAGCATATCTTCAAGAAATGCAATGCAAGATGCAATCACTCTTATCTTTTTTTCATCAATATTCATCATAACCTTCTCACAATTCAATGTAGATAAGTCATGTGATAATACAGCAACTGTGTCAGGAAAATTGATATCATGGAGATTAAAGATTAGGATAAAAATATTGTTTCACTTTGAGCACTTGACAGTGCTCAGTGCAGAAATCAAATAAAAACTCATCAAGCTTCAGTACATGTTCTGATATAAATCAAATTCATCAATAAATAATTGATATGACAGGGAAATAACTTGTATATCAGAATAAAATATGCTTTTCAAAAGATCTTGTTCATGTGCTGCAATTTCCAACTCAGTCTGAATCAGTGAAGATTTGCAATATGATCATATCTCAACAACTTCAGTTTTAATCCTCATGACTCAGTGAAGAAAATACTGACCTTGACTCTCATATACTGACAGATCAGAATCTGATTCAAATGCTGTATTTATATGAATGTCAAGTTGATCAAGAACTTGAGTAATTGAGATATATTTCATCTCATTCTTCATTGTGATTATTTCAAAGAGACTAAATGATGAATTCAAGGATGATAATCTTTGTGCAGTCTGTGAAGTATAGTGAACAGCTTCTTGAACTTTCAGAACTATTATATGAGGTCTCATATCTGAATGTCAGTGATCATGTCTGACAAAATGCACTCTTTCAATGTGAGATATATCATTCAACTCTGATTTGCAAAAGCATTTGAGATTCTCACACTGATACTGAATAAAATCAGAAGGAAAAATAGGTTTATTTGATGAATATTGTGTGAAGTCATCAGAATAATATTTGACTGAGCTTCTTCAACTGTGAGATTGTCATAACTCTGTGAGATTGTTGACAATTTCTGCCATTTCTATATGCATTTGTTGCTGGAAAGTTGGGGATTTGAGGAGAGCAGATATCAAGGGAATTAGATTTTAAAAGTAGAGTGATCTCATGAAGAATTCAGTGAGATTTTTCTGAGTAGAACTCAGAGTTGGCATTTGCATTGATGACACTATTGAAATTGAGGTTTTCTTGACTGACAAAATTGGAAATTGTGCTCTGCATTGCTTTTTCAGAGTTGAGAGGCCTTCTGAGAGCAGACTTATCAGTGATGTATTCTTCAATAAATGCAGAATTTGCATTAATGATTTGTAGTTTTTTCAGGAAATACTCAACTCTTCAGCCCAGAGTTTCATTGTCAGAATAAATGAATTCATTTCAAAGTTACTGTGTTTGTGAGATATATCAATTGCTGGATCAGAATCAACAAATTAATCAGTAATAGTAACAGTAATTGCATCAGCAGCTGGCATTTCAATATCATCAGTGACTGGCTCATCAGAATCCTCTTAATCATTATTTTCAGAAATATTCTCCTCAGCAGCTGCTTTCAAAAGCCACTTAATATGCTCAATATTATCAGCAGCATTCTCATTATATGGCTCTGTCTTTAGAAAATGTTAGTTTTTATAATAATAGAGACATTAAAAGTGATAAACTTACTGAAAATAGCAATGCTTCTTCATCAGAAGCATCATTATTGAAATCACTTTCAGTGAAATCTTTATTTGCAGTTTCTGGGAAAAGAGGGCTCTGAGGTTGAAATTCTGATTGATTATCCCCGGATTCTTGTCTAGAGACAGATAGCAGGTAGTGTTTCAGATTTCAATTAAACAGATGCGACATTTTACTTTCTGATATGATTTGTAGAAAAAAGTTGCATAGTTGAAAAGATATAAATGAAGTGAATGAGTGATCTTGATAAAATAAAGAGATGAGATTGAATTATTAAAAAGAGATATATTAATAAGAGCTACAATCAGTGACAATCTACATTAATTTAATATTAACAATCAAACTACTTTCTTTGTTTCAAAATTATATTCCTGCAATTTATTGAAATTCATATCACAAATTTATCAGAGTTTCATCAAGATTCTGAAAATGAACATTGTCATGAATTCTGCTATACTAGATCTCTTCAAACTCTTCCATCTGATAGGTTTAATGAGACAAATCACTGATTTCAAAAGAAATTTGATATTGACATATCTGAACATAGAATGAACATAATGATAGCAATAGTGAATATCAGTCAGATGAGAAGAAGTCAAACTTATCACTGATATCAAGCAGTCTGTTAAAAAGGTGTCACTGAACCCGGCATCTGAATACAGAAATGTATAAGAAGGAAATTCAGCTGACAGAGCAGTGTCTGTGTCTGAAGACAAAATGAATGTATTTTCTTTCTTTCAACAAAGATAATTTGAATTGAATGATTGCAAGTGTGATAAAAACAAAGAATAAAATATCATACATCTTTTCATTCAGTAGAATGATGATGCTGAATGTGATTAAAACATAAAAGTTCTGAACTCTCAAAGAAATGAAGACAAGTAGTATTAGATTTTAGCAAATATATCAACTTTTCAGTGAGATATTAAAATTTTTTTGATCAACTTAGCTAATCATTTATTAATATAGAATCATGTTCAATGAAAGAAGGCAAAGAGCAGAGAAAGTTTGATAATAATTGAATTGCATAACTGCTATGAAGAATCAATCATCTTTGAATACTTCTGTGATTCATTTATTGCTGAAAAGTTCTTTCTGATTTTTTACTGAGTGTGAGAAATCATCAACTTTGATCAATCCTCTGAGTGAGAATAATGATATATGAAACATAAGTTGAATATTCATTAGTTAAAGATATTGAATTGAAAACTTTGAATTGAAAAACTAGAAACTGATTCTGAAAAATAGAGATATATGCCAACCTTGCAACTCAGGTCAAAATATTTGATAATACTGACATAAATGAAAATTCCGCTGCAGCTATACTGCAATGATAAAATATTCTGACATTCTGAGATCTGATAGATGATATTTCTGAATATCAGTAAATTGTCAGAGATAACTTTGCTGAGATGATTCAGAATACTCTAACAGTAAAAAAGAGACATCTGATGAAAGATGTATGAGAGAAGGTGTGAAAAAAGATCAAATTTTCAGAGACACTTCTGATGAAAGACAGATCAGTGATGTAGAGATTTCTAACACAATCTATTTATATTTCAATATATTTAGTTTTCTATGAGTTTTATATATAAATTAGTTAATATATACTTTAATACATATAATTAGAATATACCTGCCTTGATATTTACTGAAGAAAGTTGTCATATTCTCTATCTTGTAATTTATATAGGATTTGCTGATTTCACTGTATCAGAAAATCTTGAATTCTGTAGATATATTCCTGACAGTGCATTGAACACTTGTTCCTAGTTAATAGAAATGATTTTATATTTAAAATAGCTGTAATTCAATCAGCAATAGCCTGTGTAAAAAGTATTAAGATATGAATGAAATCTGTCAGATGTGTCAATTACACTCAGAGATGAAATATGAAAGCATTTGCATTTATTGCATGATAATCTGCAAAGATGAATCAACAATATATATAAAGACTTACATTTTTCTTTTCCTTCTTTTCTTCTTTCTTCTTCTTGCAACAATAATATATCACAAAGATCATTTTCAGCTCACTCAGCTCATTCTGCTCTTCTTTATCTCTCAGCTCAGTTAGTATTCTGTCAGTTATAATAGAAAGCTTTTAATCAGAAAAGTTCTAATCAAGATATCTTATCTGTATAGTATATCAAGAATATCAGCAATTCATTGTATCAGTATCAATCACAGCAATAATAATAGCAGCAGTATCAATCACAGCAATAATAACAGTAGCAGTATTAAAATAGTAAGCAACACTCTCAAGTGTACTTATATCACTGCTGCAAAGACTCAAGAGAAGAAAGCAAGCAGCTGTCTGAATACTCTGACAAAGCAGTCTGATAAATGAACAATGTGTGAGCACTGTATTGAGTATATTTTTCCCTGTCATTTGAATGCTGCTTGTGATAAGATGAAGAAAAGCTCAAAGTCTTGTATAAATTATAATCATGAGAAAAAGAGATGTACAATTATTTCTAAAGAATTAAAAGAATAAGTTAATAATCTGATCTGAACTCACAACTTTTATCTTTCTATATTGAATGATTTCAAGAAAATAATAAAGAAGACTATATTGAAATCAGTGAAGAATCTTTCAAAACAGATCAAGAAAGTCAAAACTCACTGACAGAAAGTGAAAGCTCAATGTATGAAGAGTATTACTATTATTCTGAAAGCTCTGAATATCATCATCAGTGCTGCTGAAAAAGCTAAAATTGAGATTAAGAAGATCAAGTTGAATATTGAAAGAGTAAAATTAGAAATTGAAAAGAAAAAAGTTACTGCAGAAAAGAAGAAAATCATGATTAAAAAGACAAAACTTGATATTGAAACTATCAAGCTTGAAGTGCATTATAAGCTTTTGAGAATGATAGTCAGTTATATTAAAGAATAAAAATTGATAATAAAGAATCTCACAAATTTGATAAATAATGTTAATATCAAAACTAGCTATATTATCATTGAGATGTATGAAATAATGAAGCATGTTCAGAGACTTGCAGATTATCTTGATAAGAATTCAGTTACAGTCAGCAACAGCAGCAGCAGCAATGAGAAATTTGATAACAGTGATAATTCTCTTCTCATCTCTCTCACTGATACTTCTACTACTGCTGTTGATTCTTTCTCTTCTTTCTTCTTCAATCTTTCAACTTCAGTTGATTCTCTGGCTATGAGCAGCACTGAAACTCTCAACATTCTTGATGAAAAAGTAAGTTAGAATCAGTGAAATGATTCTCAGATTTATACAGAAGTTAATAATAATATAGATGAGTAAACACATGACTTCTGATCTCTCTAAAATCCTCTCTTTCAAACAGTGAATAGTCATTGATACTGATTCTTCACAAACTCTAATACCAATTCACAAGTTCTCTGAAATAAATGTTGATGTGGATATGACAGGAAATGATGATAATGATATAGAGATGATTCAGAGAATCTGGGAGGAATTACAGGGGAACATGACAGATTTTCAATAGAGGATGATTCCAGTGAATGAGACATTTTTTAGAATTAGTGATTACATAGATAGGAATCAGTGACATTGTCAATACAATGATGATTTTGTTCTGTTCATAACTCATTTATGGTGATTCCACAGCTAATCCACCATTATATTATATTTTACGGTTCGGCGACGGTGTCGGCGACTGGCATGGCGGAACAACCATAACCCGGTCGTATAATAAGCCTACGTTTTTCCGGAATGGCTGTGTTCTGCACTACTTGTGATAGGCAGCCCCAACCTGCTTTTGCTGTGACGGACTAGACAAGTTTGAATGTGTGTAAAGAACATGTGCATTATACACGGAGCCACATCAGCTCAACGACTCAACTGGAATGAAGTCAAGAGATATGCGATCGGGGTTTCGTCATGAAACTCCAGCCATTGCTCTTTTTTCCTGTCAATGTATCTATAAATCCACCCGTACCTGGATTTGGAGGTTGGTTTGACAATGGGGTGTGAAAACAAACTATCAAATATTCTGACCATTCACCATCAGTGGACGGAGTACTCCGTACAGTATTTCCATTTCCTCTCTTAACCAGAGTTTTTTAAGAGGCTAATGCCTGTTGCATCTGAACAGACCAGCTACAGTTTATAAAGCTAGAGCCTACTGCGTAAGTCTCAGGCTGCTCTGGAATCAAAGATCCTTGAATGGTAACAGTATTACAGCTCAAATTCTTAGCGCTAATCAAAACTTTCAAGGATCCCCCGTAGATACGTATATATTTACATAGGTGTGAATAACTCTACGCTAACCCATTCAAACAATGTTATCACATCACATACATGATACATAGAGTTATTACAACGGGAACCTAACCACTCCCCGCTGTCAATGCCTTTGGTCCTTCAGACTCGGGTACGGTACGGGAGGACATAATAGGGACCATCACACATACCTCCGCCCCACCAAAAAAAAAAAAAAAAAAAAAAAAAAAAAACACCACCAACTACCATTTCCCTCTCCGAATTGTGATGGTTGGTTTAAACTTTCGTGCTTCCTGTGCCTGGTTCCTAGAACACAGATAAGTATGTAATCTGGTAATTTGGCTTTTGGGGAAAATTCTTTGGAAGTGGGCTTTGTTTTGGAACATTCACATATTAGAGAGGCTTGTCATTTTGACTCTTCAGTATGGAGAGTGTGTTGGGGGGGAGTTATGTTGATTTTAGGGGCTAGTACTATATAGCTCCTTTGTTATTTACTATGAGGATATGCATATAGGGTGGTGATGAAGAGGTCAGAAAATAAATCAGCGTCATCGAGTAGATGTAAATAGCTATATGAAGTTGGAGATTTAGATGTACAGAGCGATTACGATCAGGGCAACAACAGTGGTCTAGCAGAAGTAGGGACTAATCTGAGAAGCAAATAGAATGAGGGTATATATATCTGCACACACACAACACACACAGGTTGTCATGTGATATTTGTAAAGGTAAATGGTGTGAGAAAGCCAGATATATATATCTATATCCATGGATAGGTGATAGAGATGAATGAAGGGGTGAATGAATCAGAAACTCAGGATATCGTACAGCGTCTGCGTCTCAAGAAAGACAACCACATCATAATCATGATCGCAAGGAAGGAAATCCGTCGTCCGCCATTACCCTAAATAGCACAAGTCACGTTGGACATGAAGACCAGCTCAAAGTGCATCAAGAGTGGAATATGGCTGGCCTGTACTCTGTAGAATGCATGAACTTGAAATTGACAAGGGATGATGAACCCCTCAAAAAATAGCATACTTGACAAGAGAAGACCAAAAGAAAAAAAAAATTCTACACACCCCCTCCCTTCCCAACACCGCCAAAGTTCCTGAATAGTCCTCACTCAAATCTCCTCAGCTTCACTCCCTAACTCCTCCCTGACAAGATCTCTACCCTCCTCAGGATCATAAGCACCCTGCCCGTCAGCATCCTCATCCTCCTCGTCACTACTAGACCCGCTCCCCTCACTTTCACCCTCGCTACCAGGATCATAGTCCTCCTCCTCCTCCTCTTCTCGATCCTCCATCTCCCTCTGCGCCTTCATCAATTCAGACTCCTCCTCCTCCTCGCCCTGCCCAGCATAATTACCAGCTCCAGCACCCACAGCACCATCAGCGCCGTCATCCCCGCTCTTCACGCCGTTGATGTTAAGTCTCTTAGCCCGACGCGCCTCAGCCAAGCTGGCATCTTGCAGCCCGTGCTTTTTGATATAGGCGTCAATGCCCGGGTGGTTCGACTGGTCGATCATGGAGAGCTCGAACTCCTGCACCTCGTCTGGATTTAAGGGGGAGCGGGCGGCGATGTTGAGGTTGAAGGTCCGCTGGAGCACAGAGGTGTAGGATATGGAGTCAATGTTTTCGAGGGAGAAGAAGATGAGGGGCTTTTTGAAGCCGAAGAAGATGCCCGTCGAGAGGAAGAAGAGGAATCCTGTTGGGAGTGAAAACACAGTTGTTAGTATAATATTAGCATTCGTAAAGGCGCCCCCTTTATTCAAGGTTTACATTGTGTATATAGGCATATCGCAGGGAGGGAGTGAGTAGGTTGAACAAATGAAGCATATATTTGACTCACCTTCCTTGCTCCCCCGGAACGCTTTGACATGATACGCCTTATCCCCTTTCCGATGGGCTTCAGGGGTCGGGCTCACAAATTCTTTCTCACTCGGGCAAATCACTTTCGTATGCCGTAGATTATCATCAAGCATTCGCTTCAGATAGCTTTCATATGTCTCCGCAAGATTTGCGCTCTCCATGGCTGGTGTGCCTGAGCCTAGGAATGCGGTTCGTGGCGGGCCATCCGGAATGGTCCAGACAATTGGCTCGAATGCAATTTGGTCATCGGGGACAGTCGTGATGCCATCCCCGTACTCGGGAAGTATACAGAAATTAAACTGCCGTTGAGTTTTCTCTGGGACAGGTAGGCAGAGGATATGCTCTATGCAAGGAGTTGTTCCGACGGCGTTAGTCAAAGGACCTTGGAGTTGTACGAAAGGGAGAAAAAAGAAATTAAAGATAGAACAAATAAAACAAGCCAAACTCACGAATCTTCGACATCGGAATCCCAAACTCCACCTCATTCGACGCCTGATTCCGCGCCCTCAGATATCCATCCTTCCCACCAGCAACAGAGGGCGCCAACCGCGTCAATTCCAACCGCAACTTCTTGCGCTGCGGAATAGCAAACGATAGGTCCTGTAAATAGAACTGTAGCTCAGTATCAGCCGTTAGGCCCGCTAACAGCGCTGCATCGTTCGTAGAACCAGCTCCCGCTCCCGCCCCTACTCCTACACCTCCATCGATGAGTTTGCGTTTCTTTGCCGCCGGGCCTTCTCCCGCTGCAACTCGTAGTTGGGAAGATGCGGATGACCCGCCACCTAGTCCGCTGCGGAGCGTGGAGGTATATTTTGCGATGTCTTCGAAGAGGCTGGTGTATTCGGGGGTGGAGGCTGGAGGTTTAATTTTATAGTGTTAGTTTATTGTATAGCCAAAAGAAAAAGGCAATTGAAGTGACTGGTAAGGAAGGGATTTGATCAATTTTTCCCCTATTTTTTCTTTCTTTTTCTGGTTTTTGACTGATGTGCAATTTTTTTGAAATGTTTAGATGGATCGGAGGTGTGACTTTACCAATCGCGGAATAGACGCGTTTGCGGAGCGGTGCGTTATCCTCGAAGGCCTTGTCGATGACAGCGTTATTGATGGTACTCGAGGACATGTCTATGTTGTGGTAAGTAAGTATTTCGAGAAATTAAGAGGATGGCAGAGGGGCGGTTAAAAAGTCCGAGTGGGAAGGTGACGGGAAATCGTAAGCCAGGATGGGGAACAATAGAGGGAAAGGCTGGGCAGTTTCTTCTCCACGGTGTTAATACCCCGTGTTACTAAGAACAATGTATATATTCGTAAGGACTTCTATTTCTTAAACGGCTCACCAAGAGATACAATTAACAGATAAAGTGAACTAGATTTATCCTAATCATATCATACAACAGAGAGTCTTGTATTTTACAGGCGGGTTAAAACAGGTGCATCCAGAACAATGACAAGTGTGACCCTTCCTTTAGAAAACGCCCTTTCAACCTCCCCACAAGCTACGGAACTAAGAAAATTATAAAACCCGGCCCTCTCCGCGCCCCTAAGCGGGCACCTTTGACGCAGGCTTGCCCTGGCTCTGCTTCTTGGCAAGGAACTGCTCGATATATGAAGCGGTATCCTGAGGAACAACATAGTTTCCATTCTCATCTTTCTGCTGCTCCCGTTCCATTGCTCTCTTCTGGGCCTTCTGGGCCATAAATGCCGTCTTCGGCGTGACCCAGGGCGTGTTCCGCCGCTTCTCCATTTTCCTATCTTCCTCCTCCTTCGCCGCAACCCACTCGGGATCGTGCCGAGTGCGGAACTTCGAGAACTTATTCCTCAGCTCATCGATGATGGTGGCAGGGAATGGGTAGGCGTTGAGGGAAGGTATATGTGTGCGATCCTCGACCTCGATTCGCAGGGTATCGGCCGGTTCGTCGACGTGGGTTGGGGCGGCTGGCTGGGGCCAGGGGATTTCTACATCAAGGTCCGAGATGTATCGAGTGTGCTTGGGTGTATCTACGCCGTAAGGATGGTCCATGTAAGGTTCTCCGCCATACATGTGTTTAACCACGACGTCTTCCACCTTGCCCGTTTCCGAGTTGTGGAGGGGAACTACGAGCCGGACGTCTTCGAAGGGAACAGGTAGAGGGATTGGCCGGTATGGACGTTTGTCGGGCTCATTTGCTAAGATAAAATCGGGATAGCGTACGTCAACCTGATTTTATATTTTCGGTCAATGAGCATGTGCGTCCCTTTTCGTTTTCTCACGCCCGCAACCTGCACTGCACACACGCCGTCCGGGTTAGGATTTAACTCACGCTGTTGACACCGCTGACGCTGAGTGTTCCAGATTCAGCATCCACACTGAAGACCTTGCCAATCTTCCCCCGATCCGGCCCCTTTAACACGACCACCCGATCTCCCGCCGCGAAATTGACAAGCTTCGTCCTATCCTCCCGGGGAAGCGCCGGGGGCCGAGTGCGCTCTGGTGTTAAGGTACCATATGCCCCCTCAAGATCCGCCGCATCTCGCTTCGGCGCCAACGGGCCCTTTAGCCAGTCTTCCCGTCGGGTTTTTCGTTCTGCTTTGATCTGGTCGATAATGATCCGCTCGTACCGTTGTCGCTCTTGGAAATATTTTCTGATTTCGTCGCGCCTGTCTCGCTCTGCTTGGATCCTGGCCCTTCGTTTAGCCTGGTTGGCGGCAAGGGCTGCCCGCCTGATGACTTTCTGCATAGCTGTTAAAAAACAATGGCAATCAATGAAGGATCTAGGGCGGGTGCTGTTCGAGAGCGCACGACGACTGGTAGGTTCCCTCACGTTGGTTTCGAGGCGTTACTTGATAGGAATTTTAAATATATTACATAAGCACCAAATGTCTTGGCGATAGGATAGTTATCTCTGCATCGAAGATTTTCGGCGCCATGAATAAGTATGTATTCAACAATCATAAATATTCACACTGATGAAGAAGCGCTCCACTTATGCTCAGGCAGTAACCTTGAATAAATCATTATATGTGCATTGTGTGTGTGTGTGTTTTATTAACCTTCCCAGCATCTACAGGCCTTTTAACTTGCTTGTCAATAGCACACAAGCTACAGAACTCATTAGAAGCAGCTGCAAGGTAAGTCATTCATAAGAATGAGCAATAAATGAATTCAACCGTAATTGTACGGAGTAGGTATGGATGTATCTTTAAATTATATTGAAGATGCTTTCTTGAGCTCAGCACTGTTTCCGTACTTAGAAGACAGCATGAAAGAAATCTTTAGGTGATATCTATGTCAGCAATTCACGAGTGTCAAAATCTAAACGTTCTGGTTCTCGTCCCCGGTGGCCTTGGTGGCATTGTTTATTGGCATTGGTAGGTGGAGCATTATATCTTTGCAAAGATCAAGGGAGTCATCTTCGCGTTCTTAGGCTTGATTTCGCCGTCTTTGGCTGGTTATAGGGGTTTCTTCACGGTTGGTATTTGATTCTTTTGCTGACGGGCATCTGGTTCTTTTCTGGAGGATATCAGGTTTTGAGGTATTTGAATGAATGATGAAAAGAAGAGGTCTTTAATGAAAGATTATTACATGATATAACCCTCTTCACATATGCAAGGGCTTCCTAACCTGTAAGAGAGGTTGTAGGGGTTCGTTGTTATGATCGAACTAACTAGCTAGCGGTAGCTAATGTAATGTACGTGTACATAGCCTGGCGGGTTGATTCACTGAACCACAGGTACTCCGAACAGTGCTAATAACTACGGAGTAGAGGAAATAACAACAGACATATCTCCCAACGGGCCTGGAGCGCGATATGAAAGAATAAGTTCTCAGAGCTGGAGAATTAAAAGTGGATAGCAAGCCGGCTCTCGTTCCAAGGTTCAGCCGGGCAGCACCCTTTTAATAATATGGAAAGTTCAAGTTTGAATATGACTGGGTGAAGAACAGAGCAGGATCTGAGACAGCGGATGGCTACAGCAGGGTGATGGCAGCTGGCCCAGGGGTGCACGGCTGTATCAGGAGAAAAATGCCAGATTCTTCCCCCCCAATCCTCATGTTGTACAGAGTAAATAGCCCGTCTTTCCTCTGAATAGACAGAGCTTGATCATCCCTGCAAAATGTCATCCATGGAAGGATGGTAGTTAATTCGAGCTTCACTTGTGAGGTACCTTGCATGCTCAGTAGTGGCCACTGGCCAGTGACCAGGGAGACGACGAAGGCGAGGGAAGGATACTGAGGATTGAATGAAGACCAAGGTTCGGCGGGAGAAAAAAGCTTTGGGGTGGTGTGGAGTAGAGCAGGTCCACCGTAGCTGTTTCAAATGCAACATCTTGGAAATCATCGTGGGAAAAACTGCCTTGTCAACGACGGTTGTGACTCAAAGGGGAATGGCGGCGGAATTTCGCTTGTCAAGCCCCGCCTGATCTGTCGTGGTGTGGCGCGTGGACGTGTGGCTGTGCCGACACGGAGTTATTCAAGTCTGCCTTGATGCTGTAAAGTAAATTCTTGTACTCCGTAGAGTAAAGATACCGAGGTCCTGTACATGTACTGTACATGATATTGATGTATTTTTGATTTTTGATAGATTATATGTCTGAACGAACATCATGGGGTCCCGGGAGAGAGCTCCGTAGCCAACAGAGTTTGGACAGAATAATGAACTGCCTTTTGGTCACTGGGCCTAGGTCCTCGGGCAGCCCCAACCCTTTTTTAGGTGCTGTATGTACTGTACGTGGAAGAAAGAGGCCTTCCGCGGACATGGATATATTTGAAACGCACCGCCACAGATGGCCATCCGGTTTGAACGAGACACACTCTCTCTGGATATTTTATGCGACGGGGACGGTTTACCTGAATGGGTAGAAGTTTGGACCTGCCATACGTTGTCAATGAAATATTAATAAGAAAACCATCGACGTGAAGAATCAGATATCTGGCTCTTGGGCAGGAAGATAAAAGTGAAGGTTAAATGCAGATAAGCAAAGCTCAAAACCAAGCAAATGGTTTGGTAGGAATCAACGGAGCTAGGTAATAGCAAAATATGCGCTTCCACCGGCGAGCTGCAGATCTTGATGCAAGAACTCGCCAACTTGATAGTCGTGGTTGGGCCATGATAGGATTGAGCTACCAGTGGCGGATGCGCACAAGGACGGGGCACGTCGAAACAGCTCACTTAGACATCACAGGACAGCAACTAAGGAGCAGCAAATGCAAGCATTTCTCCTCATTTTCCCCCCCTCTTTCTGTATTTTCATTTTATTTTATTTTTCTTGCTGCTGGGCTTTTGCCTAGGCAAATGCTCGTTCCATGTCAATCACCAACATTTAGACAAGGCAGCGAATTCGAAGATGCACGTTTCTATACTGCATTTAGGACTGGTGGACTGTCGGGGGTGGAATGAGGGCTTTGCGTGTGAACAATAATGTGCTTTAGATTTATTATGCATCTTTTCTGCTTTGCTGGAGGCTCCATATTTTGGGTTTTGTTCTGACAACCTTGGATTGGGCCCGAGAGGGGAAGGAGTTAATTCTCCGAGGTAGCGGCATTCACGCGCTGACTTGCAACAAAGCGCTGACTGGAGCAGTCTGATGGCATTTTATGTACATGTACATACACAGCACAGTGCAATAATAAAGGTAGCTATTGTGATGCTTGATGATGAGTATTATTTATCAAAACATGAGTGTGTATGTAGTAAGCATGCCAGCGATTATCTGTATCGAACGAGACCTGTGTATATATTACGGGTATGGTAACCTATTGTATGTTACTACGCCCAAGGGTGGTCCGGCGGTGACACCCGCTGAGTCAGCGGAGGCTTGGCACTGCCAAGCCCCAGCCCAAGCCGCCAGCGCCGCCAAACGAGGCTAAGGCCCTTTTACAGGCAAACCAGATAAACCGCTTGTGCTTCCGCCTGCTGCTCGTCTCCATCCAACCTCCAACCTCCAACCTCATCCCCATCCTCGTCTTCATCCCCCATCATCCACACCCTTTCTCCACGCATCTTGCTTTCCCTCTGCCCATCGTCCATCTTTCTTTATTCATCTCTCCATCCCTTAAGCGGCTATCTCGTTTGCTGCTGGGCTTGTCTCTGGCTTCTTGTCTGCTACTCTCACTTCTTCCTCCTTTTGTTTGAGGCTCCCTGCTCGCCTCTCCGACTCTCATCTGTAGGTATGGTCTTCGTTCTTTTCTCCAACCTCCAAACAACATCATGAACTCCAGAAACTGCAATGACGACGGCAGCAACACTAGGAGCAAGAGCAGTAGCAGCAGTAACTCGCCTTCTAGCAGCCACTACCAGTCTGCCACCTCTACAAACCTTTTCATATATTCCTTGCTTTCTTACGCTGCTGGTGGTATTGCTGTCGCCAAACTATTGCTACTCTGGCTGTCTGTTACTTTTTCTTGAGTTTGATGACTGATCTATCTCTAGTGTGCTACCAAAATGGCTGAGATCCGCCGCAAACTTGTCATCGTTGGTGATGGTGCATGTGGAAAGACATGTCTACTGATGTAAGGCTCTTCTTTAACTGGTCTATGGGACTGATTCTGTTTGTCTTTCTATCTGAAAAGTACTAATATATGACTTGATTTTTTACAGTGTTTTCTCCAAGGGCACCTTCCCTGAGGTACATACTTGCAATGCACAGCATTTTATGCTAGACTCGGAGTAATCCCTGGCCGTGTGATGAAATTTATATATTTATAGATATTCACAGATCAAAGACATGAATAGTCAAGCTGATGTTTCTCTCACTCAAGGTCTATGTCCCAACTGTTTTCGAGAACTACGTGGCCGATGTTGAGGTCGACGGAAAACATGTCGAGTTGGCACTTTGGGATACGGCTGGCCAGGAAGATTATGACCGCCTCAGACCCCTCTCGTACCCTGATTCCCACGTTATCCTGATTTGCTTCGCTATTGATTCCCCTGATTCGCTTGACAATGTCCAAGAAAAGGTAGAGGACCTAAAAACGTGTTGACTTCGATTTTCGAACGTATGTTAACCATGTCTACAGTGGATTTCTGAGGTTCTGCACTTCTGCCAAGGCCACCCAATTATCCTCGTTGGCTGCAAGAAGGATCTGCGTCACGACCCTAGAACCATTGCGGAGCTGACCAAGACGTCCCAGAAACCCGTCACCCCAGAACAGGTATGACACAACGACCGCCTCCTTCGTTAGCTGAAGTTGTTGAAATCACTGGTGCTAATATCTTACAGGGTGAGGAGGTCCGCAAGAAAATTGGCGCTTACAAGTACCTGGAATGCTCTGCCCGGACAAACGATGGTGTTCGTGAGGTGTTCGAGTCCGCTACCCGTGCAGCACTTTTGGCAAAGAAGGAGAAAAGATCGAAATGCAGAATCTTGTAAATTTCTTTCTTATGTTTCCAGCCCAGCCATATCGATCTGGGGTCTCAACGGCTAAGCCTTCTGGTAACTGGGACAACGATATCTGGACAGATTCTTTCCATGGCTCGCGGTGTCTGTCGTTGTGTTGAGATGGTGTGGATTGTCTGAACCATCTGCATGGGTACTCTTAATATGGATCATCTGGCTATGCAATTGGTCGGCTTGATATTTTCATTTCCGGAGTCTATCTAGGGAGCCCTTTTTAATAGCCTCAAAGAGGCTAGTCCCAACTCTCGAATTTGGCCAATCGATGCATATATCGCTTGTTCACCTATTTCCTGTGAGATTTTGAGCAACCTCCTTTCAGAAGAAAATCCGAGAAAGGTCGACAACAATAAACAAGAAAAAAAAAAGACAAAATTTCCTTCAACTCTATTTCTACTTCTTTCTCCGGCCATCCACGAGTGCCTTATCCCATGTCCCACTCTGTTTTATATCGATCGAAACCAACCGAGAGAATGAAGCACTGGGGGAATCTAATATCTAGTGTACCAGATCATATTCCCCTTTTTGGCTGTGGGCTATGCGTTGTTTTCAGCTTGACTCTTTCGTTTTAAATTTTCCTTGACTAAGATCTTATTTTACTTTACTGGCTTACCTGATTTTTTATCTTTATTTTTTTTATTTTTTATTTTTATTTTTTTTTTATTTTTTTTTTTTTTTTTTGCGTTTGCGTTTTTTTTCGTCAAAATAAGAGCGTTGTGATCGTTACCAAATATTCTGGGCCTCTGTATTCCTCTCCTTGCTCGGCTAACCATTCACACAAATATACCGCACCGCCCAAGAGCTAACGTCCCCCTTCGAACCATATACAATACTTAGTTTTAGAGAGGAAACGGTAGTCCCCAGCCCCCGTGCTCCGCTTGAACGACCCCAACATTTCCATATATTTTTGTTTTCCGTTTCCCCCATTTATTTTTATCCCCTGAATTCGGTTTATTTCTTACACCCTTTCCTAAATCCCCGGGTTTTTGCTTGCCTACTATATCTTTATTGCTCTAGCCCCCTTTTTATATTATTTGATTTGACTAAACTTCCCTTGGTGCCTATTTTTTGCTCTATGGGTTTTCCCTGTTGTCCTTTCTCCCCTCAAGTTTTGTTTCGATTGCTTGTTCTCTGTTGTCAGTCACTCTTGCTTCAAGTCTCAAATCTCGGAGAAGCCCTTATCCTGCCTGTCCCAGTGCCAACCCTCGTTGCGGTGCCCATGCCTCCTCCACCCCGTCGTCTCCATGTCTAGCCTGGCGGTATAATAATCTCTTGAAATTCAGGCGTATACAATCAGAAATATTTCGTTTTGCTCAATTAGAGAACCTTTTCCTGCTTCTTCTTAATCTCTCTCTCCATGTCTTGTCGGGATGCAGCTTCCCCCTATTTCTTCGGGCTATCGCGTTTGCATGCATCGGATCCATATAACTACATGGTGTAGAGTAGATGGCGTAGCAAGCAGGTCGAATACCTCCTGTTCGTAATATACATACAAACATGCGAGCTCGTCGGTTATTGTAGTGTAATTTCTTTCAAATATTTTAGTTTCCCTTTCCCTTCACCCTAAATCTGATGTGGACCTGAAAGACGCCGCGAGACATTCGGTTTATTTTGAATGAAGGATGAAGCTTTGCGATTATTTGTTGTTTACCCTGCTATGGTGTCCATCCTTGTCCGGGACAGTGGTCGGGCTTGTCGGGGTTATCGGGGTTCATCTGTGCTAATAATCGCTAGTAAGGAGGCGTGGGTGGAATCTATGTTTGTTTGTTTGTTTGGAGTTTATTTTTTGTTTCCATTTTTATTTTTACTTATTTTTACTTATTCCCCTTTGCTTTTTATTCTCTGGTGCTTATTTAGCCCACCCATTTCCAGTTTGCTGTTGAATCAGGGGGGAGAAGAAATATCTATTCAGTACCTAGTACATGAACATACATCACAGGCATGCGCAGTAACGCAGCACCAAATAATAATAATAAAAAGCCAGAATAAAAAGCCAGCCGATATTCATCAGCGTCGTCGTCACCCGTCTATCGACGGTACGCCCCTAGAACATGCCGCAGTAACTAATAAGTAGTTACCGTTGGTGTTGATGTATCTATGTGTACGTAGGATTTACACAGCAGCTTACTATAACTAACTACATACTAACAACTCTTTTCTTCAGTTTTTCCTGCGTTAAGTAAGACATTGCATGCATGCAGAAGAATGGTTGGGCTGGACTGGTGGAGACGGAACGACCTGACTTACGAATGCGCCCTATTCGACGCGGCGTACGTACTCCCCTGAAATCCTCCGATGGTTAGACACTATTCTTCGTAAGGGTGGATCTAGATGTTGCTGTTTACACAGTAGGCTTGGAAGTGGAAGCGGATCGGGAGAGGAGTGCGACCTGATGAGTACCTGTTATTCATCATTGGCGGATTACGTACAGTCTAACTCCCTACACCGCTGTACTCAAGGTACCTGACGTACTACTACTGTACGAACGTGGACATACGGCTGAATGTCTAGATCTACGCGTAGCGTGCGTCTTTTTAAATTCGTGGGACAGGCTGCCCGGCCGATGCGTGCTATGTAGATACCTACCTATAGTAGGTTGATAGACATGGGGGAACAGTGCGAACGGTATTGTTAAACTAGAATGATGCTTTCACGCCAATGATTCAACTACATATTTTGATTTCATGAGCCTCTCGACTACCTAAGGGCCCCTGGCAGAAGCTCTCAGACGCAATACACTCAGCAGTCGCTTTCCCCCCTCCCCTTTCGCGATGCAAAACTGATTCAGCCTTGGGCTCTTCGCCATATGTTGCACTTGCCTTCCTCTACTAGTCCGCTACCGGTTCAAATTCAACAAGGCCTGGATATACCTCCGCGCATCCAGCCCCACGCCTTCAGCCAGTTTTCCGGGGCCCAACCAGCTTCCTCGTCCATTCCCGGTACTGGACTGCGAGGCGGCTGAGGCACCGCTAATGTCGCGGAAGAATCTCGCTCCGCTGGAATGGCGGGTATGTCCTGACACAGCGCAATCGCTGGCTTTCCGGACAAGAAACGCTTCCTTTGGCGCCTTCGGAGCGGGGGTTTGCTGAAGGGTTGACGGAGTTCGTGACTGCTGTTCCCCTTCGTCTGCTTCACCTTCACCTTCTTCTCCTTCTACTTGTTTGCTAGAATGAGAGCCTACACTGGTGTCCTTAAGCCGCATCCACAATACCCACCAGCCCCGGCTTGTCCTGCACGTCCGCTCAATTTCAGACGCGCGATTACGGGTTTCGATATATGTATTTATGATTTGAGTATGGACATTGATCGTATCCTGGCGGGTCCATGGTGGTTCCGAAGATCCCGGGGATGATAACTTTATCGTTTGCACTGGCATTCCTGGCTCTGGAATGTCGGGAAGTGAAGTGTGAATAAATCGCGCTTCAGGGTCATAGATAAAATCGTAGAGAGGAGACTGTCCACTGGGCTTTTCCTTCGAATTTCGATACTGATCCCAGAGGGGAGCTCGCTGGGGTATTTTGTCCAATGACGTTGACAGTAATAGAGGCTTTTGGAGAGGGCCAATCTGGTGATGGATACTCCGGTAAAACGATGGAGATGAGAGTGAGGATGTTTTAGATTCGAAGAGGAATGTGAACATGAATGGTTGGTTCTGGATTTCCTAATTAGCTCTCGCTGATATGGGGCAAGTTTTTAGTACGAGGTTCTTACGAGATATACTACCACTTGCAGATCCTGGTATTTATCGATGGACGCCGTATCTGTGTATTTTTTTGAGTGGTTAATGTTTGAGGTTAGGCCGCCTGCAACCAAATAGTAACATACCCTCAAAATCCCCATTCGATGCGGACTCCTCCATCATTAGGGTCAATGTTCGTAAGACGGTTCTCTCTTTCTGAGATCCTTTTGCTTGCGGATTCCGTAGTTCGGTAGCCTGCGGGTCATCTTCCTCATCACTATCCTCTATCTCTGGGTCATCACGAAGTCCTATTATAAACCTCCCATTATTGTCTGTCCGTGGGAGCGGCGTGCTTTCTGGTTCAGTAGAGCTTGCCACTGACAAAGAATCGGCCTCTCCTGCAGCTGGTTGAGGGCTGCCACCGAATCTCAAAAAGTTCACTCTAGGATGAGATAGAGAAAAATTGGATGGATCAGCCCAAGACGTCCCGTATCCTAGAGTCAATAATTTCATGAATTTCTCCGTACCAAATCCGGACGGATCGGCGGAGTTTTCTGTAGAGGATTTCGTGCTATCTTGTGCATTAAGGTTACTTTCTCTAGATTTCGACATTTCAGTGGCTTGTTTGATTGTTGAGTTTGGCCCTGCTAGTATGGGAGGAGGAATTCCAGGAGACAAGCTGCGTTTTGGAGTACGGCTCGGGGACTTTGGATTGGGGGCTTTGCTTTCGCCGTTTGAGGTTCCGCCCTCTGGACCTTTTCGTCGCTTGCGTCGATGGATAGATTTCGGATCACGTCTGACCCCAAATGTATCTTCACCATATCGGTATATCCACTCCATCCAGTGAGAGACTCGAGTAAGAGACTGCTTCGAAATAGCCCCGACACCTGAGAATACCACGCCATCGAATGAATGCGGAGGTGTATTACACCCTATCCACGGGTGACTTTCTGCAGCGGACCCTGCGTTTGTTGACTGCTGGCCGGGGGAATTATCTCTCTGGCCGTTGGGAGATGTGTCCCCAAAACGTGATACTACCAGGTCGACTAGGCCGTCTGTTCTTGAAACAAAATCTTCCAAAACTTCGCGTTCTCCGCTTCCCCATTCCTCTTCCCCAACACCAATTCCAAGTTCCCCTGTCGCTGCGAGTTTGATGCCATTGTAGATCTCAACCGCCGGGTTTCCATTCAAAAGAGGATTCCAATTCCATACGAATCTTAACCAAAAATATTCCAGTGCACTGCAAAATGCTGTTCTCTGCAGGCGACTGTAGAGAACACCGAGAGACGGCCCATGATGGAGGAGAAAGATGGAGTGCGCTCTCAGCAATTGCTGAAGGATGAGACGTGCAGGGGCAACTTCGCGGGACGAATATTCAACTAGCGGTTCTGGCGCATTATCTGGTCGTGATTCAGGCGATGTCAGGGGCTCTGAGGATATACGAGTATAGTCGATAGACTGCAAATTTATTAGCGACGAACAACGTCTGGGGGCGAAGGTGTACCATACCGCTAGAATCCACCAACCGGTTTCCAGCTCATGCAACACGATCCTGGACTTTTCAGTTTCGACTGTATCTACCGCTTCACCATTGGAGAAGTTCCTAGAGCGAGCTCAGTTGGTGCTGTACATTTGAATACGGGCGAGATTCGGAGGCGATACCTACTTGGCGAAGCTCACCATGCCTTGCGCCAGACCTATCTGGCGCAACTTCTCATTGTTATCGATTTTAGCACAATCGGTAGCGCCCCTCTGCGCAGCTCTCTGTTGCGTGCTTCTAGCTAGCTTTTCGTTTTCCTTTCTCGAATAGTAGAAAACAATTTGATCTCTGAGAGTTTCATCTGTAGATCCTAGGGATGGGTTGTATATCGCAAGGAAAGAGAGTTGTGCGGGGACAACCGAACTTGGCTGCTTCGGGGGCATTGACCTTCTCATCACACGCCCTCTAGCAATAACATGGCTGTATTGGCCTAGCAGTATACGCCCCGTGTTTAAAACAACGAAGCTGCTTGAATGCTGTCCTGGAGGTTAGAGGTTGCTTCTCAGGCAGATAAGGCTGGGCAACGAGTTATCATCACGTGACATGGATAGGGCTCTAGTTAACCTCAATCTTTACATTCAGTTTCCAAACACCAGATCAACTTCCTTCATGGCCTAATGAATTATATGGTGACCTCGGGGCTATTTATTCTGCGTCGGCCATTTCTGGTTCGTACGACTCATGTTAAAGTTCGATATGCCTCCACCAAGTCATGCGACCCTCTGAGGATCCTCTTCTGCGGGTCAGATAGCTTCAGCATAGCTTCGTTGAAGGCGCTGTGCAAGGAACGCGGAAATAATCCGGAATCGATCGCCTCAATTGATGTTGTCTGCAGGCCTGGGAAGAGGGTTGGACGGGGGCTGAAAAACATTCAGGAAGGTGCTCATATGTTCCTCTCCAATAAATAGAGGAATGTTTCATTTAGCTAACTTTATATATAAAGTCCCAATTAAAGCTTCTGCGACGCACCTGTCTCTCCCTATCCACGAAATTGATACATTTACCGGCTGGAAAGTGAGGATTCCTTACTGTCTCAAAATCTATGATATTCCGATTCCCTAACCACCTTACCCGAGTAGCCTCCGCAACCACAGGGGCATCCCATAAATCTCATCGTTGCTGTATCGTTTGGTCTTTTTATACCTCCTCGAATCTTGAGCTCCGCAAAATATGGAGGTCTTAACGTCCATCCTTCTCTACTCCCAGAGTAAGTCTTAACTTTTCCATTGGCTGAGAAGATAATCTAATGGGATAAATTAGCTTTCGAGGACCGGCACCCTTACACCACACATTGTTAGCCGGGGAAACGAAAACGGGAGTTACACTGCAAACACTTGATCCAAGGGAATTCGACCATGGAGTAATTCTTGATCAAACCCCACCTCCAGGTTTTAGCATACCAGATCCAGATACATGCGATGTTCCGCGGCTGCTGGATTTGGTCTCGGACAAAGGCGCCCAAATGCTTGTAGCAGGTATTCGAAACCGAGTCTTTGTTCCCCCATTGAAAAGTGTGGGATGGTACAAACCAGATAATGAAGCTGCTCTGCGACATGCTGGGAAGATCAAGCCGGAAGATCGACATATAAATTGGAGTTCCTGGACCGCGCAAGAGATAAGTCGACGCCAACGAGTGCTCGGCCCTCTGTGGAATAATGCCGTCACTGAGGCTGGCTCTCCAGGTTCTGGAATCTACGAGACAAAGAGAATAATATTTACCAAGATGGCACTTGATGAGTCTATTGCGGGTGTTCTCGATTCCGTCAAACTGGACCCTGGCGTGATATTCGCATCGGATTCTCGGACGAATGCCAGTGAGCTGGACCGTCCCCTATACGTAACAACGTGCGACCGGAAGATTTTCCGGATAGACGAAATTAAAGTCCAAGGCCAACAATCCGCACCGGCTTATCGAGCCGCTAAGAAGGGAAAATTGTTGGATATTCAGCCTATGTCTTCTCCGTTGCCCGCTAAATTCTTTGCGGGCCTTGTATGATACTGACCTCTGTTAAGGGGTATGGAAAGGCACACAACACAACTAGGAATCATTTATTCGTTGGAATCTATGCATTGAATTCCTTCGAGTTACGCAGGGGTTGGGTGTACAATAGGTGTATGTATACTTTATATTATTGTACTACGATCTGTCTATCTGTTTGCCTACCATAAACATGGCGGCTTACGCAGTTATATTTAAACCATCTCCCATTTCATTTGCCCTCCTTTTAGTGCAATCGACATGGATCACCCAGGTATTTCTTCCCAGCAGCACATGAATTACCGGAAATAGTACCCGGAATCTATATCACAGTCAGTGGCTTTAATAAGCCAAAGACTTCGAAGATGTGGTTTAACTTACCAACTTGAATCTGTTGCCCAGTCATAGAGGTGTTTTTGGCAATTGTGATGAATATATCAGCGCAGTCATCAAGCTCAGGCTATGATATGTGGTTAGCATGTCTCCCATTAACAACTATGAAAGGTCGGCTTGTTACTTACAACGTGCTTTAAAGCAACCTTATCTATATAGTCCTGGATGGCTTCCTTGGGGAATCTCTCGCCCTGTGTCCACATTGTTAATCGAAATAGCCTAGAACTGGCATATCTCATCTAGGTTACACTCACCCATTCGGTGAGGAGAAGCCCTGGGAGGACAGCATTAGTTCGGATCTTGGGCCCCTGAGATGAAGCGAGCGCTTTCATCAAATGCAACCCTATAGTCGAGATGGTTAGAACACTGGCAGCCATGTTTGGAGTGTCCATATCCGCTCACCTGCTGCCTTGGAGACGGAGTATGCCATGCTACTCCCTCCTGGAGTAATGCCCTATAACACATATCTTCAGCAGAAGTTTTTCCCTCAAACGGAAATCAACAATAATATCTAACCGCTGTGGAAGAAGTTATGATAAACACCCCGCCTTCGGGGTTAGCGCTAAACGTCGGTTCCGCCTCTCGGAAGATGTGAAGATTTGCTTTGACATTAGTTGCCCAGCACTGCCAATATCAACAAGAGTGAACAGTGAACATGGAAGATTAGCTCTTGCGTCTTTCTAACTTTCTCTCTCTCTCTCTCTCTCGTGCTTAATGTGGATAGTATGTTAGGGCCTTCAAACCATACCTTGTCCCATTCATCTTCATTCAATGCATTCAGATCGTCGAATTGGGACATTTTCGTCCACCCCTAAAAATGTCATTATTGAAGGAAAATGTTTTTACATATGGTGACGAGGAAAAGTATGTGAGAGGACGGGGGAGCCATACAGCGTTAGAGATCACGATATCTAGGCCTCCCAACTGCTCAATCGTTTGCTTGACGAGCTTGATGCAATCTGCCTGTATACCAACATCCTATATTTGGTTAGATATTTCATTCTCTGAAGTTAACACCGCTCTCATTTTCTCTCATCTTTGCAATACCTGTAAGCCCAATATAAAAAGAAAAGAAAAGAGACTTGTACATACTGCTTGGACGAGAATGACTTTGGCATTGAATTCTTTCTCCAGCTTCTCAGCAGTTTCCTTCGCGCGAGCTTCGTTTGATACATAATTCAGGGCGATATTGGAGCCTTCCGCTGCGAATTTCTCTGCCACCAGAGCTCCCAGGCCTCTATATAAAATGGAGAAAAGACAGAAAGTTAGATTTCAGTTCAATTGTTCTTTTCCCTTTCTACCATTCTTTTGGATTTCCCACCCCCTTCCCTGCAGAGTCCTGAGGAGGGGTGGGGGTGGGGGTGGGTTTGATAGCATATCACAAAACAACACTTCAAGGAGGATAAATATATCGGACCTTGAGCCTCCAGTAATAAGGACATTTCTTCCCTTGAGAGAATATGGCATGGTTGTGTTGGATTGGATTGGATTGGATTATATAGTTGTTGTGGTTTGATTCAAGAGGAAAAATCTTGGGAGTGCTGGGCCGCAGGGGTTAAAGACATCCAGAGCATATATATATAGTACTCTATCTTATTATTTCAGCCAAGAGAAACATCCATGTGCCCCCTCTTGGTGGTTCATAGCAAGCATCTGCTACATGTAGCAAGCAAGTATCAGGAGCCTTCATAGCATACTGAGGGGAAGCATCCTATGGAGTGGAAATTGCCCCTTGTTACTTGTCAATAGCCTCGGCCTAGCGGGAGTTTCGGAGAATGTCAGCCACCGAAAGTATACTGCAGAACTCTGAACTCCTACGTTACCTGATTTCATTTAATATTTTTGCAGGTTTTGCGCCTATACAGGTACACTATTTAGTATGGACATCTGATACACTGTTATCAGCTCACTCCTTTTCTTTGTTTTCTTTGCTTTTCTTTTTTTTTTTCAGAGATTGGCCCCTCCGGCAATATCATACTCACCCTCCGTTTCATTTCATTATTCATCCGCTACTACACCTGGGGATCATGGCTCTGAAGTCATATATCTCCTGCAGTAAATGAGCACTGTTGTTTCCATTGTCACTCCTTTTGATCCTTCGAGGTTTCCTTTCGACGCTGATGGTGGCGGCGCCATCACGAAGTAATTTCCTTACTCATTGCTGCTAGATAGAGGGCATATAGAATGAGATATCTCTTATACTGCTAAAGAGAAGAAGAACCAATCTGCCTCCCTTTTATCCACTGCTGGACCTGCGTAAAGGGCACGTTAGGCCGTAAGGAGCCATGTCCAGGAGACGAGAATATCAGATCAGGGGCTTGCATTGCATTTACTCTGGCCCGCTCTTATTCGAACTTGGTTCTGCTCTTAGTCTGAATATCTTCTTGCTGGGCGCCCGAAGCTGTAAAGCCTGTGTCTGAGTAGGCTGCGTTAGAATTAAATATAATGGAGATGTCATTTTGAAGTAGCTTGTCTGATGCTACTTGCAGTCAGTCAATCAAGAACCGCATGAGAAGCTGTGGCCATTTGTGAAATGAGCGTCCATGTCAGATTTGCTTGCTCCTGTTTACATCTCAACTTCTCAGCCCCTCAAGACTTGCTGTCATTGTTAAAAGGTGTTCATTTCACAACAAAGCTCTGAGACATCACTCACTACTTATCAATCCTTTGAACTGCACCTTAGCTGCCTTCTGGTGTCTTCTTTGACACAAAACACCAGGCGGGAGGTGGGAGGCGATGGGTTCACCTCTGCCTGAGAATAACAATGAAAGTACCCAAACTTCTCACACTGAAAGGGTCAATGCAGGAGACGAAGGTAATAATAAAAAAGATAGCTCCCAAGCTACTATCCCGTTTCAACAGCTCTTTAAGTGGAGTTGCAGATAGCTAACTTGGATCGGCAATCAAACAGCAGCAGATGAAGTACCTGGCAGTAGTAGGGATGCGAACGCTCGTCGTCGACTTCCGTTCGGGCTGCTTGGTAGACTTTTTGGCCGTCGGGAGAGACATCAGGGAAACGGTAAGCCAGGTTTGAGAGAAGTGGTACTTTGGAGGCCATATGTCGATCTTTGTTTGTTGCCCGTAATAAGAGTAAGCTAATATATGATTATCAAGGCGTCCCATCTGCTGAGCGACGCGCTGCAGAACAACTCAACCTCCAGCTGACAAAGGTTGCGAGCTTGACAGGGGTTGCTTCTTTCCAGCGCCCTATCGCAGATAGCGATGCCAACATACCTAGACGTTTTCAAGCACCCCAAGCTTCGAGAGACTACACTCGTTGCATTCGGCATTTGTCTTTATGTACCGACTCTGAAAGCGAGTACCAGGACGCCCCGCCAGAAGTAGTTGACACTGCCAACGATGAGCCAGATATTCACCCCCTGCGCATGCATCCTGTGGACAACAATGGGCAACAGAGCAGACCAGCCAGTGTTAACGACGTCGTAACCGTCGCTGAAGTGGTAGAAGAGTCTCCTGGAGAACCAGAAACTGCCTCTGTAGCCGAAGCCTCGTCGGAGCCGACCACGGACGACAACAACAACACTGGCGTTGCTGAAGGCAGCGCAAGTAATAACGGAGATACCCCACCACCCCCTGACCAAGAAGATGTAGCTGCTGATGTCTCGTCGTACTCTCACTCTGATACGTGCTCTGTTTCTGTCTATGCAGAGGACTGGTTCCCATTCCGCGAGCTGGCGCAGATATCCTGGCGCTTGGCTGACCAAACACCTGAAGATGAATCGCTGCCACCAACTCCAAAGTCCCCCTATCGCATGGGACGAGCACGCCGTTATGGATGGGTTGAGGGCCAGCCATTCTGAATGGGAGAAGGAAACTCCATTGTCTTCGATTTGTAAACCCCGAGACAGCTAGGGAGTGTTTCGAGCTATCTGAGGCCATTGCCGGGGTTGCCTGAATATGTATTTTCCCTCCTTTCTTTGTGACATTATTGTTTCTGTTCTTCCTTTTCTTCCATCCTTCCTTTCTTTCTTTTTGCCCCTCTCTTCATGTTTGCCCCTTGGCTCGAAGGATTTCGCAATGGAGGATCTCAATTCGAGAATTTCTCTCTTCACCAGTACCTCGAATTGTTAACTGGTTCCCCATAGCTTGGTCCAAGTTCGGTTCCTGAGCTTGTTCTCTGTATTCACTTACCTTTATTCCTTGTTCGTGGACAACGTAATGGCGCTTTCGGATGCAAATTTGTTAGGTAGCCGGACGCACGTTTCTTCTTTAAGGTCTGTTGGCGGATAAATTTGTGTCGTCTCTGTTTCTTTCTGCGGATTTCAGCTATCGGGTTAAATATGAATGTATCTACCTAGGTAGTCAAGTGCTTTGTAGTTGAGGGGGGATGGTTCTAAGTTGGACTGTATGTACCGCGGCAGCTATTAGGTACCCTTAGCACACGTATCAGTTCAGAACGAAATGTAATGTACTTTCTCTTTGAATTCTTATACGTATCTGGCTTCGAGGAAGGCGGGCGATGTACTTACATGGCCAGAGCTGATCCAAGTCTTAAAATTAAAATGGGAGTAAAATTATGTTGACTTGGAAGGGGTGAGGAAGAGAATTTCGAGAAAAAAACATATAGATTATGGTAAATCGCCAGAAATAATATTCACGCAGATTTTACCTTTAAACATCACAGGGGGTGATAAATTGACATAGTCATGAATAAGCCCATAATATACCCATACACATTTCAATTCACAAAAGGAAAGAAACTCTTAAAAGGAAAAAGTCGAAGCGCTCAACGATGCGTACCTCACCGCATCAATTCAGGACTGTACGAGTTTCCGAACGAACAACTCCTGTCTAATCCCATAGGGTCCTCACGCGCCTCATTGGCAGGCTAAAAAAACAAAAAAGCAATGAAGTCTCCCTCCGAATAGGATTTCAAAGACCCGTGGGCATCAGGAGATCGTATTAAAAAAGAAATACTCCAAATTATGTAAGCTTCTGCTTAATGAAGAACGATCGGAGGTGGGAAAGCTGCCAAGCGCAAGTTAATGAGAGGAGGACAAGTTGGATTAAAGTCCAGCGGACGACACGCGCGTTGGTGGCTTCGGATTGGTCGCGGAATAGGGCCTCTCGTTCCTAAGACGAGATTCAAGTCAGTATATATTGGCATCATACAGCGAATGATATAGTAGCTAGGTCACCTACCCGTTGGAAAACCTGTTCTCGGCGGATGTCCTGTAGTCTGCTATTCAGACTCTTGACTCTGTGAGCCATATCCTCCATCTTGGATTTATCTTCGCTTTCGATTTTGCTCGTTTCTCCAATGGCGATGTCAAGGGCCAATTTTACTGCAGCGGAGCCTGAGAGCCATCCTCCATTAGCGGTCTCTGGGGTGAAACAGAGCTTGTGTTGACCAGCGTCTGCGGCGGAGAAAGTGAAGCGTCCAGCATCCTTTCCGCGCTGGGATACGACGCGGTGATCATTGTCGAATGTTTCGTCGACTGTGATGGTAAGGGTGAGGCTAGGATCCGAGACGTAGGAGCCGGTTTCTGGCTGGTAGACTTCCGCTTTGTAGGTACCTGGTGAGAGAGAACGGTTAGTACACAAAGGTCCAATGACGTCCACCATCGCATCTGATGGGATACGGTATAGTTGCCACAGGGTGGAAATAAGAAAAAAAACCTACCAACTACTAGAGTTCCTTGCGGCATGTCCTCGTAGAAGCATTTTTGCTGGCGTGGCTGGACAAAGAAGTAAAGCGAGTGGACGGGTGTTGATAGGGTGAGGATCGTTACAATTGCGAAAAATGACGACAACCAGGACTGCGAGCGGGAGGACGCCATGATGGAGAGTTAAGCCAAACCACAGCTAGGATTGAAGAGTCTCCCTGAGCTTTATGCGTGCGGGTTGACTTGGGTATGGCTAAGGGGGCTCTTGTTGCTTGAGGAGAACAGTTGAAGTGTCCACTTCAAGATGTCACAAGAGATGCAAACACTACAAACACAATTCCTTCATACTTCCGCTGCTAGATTCCATACATCAAGTCATCGCGCAAACCATCATCAACAACTACTACACTTCCATCGCGAATCCTCATTTTACTGCAGTGCTTCTACATAGAAGGACTTTAAGGATTTATTAGTCTCGCTTCTAAATTGCCCCTGCGCGCGACAGTTCCCTCTAGGTCGCCACCATGGCCGCCGCAGACATCCGTGATATGCTGGATCTGCCTGCAGACGGCGGCCAACCCAGACCTCATAAGAAACAGAAAGTCGTCGAAAAACGACCGGGTACGTGAGCCTTTAGCCCAGATTTGGAATGCGCTGCTAATGTCTCTCTATAGAGGGTATTACTCGAGAGCTCTTTGCTCTTTTAGGCGAACGTGCTCCTCCTATTGCCTTAAACGAGAATAAATATAAGGGACGGCGGAAATGGGTGAGCAAGCTGAAAGTGAGGCCATGGTAAGGCATCTCATGATCCGGAAGTGTTTGAATAACACCGTTGCTAACGTGCGTACGTCGTATAGGGAGATGGCCCCTTTTGAAAACTCCGCTCGATCAGATGGTCTTGTTCTCCGACACTGGCAGAGAAAACGAGCCGTCGTTAATGAAGCGACTCCTGTTGAAACAGCAGGAGCGGGAGATGGGGAAGTTAAAAACGAAACTGAAGCTGCGGAAAATAAACTGGAGGATGTCTATGCATTTGCGAAGTATAATGTGAAAGCTCAAGTCCCGAAAAGATATACAGATGATCAGTACAATCGGTACCTGAAAAGCCATATCTGGAGTCGTGAGGAGACGGACTATCTTATGGATCTCGTCGAGGAATACGATTTGCGATGGATCGTCATTGCCGACAGATACGAATACCCCCCAAGCCCACCCTCGACAAACGGCGAATCCACGGCTCTTGTTACAACAACCCGACGTCGAACGATGGAAGAGATGAAATCGCGTTACTACACTATTGCTGCAAATATGTTGGCACTTGAACATCCTCCATCTGAGATGTCTGAGGCGGAGTTCAACCTCCATGAGAAAATGATGAAGTATGACCCTGAACAAGAAAAGGCCCGTAAAGATCTGGCCACATTACAATTGAACCGATCAAAGGACGAAGTTAATGAAGAGACTTTGCTCCTTGAGGAACTCAAACGGATCGTGGCCAACGAGAAGAATTTTATCGAAGAGCGAAGAGAGCTCTACGCCAGACTTGAGGCACCTATCAGCACGAGCAATACTACGATGTACCAGTCGAGCCAAGGCCTATCGCAACTTCTCCATACGCTCCTACAAGCCGATAAGTCCAAGAAACGTCGTTCACTTATGGCGCTGGAAACTGGCACATCCAGTCCAGCAAGCCAGCCGAGTACCCAACAGAATCCCCCACAGAGTGCTCGCGAGAGTCGACCTCAGACGCCTGCTGCTCCGGCGCCAACACCGGCAACTACCAAGAAAGCAGCCAGCGCAGCAGCTCAGCAGCCAAACGTCAAATCACTCACTCCTGCCGAAGAAGCCAAATATGGCGTTACACGTCACGAGCGTCTTACGTCAGGCGTCCAGTTCCGAAACGATAGGGCACAGAAGCTCACACAGGCGAAATCTAACATCCAGTCTCAGAAACTTGCTGCAGCGCTTACTGAGCTTTCTATCCCACCCCGACTCGTCATGCCGACGGAGAAGGTGTGCAAGGAGTTTGAAAAGCTGATACATTCGGTCAATCTTCTGCTCGACGTGCGCAAGTTCGCAGAAAAAGTCGAGGGCGAGATCCGTGTGCTAGAGGCGGCCAAACACGAACGGGAAAGGAAGGAGAAGGAGAGGCTGGAAGCGGAAGAAGCTAGCAAGACTGGTGGAGACACTGCGGGAGCAGGGCAGGGGAATGAAGGAGACAAGGAGGCCGACAAGGAGAAGCAAGGAGCAGCGGGAGGCGATGAGGGTGTCGGAGAAGATAAGAAGGCTGTTGCTGCCGCTGCCGATACTGCTGCTATCAATGGCGCCGATGCGCCAGCAACGAAAAGACACGATGAAGCTAGCGCGATCAAGAGTGAAGCAGATGACGAGTCGAAAGAAGCTGGAGCTGAGGGAGCGGCGACAGCTGGCTCGGGAAGGACACATAAACGAAGCGCGAGCGTTTTAAGCGCAGTTAGCGACAAGAGCACGAAGAGGCAAAAGAAGTAGCCTGGCGGGGAGTTATATTTTGTGTTTAACTTGGTTTTCGCGGAGTGTTTTAGGGAATTTGAAGGGGTTAGGATTACCATTAGCTAGGTGCTGTGCTATCTGGGTTTAGGTTTATATTAATTTTAGCCCTTATATTCTTCTTTAACTACATTACTTAGCTATGCTTTTCGGTGTATATTTGTCGTGAATTGACATATTCGGCACAATTAGTATAAGATTCATGCTCCATTGTCAGTGTGTTCTTCACAATGGGCGTGAAGTGGAATTGAAAAACAGTATACGCCAAGAATAAAAGTTAGGTACAAACACGCTAATCAGATTTCTCCTTAAACAAAATCTATCGATGGATGAATGGATGAAAGGTGCGATATAGGAGGGGCCAAAAATAGGGGCATACATTCCAACTCGTGTATTTATAGAAGGGCTGATATAAAAAGGAACGATACTAGAGAGGACTGAGTGTTTCTAAACCCGACATCGAACTAAAGACGCTTCCAAACACCCTGGCAAACCTCCATGCCCGAATCGAATCACGAAAACTCTCGGATGTTTAGGTCTTACACAGAATAGTCATCGATGATAACTATTTCCCTCCCCATGCCTGCTCAACTAGCTTTAATAGACCATCCTTCGAGCCAACTTCATTCAAAAGTTGCTCCTCTTTGAACTCCGCAGTTGAGCTGCGGAGATCTATGCTAGTTGACGCCTGATCGTGCCTTTGTTTATCAATCGGGGCCTTCTCAGGACTTTTCTCCGATCCAGGCTCAAACGTAACCTCGCCGTCATCGGAGAATGCCCCTATACAATCCTCGTACAAACGTGACCAGATGTCTGCAGACCATGGCTCCATCGACGCGTCCATACCGCTCCCATCGAAAGTAGAGAAACCCAGCTGACCTGGTGGATGAGATCCCAGAGGGGAGGGATGCTCGACCTTGCTCCAGGGAGTCTGTTGTTCACTTACTCTCTCACTCGATTCCCGAGCGTTTAGACGCAGCTTTTGCCGCTTAGTTTCGTCTCTGAAGTCTCCAATTTGCTCAAGAACAAGTCGACCAGTTGGTCCTCCAGGGATAATTTCCAGATCTGGGTCCTTCAAATCGTCGCTTCTAGAGGTTTCTTTCCTATGTCCTGCTCGGTATCGTCTGCGGTCAAGGCTATCGGAACGATGTAACCAGTGGAACAACCCTGTACCTCTTTTAATGGCAGGCAGTGAATCAGTTTTATCGTGTGCAATCTTCGGTAACGGGAAGGGGTTTATGTTTTGGCTTGCCTTGGGCGTATCCGTGGGTACAAAGTCACGAGCCACAACATTATCGGAACGCCCAGCAGATTCGTTTCTTGCAGCCTTAGAGTAGCTTGGAAACCTAGCCCACTGAGAGAAAAGCCCTTTGTTACTCCCATTGCAATCTGATGGGATCTTTTGAGACTCTTTTGAGTTCATTTGGGATTCAAATTTCTCACAACCGAGAACGCCCCGGGCTCCCTTATCGTCCGACTTCTCGCCTCCATGTTGTCTGCCGACGGCGGTTGATTCACTGGAAGCTCGTGAAGAACATTCTAGATTTCTTTCGCTCCTTGAGAGCTTGACTAGATCACGCAGATCAGAATTGAGGGTGGGTTCTTGTTTAGTTTCCGATGATGGATTGTTTGTTTCTGAACTTGGAGATTTGCCATCATCCTCCGCGACAAAATGGAAGCCATAACCCTGGCGCTTGCCATCAGAAATCCATCCATCACTAACACTTCTCGTTCTCATGTATTGTTGGCCAGAATTGCAGTTCTGAATGACAGGATCACTAGCACTACTAGAACGTATACCATCGAAACTCTCGATGAATCTGCTCTGAGCGCGATATTTGTTGTTAGCCTGCCAACCAGAGGAGCTTTGTCTGTCAGCGCTTGACGTTCTTTGTGGGCTCGTTTTGTGAAGCAGAGGAAAGTACCCACTATGAGCTGATGCCATTCTACTAGGCACATCAGCTTCGTAGTGGGCTTTCAGTTGGGATAGCTCGACCTGGAGCACGGGTATGGGACTAAGGTCGTTTGTGCGAGCTGGATCGGACTCCCATGAGAATCTGGACAAGGATGATTCAAAAAGAGGTGCACTATCGATATTTTTACCGCTTACAGGTTTCCCTATATCTTCTGGAAAGTTTGACGAACCAGGAATAAACGGCCGTGTTAGCCTCCGGGATACGGCCTGGAGATGTGACTTGAAACCGCTCTCGAATGTGTCGAATTTACCAAATCCTGCACTATCTGCCAGTTCAAGATCTAAATTGCTGGCGGGCACATTTTTTCCAAAGCCGGGCGCGTCATCCGAAGTTGTGGACGTGGTTCCATCAAAACCTTTTAGAAGTATATCATGGCTGAGTTCTAAGGAACCTTCGGCGCTGTCAACACTTGATAAGACTCTCATAGGACTGCTGGCTACACCGGTTATACCACATGTGACACGCTCGGTAATTTGAGGGGTTTGAATGCAGTGCGCATCGCTGTCATACTCAGCATCGCTGGTAGCCGCGATATCGATGCCAGCAGCGGGATTTACATTTTGGTCACCATTTTGGAGCGTATGTCCACGTTCCTTGAATTTTGTGGAAGATTTTTTCGGCATCGTCGATTCCCTAGAGAGTTTCCTTCGAATCTTATGAGATAGCTGAATTAAACTAATCCGGCTGGCCTTGGGGTAGACTTGTTTCGTTCGATTGGCCGCGGTCCGTGGATGGTGATGGGCTTCAGGAATAATATCTGCCTCAGCGTTCCCCGCTTGGGGTGTGGAAGAACGGAAAATTGCCTCAAGGGCAAGTCTTTCCTCACTTAGATTACCCATAGCGGTGGAACTTGGTCGGGTGGGAAGATCTTGGGCTCGATCATCAGGAGGCGAGGTGCCTTGAGCAGTAGATGCTGGCCCCTTCGATCGCTGACTGCGCGGACATGGACTGAAAACCATTGTAACACGCAATATAGAGAAACTATAGCTCTTTCAAATCTAAATAGTAGTCTAAGTCAAATAAGGAGAAAGAAATGTGAGAGCCTGTCTGACTCGGACCAAACTAGGGGAGCAAAGAGTGAGCTGGGTCTGTTCAAACACTTCAGTACGAAATAAATAGCATTCCCCTTGAGTTGACACAAGGAGACTTAAAATGGCAGATAGAACAAAATAACCGCGTAAATAGCATCTGTTTATGCAGAACATGACAGGGGAAGGAACCCAAGCATCCTCGCATATAATGGTAGGGCAGTTTCTCTTTCCAAAATAAGGAAAACTTTTGCAATAAACATTGCAAAGGAAATCAGCCGAGAAAGAACATATCGTTCTTGTCATGCTTGTCCTGATAGTGGCCAGTCCAGACTGGCACTTTCTATATCACAACTGTATATAGGTTGAGACGTGGTTAAATGTAGGAAGAGGCATTCAGCGCTGCGTGACGTCTACATGTCATCTGTCATGTATATCACCCATAGTCAACTCGATACTTGATGATATCAGGAGAGGCCTGTAATAGGTGCAAGCAAGTAGCAGTAGTATATAGTATTGATAGGATGGATGACCAGGCAAAACAAGCAGCTCGAGCTCCTTCGAAGCATGATTGTGCATGCGTTCAGGCGAAAATCTCTAGATCCGCAGGTGATTAAAGTTTTGGATATATATTCAAGAGCCAAAACAATGCCTTCTGTTGCACTGTTTCCCTTGCATTAGGGGGTGTTGTTGAGATTGATGCTGGACAGGATAGATACGATACTGGAGGGTATGAATATCACATGACAGAATGCCCCGCCATGCCCGATTTCGCTCATCACGTGAGCCTACTCGATGGCGTGACCAGCTACGGATCTCAGCCAATCAGAATGCCGCGATGCCTCCACCGCCCGCCAATTGAGTTTGACTAAGCAGCGTCACCCCTCCTTTTTCGCTGCTCTTAACTGCTTTTTTTTTTTCCCTTAGTTTTTCTCCCCTCCATCCTCAACCTCCCATCTCTTCACCTTCACAAACCTCTCTCCTTTTCTATCTATCTTCTCCCATCAATCCACTCTACAATTACCCTACTGTGCGTCAGGGTAACATAGACAATACTCTGTTCTGTTTCATATCCACCTCATATCTTTTTTAGGAACCAATTGCTAGAGAAACATAGTGAAAATGGTTCAATCGTAAGCACACTTTACCCTCGTCAATTGCTCACTGTATACACTTAAGTACTAACCAGAGTCTCAGCTCTGTTCTCGGTTTCCCCCGTATGGGACGTCTTCGAGACCTGAAAAAGGCCACTGAAGCATACTGGGGAGGCAAGCTCTCGCGCGAGGATCTCCTCAACGAGGGCAAGAGACTCCGTCTTGAGCACTGGCAAATCCAGAAGGCTGCCGGTGTTGATCTCATCCCCAGCAATGACTTTGCTCTCTACGACCAAGTTCTCGACCACATCCAACTCTTTGGTGTATGTTTACTTCGTCAATTCCCTTGACTTCCAGTTCCTTGAGATCGCTGACACAGAATATTCAAACAGGTAATTCCTGAGAGATACTCTAAATATGGCCTCCACCCTGTTGACGAATACTTCGCCATGGGACGAGGCTTGCAGAGACCTGCCAAGGATGGCGAACCTGCTGTCGACGTTCCCAGTTTGGTAAGACTCCATTACCCGAGCATCTCCTTCTATTCCTGGTTACTGACAAAATTCATTCCAGGAAATGGTGAAATGGTTCGACTCGAACTACCACTATGTTAAGCCTACTCTACAGGACACCCAGACTTTCACTCTTTCAAGCAATCCCAAACCGGTTGTTGAATTCCAAGAAGCTAAGGAGGCTGGGATTACGACCCGTCCAGTTCTTCTGGGTCCTGTTTCGTTCCTTGCTCTCGCCAAGGCCGACCGTGACCAGACCATCGACCCCATCTCCGTCATTGATAAACTCGTCCCTCTCTACGTTGAGCTGCTGGCCCAGCTTAAGGCTGCTGGAGCTGAGGATGTTCAGATTGATGAACCTGTATTGGTGTTTGATTTGCCAGAGAAGACCAAGGCCGCTTTCAAAACCAGTTATGAGAAGTTGGGCTCCCTTGGTGACAAGGCACCTCGCTTGGTCCTTGCCACGTACTTTGGTGACATCGTCCACAACATTGACGTCCTCCCATCCCTCCAAAGCCTCCATGGAATTCATATCGACCTAGTCCGCAACCCAGAGCAACTCGACACCGTGATCAGTGCCCTCGGACCCAAGCAGATTCTATCTGCTGGTGTTGTCGATGGACGCAACATCTGGAAGACCAACTTCAAGCGAGCAATTGAGATCGTTGAGACTGCTATCCAAAAGCTTGGCAAGGAGAGAGTTCTTGTTGCCACTTCGAGCTCGCTTCTGCACACCCCCCATACCCTCGAAAGCGAGAAGAACCTTGATCCAGAGGTTCGGGATTGGTTCAGCTTCGCTGTTGAGAAGGCTACCGAGGTTGTTATTATTGCCAAGGCTGTCACTGAAGGCCCTGCTGCTGTGCGCGAGCAGCTTGAGGCTAACGCCAAATCCATCCAAGCCCGTGCTTCGTCCAAGCGGACCAATGACTCCAAGGTCAAGGAGAGACAGGATGCTGTTACTCCCGAGATGCACGACCGCAAGTCCCCATTCCCAACAAGAATTAGCCAACAACAGACAAAGCTCAACTTGCCCCTGTTCCCCACCACGACCATCGGATCTTTCCCTCAGACCAAGGACATCCGGATCCAGCGGAACAAATTCACCAAGGGCGAGATTACGGCTGCGGATTACGAAAAGTTCATCGAGCAGGAAATCCAGGACGTCGTTAAGATCCAGGAGGAGCTTGATCTGGATGTCTTTGTCCATGGAGAGCCGGAACGTAATGATATGGTCCAATACTTCGGTGAGAGGTTGACTGGATATGTCTTTACCACCCATGCCTGGGTCCAGAGCTACGGTTCCCGCTGTGTCCGCCCTCCCATCATTGTTGGAGATATCTCGCGCCCTGCGCCTATGACCGTCAAGGAGTCTAAGTATGCTGCTTCTATCTCCAAGAAGCCAATGAAGGGCATGCTCACTGGTCCGATCACCTGTCTGCGGTGGTCTTTCCCCCGCGATGATGTTCACCAGTCTGTGCAAGCTCAGCAGCTCGCCCTTGCTCTCCGTGATGAGGTCATTGACTTGGAAGCTGCTGGTATCTTTGTAATCCAAGTCGATGAGCCCGCTCTTCGTGAAGGTCTCCCACTCCGATCCGGAAAGGAGCGTGAAGCCTACCTCGACTGGGCTGTCAAGGCTTTCCGCCTTGCCACATCCGGAGTCGAGGACAGCACCCAGATTCACTCTCACTTCTGCTATTCCGAGTTCCAAGACTTCTTCCATGCCATTGCTGCCCTTGATGCCGATGTTCTCAGTATCGAGAATAGCAAGAGCGATGCCAAGCTTCTCAAGGTCTTCGTCGACGAGGCTTACCCACGACACATTGGCCCTGGAGTGTATGATATCCACTCCCCTCGTGTCCCAAGCGAGCAGGAAATCAAGGATCGTATCGAGGAGGAGCTTCAGTATCTCCGACCAGATCAACTCTGGATCGACCCCGACTGTGGTTTGAAGACAAGACAATGGCCAGAAACCAAGGCAGCCCTCACCAACATGGTCAATGCTGCCAAGTACTTCCGCCAAAAGTATGCTAAATAAAGGCAACAGCCAGGCAGGATTTAACCGTCGCAATTACGCTCAACACGTGCGACTAGGATATGACGGAGATTAATGATTATGAGTTATAGAGACGACTTATTTCACCAAACAATGAGGAATGTTTTAACATGCATGCATTCATTCGGTGTTCCAGGCGAGCTGGGACTCAACCCTAGGGGGACAATGTGGTAGGAGAGCTAGAAAAGTTCACAAACATACCCACGATCTCAACATCGGCGTTTTTGTAATCTTTATTGTGTTTTTATTAGCCTTTCTTAATTTAACTGTGGATTCTTTCTCTTTCTCTAGTGAATTCGCTGACACGAGCAATCTTATCCTCCCCTCAATTCTTTTTTGATAATTTCACAGTTATGCGGGATTTAGGATCAAAAGGGATATATGTCTGCTTGATAAATATAACAAAAGCAAGTTTACATATTCTAGATACAGCGTAAAGGTTTCATTCGACAGCACCAGTGAAATCCCGTAGGTATTCCACAGCAATTTCCCTAACTCTTCTTCATTAGACCTACTTCAGTCTAGAAGAAACTAAAGCGGCTGGATTATTTTCATATGGTTTCGTGAATCATCCTTTGTTTATTTTTTCTTAATACAGATGAAAATTTTAACTGAATAACTAATGTGGAGAAAAAAAAAAAAAGAAAAAAATCAATAATTATTTCTCAGTCTTTATAATAGATATATTTCTTATTTCTTACAGTGAGAGTAACACAGCTATGATGAGCTTATTATTATTTTAACATTATCTATGAATACTTAAAAAATATATCATCAATTATTCTTATTTTGAGACTGAGCTTTACTTTCATTTTAATTATTATTTATTCAATTGTCACTGTTCATTTCATTATCTGCTTGCCTGTTTATAAGAAACCAGATGAGTCTCTGCTCTTAATATTCTTTTCCTTTTCTTCCTTATCTGTGTTTTTGTCTATTTCAGTGTAACTTAGTCTATAGAATTAATATATTTGTTTCTCTCATCAGCCCAATGAGTATTCCTTCCGCCGAACCTACTCCATAACATCTTCCTGCCAGAATATTATGCAGTAACGTAAATAAAACATAGACAAAGTACTTTCCGTCCCATTAGCTCAAAATACATGTAAATATAATTAAATGAATAAATAGATAATTAAGGTGTCATCACAGCCACTTAAAATAAGGCACAAACGCACCGCGTCTCCCCACCGCCTCCGCCCCAAAGCGGTCTACATACCACTTCCGGCCCCAGCTCGCGCGCACCGACGTCGTCGCTACTGTGTTTACGAGGAATGCGATTGCGGGGAGGGGGAATGGCAGGCCCAATTTATCTAGCAGGAGGTTTGCGAGAGGTGCATAGTAAGGCGCCAGGACGAGGGCGGGGGTGGCGGCAGTTGCTTCGGAGGCGGGAGCTGGAGTAATGGAGACGCCTATCAGGAGAAAACCGAGCCATTCAATCCATTCGAAGACGTAGTGGGGGAAGAGAATTGTGCGGAACAAGCCGGTGGCAGGGGGGAGGACGTAGACTTTGTCGTATTTGTTTTTTGGGGTTTGGGCGGTTTTGGGGTTGTTGCTGTTATTGTTACTGTTCTTATCGGCTTCCTCTCTCCGTAGGCGGAATAAGGTTCCCTCCGCTTTGATGTTGCCGTACATTCCTATTAGGAATAGGCATAGTCCAATATAGGGTATGTATTCCGCTGGGAAGTACGTGGTGGAGAAACTTGAGGTCCGTGAGAGGTGTGCTTGCTGTGGTCGCGGCGCAGTTGACCCCAGGACTGGAGTCCCGTAACCCAACAACCAGCCTGCTATACAGCTCGAGTTGAGGTAATTAAATGCCATAGCCGAAAGGATAATGATCAGGTGAATTGGCGACATGCTGGGCGCGAGGAAAAGGGGTGTTATTACGGCCCGGTTTAGGTAATGGAGGACATAGATGCATGCGACGAGTTTATGCCAGCTGGGGAACTGGCCGTCGGGGAACATGGAAATACCCGTGTAGAGGGTGTAAAGGAGATTAAGGGCACCGACGCTCTCCATGCAGAGCCATGCGTATCGGCCGGGGAAGTTTAGGCGTGAGGAAGGGAGGGACGTTTTCCCCTGCGGATAAAAAGGAGTTGCGAGTTGGATAAGGGCGGCCTTTTGAAGGGGAAGGTTAGCACTTCTTTTTGATTTGACACAGAAGAGCTACGTCGAGCTTGGGAGTCCGGATGAGGCGTTGTGTAGCAGTCTTACCATAGGGAAGTATTGGAATATTGAGAGGAGGACGATGTACGCTTCTGGAGACACAGGAGGGAGGAACTCCTGGAGCGGTGGGAGGGAAGTACTCCAGTTTATAAGAGTGTCCATAGCTTGGGTGACAGGTAATGAGTGCAATTTACCTGGAGTGGAATGTTGTTAGTGTAGGAGGAGATATAAATACAGCAATTAAATAATCTGGAACGAGCGGAGGAGGTTTTGAACTGGCGAAAGTGATATCATGGCCAAGCCGCAATGCTTCAATAGCTTGCATAAATAACTAGCTCAATATTACTATATGTTAAAAATTCCGGGATTGCAACGGGCATTGAATAGTTACATGATAAGGAACTTAAATAACTAATTTTTGCTCTTTATTTTTTTGGTTTGGTTACCTATATATATATATATATATCAACAACGAATATCTCCACCTAATTAGTCACTCAACCGTGAGCACTTAGATCTAAACGTTATTGCTTTATTCCGTTCACTTCAGAGCTACGGACCAAGTGCAGGAATGATTCATATAAACTATACAGCGTAAACATAAAACGACTGAATTAAAATAAAATTAAAAGGAAACCCTCTGTCCCAGACCTAACTGGAGTAGACTAAGCAGGGACATCTAATGTCAAAATCATCAAGGCTGGATGGAGTATTCATGCAGACTCCCATTCCCGATGGAAAGCAAAGACAAAAGATAATATTCCCAACGCAATATATGCCTAGTAAACTTAAGCAACTCGCATAAAAAGCCAAATTAGACGTTCTCAGCGTGCCTCAGAAACAGCAAGAGAAGAAGGGGAAAAAATAATATTGGGGGAATAATTATATGGCACGCAAATTTCTAATCATGAAGTCATGGCATTGAAGACTTGTGCATAACAGGGAGTTCTAGAACCGCTGTATAAAATAACGGAGGCAGCTTCGGGTGAGGTAAAAGAAGTAAATCAACAGACAAAAAACCAAAAACTTGAAGTTAGGGTAAGGCCTCCCGATTAACCATCAGTCGTATCCATGCGCTCCAAAGAGGAAGAAGTCACTGCTGCCACTTTCGCAGCCTTTCTCTCGGCTTTAAAGGCTTCTATTTTAGCCTTCATTTCCGTATCTAAAATTCGCAGAAAGAAGCTGGTGTGTCAGCCCAGCATTACAGAATATGCAAGAGTGTTCTAGAGATTAGAAATTGGCAATCTGTAAAATACTCACCTGGAATAACATCCTCAATGCTCAACGGAGATCGGTTGAATGGATCGTTCGGGTCACTGAGCAGGTGGGATCGAATGGTGGAACGATCAATGGAAACTTTGGAGCTGGGCAAAATAACAGGATCCTCCATGAGAGTATACACCAAGGGGTCTGTTTTCAAAGGGTATTTTATGTCAGTCAGCTGTGGCAGCAAAGGAAAATAGTTAACGTTAAACAAACCTAGGAATTCATCAGGAATTTCTCCAAGATCCTCCTCAGCCTGCTCATCCGCCTCCTTGGCAATCCTGAACTTGGTCTGTAACTGTTCCCACTTGGCGAGGTCTTCCTGTGGCTTCAAAGCCCATTTACGCAGAATTTCACCTGCTTTCTCAAAGTTTGATGGTTTATAGGACCGGCCATCACGGGCAACGGCTATGATGAAGTTTTCCTTGTCCATAAGATTCAGGTACACATCGACAATTTCGCTTAGAAGCACGCGTGGATTGAAGCCGTACTCTGCCAGGTTGGCTACTCGAAGGTTTGCACTCTTAGGGCCAACCATAGCGTCCAAATTGTAATCCAACATGTCAGCCAGGCGCTGTACGATCTCAGGCATTGTGAAAGACTCTGCCAATGCCTCTGTGAAAAGTTTAAGCATGGCTACCGTTTCATTTGTGAGCTGCATGTAAGATTTTGCTCGGCCTTGTGCCGCAGAAAGTTGCTCTTCTTTTTGTTGCCGAACGTTCTGCTCCATACTTGATCCTTCACGGGCAAGCTCGACTTGAAGATCATGAATCGTCAAGAACGCCGAAAACGATTCATCGAGTACAAACGTAACATCATTCAAGAGGAGGTTAACAAAGCGAACGAAGAAATCTAGGTTTCGATTGGCTTCATTATGAAGCTTGTCTCGGTAGGCCGTGTTCGGCCAGATACATTGGATAATCTGGAATATCTCGTACCGAATATTAAACTTATCAAAGAATTGCGTGTGTGTCCCCGTGAATTCTGCTTCTATGTAAAATTTCATCAGAGCGTGAAGAAGATGCTCTGTGGCGAAAGGTAAGGAGTTGAGAAGGTCAACAAGAACGCCCCTGGAACCATTACGCCGTGGCCAGGTCCCTCTGAAAAGTATTGTAACCAATCCAGCTTTAAGATATGGGTTTTTGATATACTCTGAACACTGTAGAAACGTGATGCATAGCATAATCAACTCATCCCCCTGTGTGGAGGTTACCACATGGGGCATACTCCACATGATAAATTTGAAACTGCTGACAACATCGTCCACGAAGTATTCAGGGAGGCATTTGAAATTCTCCGGTTGGTTTTCGGGAAGCGGTAGCTTCAGAGTTTCGGTCGGGAGATTACGTCCTGATGCAATTCGCAATAGCCAAACAATAACGTATCGCATAAATTGCATGGACCGGGCTTGCCATGTCTCATCCAGTAAGATGCCCTGCAGGGTGTACTTGAACGAAAGACCAAGATCAAGTCTGTCTTTGTACTTCTTCAGCGCATCTTCGAACATTCTGAGTTGCACTGGATTAGACCTCCATTTATGTCTCTCGAGTTCAAATTTATCGATTTGGGCCTCCATATGGCGAAGGTCCTTCTCCAGTTGTTCCAGCTTGGTCGTTAAAGATTCGCTTCCATAGTGGTGTGCAGCAGCAGTTAAGAAAAATATTTCGGTAATAAAATTTGATGTTCCTTCCTCGACTTGGTCATAAAATGCATCTGAGGCGTGTTGATCAGCATTAATCTTAGTTTCGTCTCTCATGTGAACTCGCGGATTCCGTTTCAGATAGCCGATATCAATGCGATCAATCTACCAAGGTCAGCAAAACGTGCATTATAACCAACTAGTGATAGCATGAAGGGTGGGGGGATGGGCACCTTGGTGAACGCTGCATCCATAAAAGGTTCACAGAGTTGGTCAAGGCATGTGGTGATATTGAACATAAAACCATCCGAAGAGATAGTCTTAGGGTCAACTTGAAGCGCCCTTCTCTTGTGGTTGAGATTAACTGACGCGGCAAACCAGTCGAGGACACGTTCCCTTGCGGGCTTCGAAGCTCGGACAAGCTGATTGATGATATCCAACAGATCTGAATTAAGTAATTGTTGCATCATGCGCACGGCTCTTTGCGAATTGAGAATAGACCCCTGATCCAGAGTTTTAGGGCTTGCAAAATAATTCAATGGAACATCACGGTGTAGAGGAGACAGTCGAAACCAGGGGCCCAGAAGTGTTGCAGTTTCGAACTTTTCAACATCGACAGGAGCGTTAAACAACTCTGACTCAGTTATGGCGATAGCCAAAGGAGGGAACCGAACAAGGTTTCGCAGTGCCTATCATCATACTGAGCATAAAAATTGAGTTACAAAGCAATTGTTCAACATACCATCACATAGGGCTTGTAGTCCATATTTATGTTTAACTTGGAAAGGTCGTGGCTCATTTCCTCGACAGCGCCAACAAAAGCTGGAAGAACTGTTTCATCTTCATTCGATCTCTTAATAGCTTCTGTAATAAAGTCATGACATAACCCCAAGTCATCCTCTGGATCTTTAAGGAGGTGAGACTTTAGCGCAGAAGAGGGAGCAGTATCAAGACTAACAATTTCATTAGAAATTTGCGAGTTTATCGAAATACTTCTGAAAGGCACATACCCAAACATTTCTGGCATGGTCACCGCAAAAATACAGTAGCTCATACACAGCCGCCTTGCCTCCGAAACTATGACATACTTGCGGTCATCCGCGTTCTGCTTTCGGAACCCTTTATATAGCCTCGTTACCCTCTTCCAACACGGGAGCAAGTATCCCATTGGATTTCCATTGTGGGTATTAGATGCGGCTTCTAGAAGTGCCTGGTCTAGAACGTCAATACTGATACGGAGCGCCTGACCTTGCTCCTGCAGCTCTTGGCTCAGCCCAGCAAGATAACTAAGTGTCTGCCCGTGAACATCGACACGTCGACCTTCATCCAGCGTAACTCGAAATACAGCTCTTAAAGTTTTGTCCTCGAAGTCTTCGATTGTCTCACTAGGTCGTGGCGGTATCCGAGATGTGCTGGTGCTCGGAGCGCCAGAAGACTCTGTCTTGCTTTGTGACGGTGGAGGTCTGATTCGTATTCGGGGTGCCCCCTCGTTGGGCTGTTGCATATCTGGCTGCGGTGGTGTTGGGGGATGTGATGATGACGGAGCTAGCCCGCTCGAAATATTAATCTGTGGGCTTTGAGGTTCCGGTTCCTGCAAAGTAGGAGATGAGGTTCCGGTTTCTGAATCTTTGTCACCCGACTGCTGAGAGTTTGATTGAGCTGTACTTGACGCTTGAGATCCAAGCTTGGCTAGTCGTTTGTTGCGGATCTGGTAGTCATAGTGGTCAGTGGCGAATGTTAAATGAAGTGGGAATATTGAGAGAAACGACGAGCGCGATATCGATATTATGGGTACGGGGATGTATGGGGAGTACTACCTTGTCCGCATCAACAGAGTCCGCCATGATTAGATTCCGGGTTCGCTTGCGTAAGTTATATCTAATAAATCTAGCTTATGTCGAATGTTTCAGCACATTCGCAGCTGCAACAAACAGGAGACTAAGGATATTTGTTACTCCCTTCGTGGAGCATACCATCGCTGCGGCGGCCGAATAATGCTTTGAAGCCATGATACTTGACTAAGCTGCGATTATCTCATTGCCCCGCGGGTAAAGTTTATCCGGTAGCCTAGCCTAAAGTAGAAGGTTCCGCCGACGCCTACGTTCGCTTTTTTGATGATCGATACGGCTTTGATTATCAGAGTAGCAATTAGGATATAAAAAAAGTCTCAATATAATACTATAATGTTAGAAAATCAAGTAGGAAGTATGTTCAAATGATTTACGCAATTCAAAAGGCTTATCAAATAATGCCATGAGATACAAGGCAAAACGAATCAGCAAAAAAGTAAGAGAAAAATGAGACAAGAAATGAGAAGAGCAAAAATTAGTATATATCCCTGGGTAATGATGCTAGTCGCGGAACGCCCAACCCCGATCATACACAAAATAAAACAGAATGTTATTGTCTATTCATATCATCAGTGCAACAACGAGCGTGAATGGGGAAATGCTCGCTTATCAAATCCCCATTCAAAGCTTTAGGGAATTCAACTTCTTGCAACTCCGAAGCTCCAACGAGCGTGCCTCCTTGAGTTTCTCAACGTCCGGGAAGAACCAACCTTGGGCATCTTGTATCATCTGGTCGCGCGCTTGAACTTCTCTTTCGCAGTCATAGCGTAGGTTTGATACATAATCCACTTCAACTTTCTGGTCAAGTTGGTAGAACTTGCGCGCACTGTAATCTTCCACCTCAGCGGGATTTACGAAATAGTCGAGTTTGAGTTTGGGTGTTGTTCGGTGCATCGTGTGGGGTGGTACAGCCCTGTCGAATCGGAGAGAAGGTCCAGACGATGTCGCACCGGAGAAGAGAGAGGTTAGGAGTGGGAGGAGGAATATGAGAAGGATTGGAATAAACTGTGCAAATGATGCCATGCTGGCAGGGGGATCCTGGCCACCAGAATGATTATCCGCCTCACGCGGTCTTCGTCGAGGTCGTGAGCCGCCAAATTGATGCACTCGGATGTTGGGGCCTCCACCCATATTAAAAACAAATTGCGGGCCGCTGTTAAACATTCCTCCGCCTATTTACTTTAATTAGCAGTTGCATACAACCACAACGATGTTGATATAGGATAAGGCTTATTTACCGAAAGGCCCGAAACCGCCGCCTCCAAAAAATCTGTTAAATAGCTCCTCTGGTGATATTTCCTCATCAAACATAGGCCCTCTACCTCCCCCTTGCGGGAACCCGCTGAACCCGCTGAACGGTGAAGATGACGAGGAAGCTCCCGGCGAAAATCTGTTATCTGGATCTCCGCCAAACTTGTCGTATTTTGATTTTTTCTCCGAGTCAGATAGTATTTGAAACGCTCGGGATACCACTAAAATAGACCGTAAGAACATATTAGTGGGGCTCACCGAATTGTTAAGAAAATGTGCCTCCATATTTAATACATAGGCCAACCTATAAGATAGAATATTTGCGGAGATCGAGATATGAATATAAACTAAACATACTCTTAAACGCCTCATCTGCTCCGTCGTAACCATTCTTGTCGGGGTGTGTTAGTAAACTGAGTCTCCGATAGGCCTTCTTAATCTCTCCATCAGTCGCAGTTTTCTCTAGACCTAGAATCTCATAGAACGCTGTTGGTGGACATTTCCGAACACGTAGTACGGCCGCTTTCTGTTCGGGTGTGAATTTCCGGTCTTGGTTACCCTGGTTATGCTCTCTGGATTTCGCTGAGCCGTTGGGCTTTGCATCCGCACCGGATGCCGTCGCAGATGACATCTTATTTCTAGGATCCTGGTTGAGGCCCGCCGTGGAATATATGGGGTGTAAACGTCTGAAGCTGAATGAAGGGGACGGTGGAGACCTCAAAGCCCAGGAGAGCGGACGTAAAAAGATCGAAAGGGCAGGATCGCGCTAGATCTCCGCCACAGCGAGTGGAAGAGGCGGTTGCTACCGTATCCTATGTAGCGAGGGAGGATTCTGCGGGGGGTATATATTCGAGACCCGGAGATGTTGTTGCGTTACAAATCTCCCGCAAGATATTTAAAGAGTTCATGGTTGATGTCTGATGTCGCTCACAACGGATTTGGGACCATCGTGGCTTGAGATCACGTGATTTAACTATTCGTTTTGTAACATGTTTTCAAAGCAAGCTTGAGTGCATGGTTAAAAAGGAAAAATCGATGGGTTGCTCAAAAGTCAAGGGTTTGGATTTTAGATAGCTATGAATATTGCTAAATTGGTTATGTTGCTTAGCCGGGCCGTTGTGTGCATGCTCAGCTGTTTATCGAATATATATGCTTTCCAGTTTGCAATCTTCACTCTTACCTGGCAATAACATTGACACAATCATCAACTACGGCAATCCTTGTACACCATTGCTGTTGATGGTCTATAGTTACAAATTGCGTCGTTGTCTGGGTTTGTCTGGAAACGATGTATCAAGTCGCGGCTAACATTCATCGCGGCTGTTAAGCGCGGGCCGCTTTCATTAATTTTAAGCTTTTGGTTGTCGATTGGCAGCCTCAAGCTCCTATTTATCGATGAAAGTTGTTGTTCCGCCTCCTGCTAAAATACCCCAGATCAGAGAGTCCTAAATTTAAATACCCTTACCCCTCCGACGATATTTTAAGCAGAGAAATTTTTCCCGCAAAATACCTGCTTTTGACGACGCAGAACATAACTTGAAGCCTACCCATATTTCCTGAAGTGTTGACTGGCCACAATGACGCAAGAAGGGAGTAACCCACCCCCAAAAAATCAATCGCTCATGCAATATGCACGCGCATGGGGAGGTAAGCGAAACGACCCTCAATAATACCGTCCACACTCATTGATGAGGTCCCTTGTTGAAAATCCGCTGGTAAATCTTCAGCGCTAACTGAGCATCATGTTTTAGAAAACTCTTTCCCACCCACTCTCCTCGCGACGCTCATCGCGGCCCAACATATGCGTCCCTTCCAGCCTCTACCAATGATCTTCCCACCAGCTCTCCTATTCACCACATACCTCAATCTACTTGACTACAAGGTCGATGCGGCGGGCGTGAGTGCCGCATGGTCGGGTTTATATTTGCTCCTGGCCGCGAAGAGGAAGCAACCATTCATGAAAAAGTGGAACGCTAGAGGGATTGTGAGGGGTGCTGCTATGGGGTTGGGGTTTACCAATATGGTTAGTGGTGGGTTGGTTTATATGCTTGGGAAGAGGAGGGATGAAGATGGAGAGGGGTTAAGTGTTTGAGCAACCAGAAGTCAGAAGCATTTGTGGAGGCATTTTGGACCCCCTTTTTTTAAGTATGGATTAACTTCATAGCTATGGCATTGATGGTGTTATGGGCATGTTTTCGGGCTGGGTTCTGGTTTTCTGCAACGTGTGGTTCATGTATATATTGGATGGCTTTAAGCTGGTATTCACATCGGTTGTAGAATCCACGAGCTTTTAATACCTTGGCCGACCAGTGTGTCATTGTGCAGGCTCGACCAGTGTTTGTTATCGGGATTGCATGAGCAGTCTTACGGGTCATTGAACCATTATCGTAACGTCAATGTCTAGATATCACCGTTATTCCTCCTTCATCCAGAAGAGGGATGCAACCGCCCGTTACTCTTAATGCCCTGCGGAAAAGAGCCGGCCTAAAGGAAGTACGTAGACGAGTAGACGAGAGGATGCGTAGATAGAGTAAATCGCGTCATTCAAAACCATCACATTCATGAACTAACATACAAGCGCTGGGATATTACCCAGTCGCAAACATCGGGCGTGACAAATCTTTCTAGGGCATCGACATCGTTATTCATCGCCGCATTTCTAGCTTTCGTTGAGCTCACAGCTTCTTCCCCAGGTTTCCCCCCCTCAACCAGTTCGATACGCTCAGCCCATTCTCGCTTACCTCCATCGTGTTCCCGGGCCCCTTGGGCTAGAGTTTGTAGGAATAATTCCTGATCCTCTCGCCGGCCCCACTCCGAATCTTCCCGGAACGTCACTCTTAATCTATGCTGGCCGAAGAACTTGCCTAGGGGCTGAAGAGTATGTTCGGGGGGATAGTATTTGGTATCAAGGATTCGAACTAGTGTATCGTATCCCGTAAGGAGAATCTGTTCAGGCGAACCTGGATAGAAATCCGATGTGGAAATAGCCGCCGCTTTGTCTATAAAGTATGGTAACTTGGTTACTCCGATATCGACAGTTGGTGCGCTCTGTTGGCCTCCCTGAGCATTATCACGGCTGACGATGGCTTGGGTGACGGCGGCCTGAATGTTTTCGGCAAATATCCGCATCATGACGAGTCGATCCTCAAATGAAGCCGGCTTGGAAGGCTTGTCGGCATTCTGTGTAGCAAGAAGAAGCAGGAGTCTGACAGCTGGTATGTACTCATGCTGGCGCAGGGCTGATTTGGCGATGCTGAGGTGGGCTTTTGTTGGAGGGTTGAAAGATGAGTCCAACACATAGAGCTTGGTTGGCTGTCCTGCCTGGAGTTTGTTTGCGGGCACTGTATCCAGGACCCGGAAACCATCTGAAGATGAAATGAAATCATGGAGAGAGGTATGATATGTCTGCCGCAGGTGATGTAGAGATCGAACTTCAAGCTTAGGCGCCATGGGTAAGAAGTGGGTGTTCAAGGCTGTGCCAATAACAATAGGAAAGCCGTGGGAATTGTTCAGGACGGGAAATTATTATTATTCTGGAATATTCTACTACCAGAGTTATTTTCGTTTTGCCAGGCGTTGTTATTTCTATCCAGGAAAGCTAAATATTCGAGTGGGTTTAACTGATCTGAATAGATACATACATTCTGTGCTAGCGAGGTTCCTTGGCTGATATACACGCCAAAAGCTTAAATAGTGATATAAAAATAACTTCACCCACTGTACATATTTTAGCTGAAAATAATGAAATATGTTAGTATCATATAGCGTCCTCAGAATAATTCAAAAAAAAAAAAAAAAAAAAAAAAAAAAAAGAGCACATTTTTTGAGCCTTTCCAAAGCTTAACGATAGAGCCAAGCGCGGTCGTCAATGCTTACGCCGCCGTGCTTCCTTTTTTTCTAGCAGCATCCCTCATTCATTCCGTTCAAACTAGTTTCAATTTAATTTAATTTTAATTTAATTTTTTTTGAATGTTCTATTCATACATTGAAGTGGCTCTTGGATGAACTCATTCACTCGGAAATGCACTCTGTATTGTCGTCTTGTTTCTGCTTCGCAGTGCAGTCACGCATAAACCAATCAAAAAATTATAGACAGCTACGATCAGGATATCTCCAGCTCTATACTAGGAATTCCCGCGCAATCCGTTTGGATGAACATCGAGTAGTGGAGGAAGGATGTAATGTTCTCGAACGTGATATTATGAACTTCATTGCTGTCAACGCAATCACTCCTGTGTCAAAGACCTACAAGATCAAGTTTGTCGAGGTGCGGAAAACCTTCTATATTGTCATAGACTATATGCACGGCGAGCCGCTGGACAAAGCTTGGATGTATTTAACCCAGGGCCGTCGAGCGTACACCTGCCGCCAGATTGCTGGCTACCTTGAGGAGCTTCGGCAATTAACAGGCAAATAAATTGAGGCAATTAATTATTCCCGCTGGAGTGGGCCGTTTGAGAGCGAGAATGATTTCAACCGCTTTATGGCGTCAGATGCTTAGGAATATCCCTGCCACAATCATACTATCCATTTTGCTCACGACGACTTCAGTCCCAGGAATATGCTGGTCGATGAGGCCGGTCAAGTGACAGCGGTTTTTGGCTGGGAGTGGGCAGGACGGTTTCCGGAGTACTGGGATGCTGTGCGGATATTCATAGACATGCTATCTACGAAGCAGATGCCCGAATATGCGAATCTCCTCCTTTCCGTTCTCCCGAACCAATGTGAGGAGTATCTTGCAATGGTATACATTGTAAGGCTTGAAGCGCCTGACCAAGTTGGCAGACCATTCATCCACTAGCTTTGTCTGAATGAGGGCTTTGCTTCTTCCTCCCGTTTTTTGCGCAGCTATCTAGGCAGTTTGTACTTCATCGTTAGAGAACTTTTTTGAGTTTGCTGGTACCATATATTTGCTTGAGCCTGTGCATTTGATAATTGATATCAAGTGTGTTTCTTGCGTGAAATTGATACCTCGGGACATAGGCTGCGCTCCTGGACGCCGTTGCAATATGGGCCAAATAATTTAAACTGGACCCTCACATCGTAGATCCAACATCCCGCTTGATGCTTCACAGCATGCTAGCATCATGCCACCTGCTATCCATGAATGGCTTCATTATCATTTCCCGAGCCGTAGATCTTGGCATCTCAAGTCTTGGCGAGGTAAAGTGATTCTGCAAGTACGGAACAGAGTTGCAGTGTTTCTGTGTATGATCTCATCACCTTCGCCGTTGCCTTGAATCGTCACCCTGGAACAACGATTAGAGTAGACTGGCCCATGATGCATCACCAATTGATACGTTTGGTATTGCAACTTGGAGGTGAGAATGGCATCTAACAACACGCGCAACTGGATGCTATAGTTTGGTTGCAGGTCCGGATTCCCGGCCTGTCCGCTACAGCTCCTCGTCACTTGTATTGTCCAAGGCTTGCTGCTCATTGGGACTGCTCTACCTGGGACATTTCTTGAATTGCAGTTGAATTCGAATGTCGGTTTGGAGCGAATTTGGCCTATCCGGCATCCATACTATCTGCATCGTTGTGGCCTCCCAAGCCATTAAATGTAGCTCCTTCCCCCGCCGAAGATAACCCCCTTCTGCGTTGCTTGTCCATATCATCTGGTCTATTCTTCACTGTTGAGTGATTGAATACTTTGCGTATGTGTTCACGCTTACCTTCATTACGCCGATTGGCCCGATCCCGGGCTAGCCTTGCCAGCGATGGATGAGACTTATATCCGCATCCTGGTCTGGAGCAGGCGGGTCTTGGAGGACACCATACCTAACTGCCACGCTGCCGTCTTCTTCAGCCTACCAGGCGACACAAATGGTAATATTCTTCACGCCTTAGCCGCCCCCCAAAAATCTCTCCATTCACCAGCTGCAAGGCTATGACCCTTTGAATAGCGATAACATGACCGGTTCTGTGCACATTGCCATAATAAACCGAAGTATCGACGTGGCTGGTGCTATCGCCGCCCGAGTCCCAGCCAACACGACGCGAATAGATGGAATGGATAGAATTGCCAGAACTGGATTGGGGACGTCCTGCAGAAACTAGGAGATGAGGGCCTGATGACCCAACATGAGAGACTCGATGGTATTGGCGGAATGGCCGACATTCTCATTCAAGGTGCGGGAGATAACTAGGCGGCAGTTAGCACTCCAGCAATCAAGCTGTATGCGAATTGTCGGTGAAAGAACTTCAGTAGTGGTTTTCAACAGTAGGAGATTGTTCGAGAAAAAGGCGGATTAAATAGCGGAATACTAGTTATTTTCATCGGCCAACATTTGGTTTCGTTTTGCTCATGGATGAGCTAGGATGCAATGTGGTAGTAGAATCGGTGGTTTCGACCTGCTCATGGATGTGTACAATGTTTTTGACTGGTCAAATGTCCCTTCACCCCATTTTGCACTCGAAAAATGTTGACTGCACCCATTGAAAGCAGGCAATAATAAGCAGGAAGTAAGAATATTTAGTGTTGAAGTTAAGTTAAACTTCCGGAGCCTTAGGAGCATTTTCCCGGACACCACCTGTAGTGGATAACTACTCGTAGTTAGTTATGAGGGAAATTGAAAGTACGCAGAGTAAAACGATAACAATCTTAAAGAGAGCACACTGCTCAACATGTGAGGTATGGACATACAAATTGTTCGTCGTTCCGTGATAACCCACTGAATAACCACAAGCTTAAATGCCTGGCAGCGTGCATCTGAATCGGAAGAGTTCCATTATTCCACGGATTTCGGTTTCGGTAGCAGCATTAAATAAATGCCCGAAATTCGGTTGAAACAATTAACGGACCCATTTCCCGCGCCGTGACGCCTGCCGATGCAACGGGTGGGCGAGGTTGGTTCATCACAAACAAACATTGATGTCGCTGAGTGGTGACACGCTAATTGATGAATGTGGTAAAATGGGGATACCAAGCAGCCGCCGCTCATCTGAACTCCGTACTTCCCGCGTCTGACATGGATAGCTTGATTTGACGAGCATTGGCTTGGAGTGACTAACATTATGCGATAATAACATCCCCTGCCCCACGCGAAACGCCGGAGTTCCAGCCCGCGCATTTTGTGTTTTCCGTCCAAACATCAGCAACGAAACATTCCATGTTGAAGTGGCGACCCCCCAATAAATCATACCTCACAGATGCATGTGCCGCTTGGTCATTATTACCAGTAATAAATCTACATCCTAGAAGTATGAAGGAAAACAAACTCTTCTCCCGAACGCCTGATGGGAATGCTGGACTTGACGGCAATTGCAATGATGTCAGAGACGCGTTGAGCCACTGTGATTTGCTCGAGCAAGCCTCGATATTTGATTGGCGACGTTAGCTACTGGCCAGGGGTATGGTATGTACGCAGCAGTTATACGGAGTATATGCTTGGCCATTATCCCACGACGTCGAGCCAACCCTCTGTGGATTGTTTCATCGATCGCGCCAATCGTCATGCACATTAACTGGTCTGGTGAGACCTTCTCAGCTCTGTCATCATACCATTCGTGCGGTTTTCAAGTTTGCGTTTTAGATATTCGGACTCTTCGGACTCTGGGAGGCTGCCCTGCCTTGGTTGGATATGATGCTGGCCAAGATATAAAGATCTACCCGGCCAATTTGATTGAGAGCGCTTCTCCCCGGTTATTCAGCACAATTCTCTGCGAGCTCCATTCCAGAACATGGAATTTTGAGTTGTGAGATCCGAGTTCTTCGCTATGGCAGCTTCGTTGTCAAACAAAGCCACTCCAAAAGCCCAGGTCCAACGGACGGGACTCACTTGGCGCTGGTCCCTGCAATCAAAGTTAACGCTGAGAGACGACGCTAATTGGAGGTTCACTCAACCCCTTGCTAGCTCATATATTCTCCGTGTGTCAGGTCAGGTCCCCGCCTATACTGCCCGATACCATACCGACCACTTCAACCCCGAGGTTGAGGTGGTTGGGCAAGTCTCTATCATCACACTTCTGTTGGAATTCATGCAAATGAGCATTCAGAATTAGTTTCACAACCCTGCTATTAATTCTCTGCAACAAATCATAGGCCTTTGTCAACTACGGCTATTCGTTTGGAACTAGGAAAACAGCTATGTATCCCGATTGTACGGAGTATCTCGCCTAAACCGGCCAGGAAATGAGCTTATGTCTCATCCGCCATGGACTTCAGTTGGGGTTTGGCCCCTGGGCGAATAACGTCGATGAGAACGAATTGCAGGGACTATGGGGCTTGCTGGGAATGCTCCACTTGTTAGCATGATGGTCTGCCAAAGCGGCAGAAAGAGTGTCCCACTCTCAGAAACGGGACGAAATCCGAATGCCCTTTTGTATCTCACCTCTCCTCCGAGTTTCTATATTTTCTTCTCTCTCTCTTTTTGTCCTTTTTCACCTTCTCAGTGTTTTTTTTCACACTCTTTTGTTCGTTCAGATTTTTCTGTTCTACATTCCTTTAGAACTCTAGCGACAGGGTCGTTATTTCTCCCCAATTCAGTCGTTCTTTACGGACTACCCTTCGCGAATTGATTTCGCAGTCATTACTTGACGACATTTGCGGTACTGATTTTGTTCTTTTATTGATAAAAAGAACATCAAACAAATTCTTCTGTTTTACGATTGCTTCTTTGAGTTTATTTTAAGTGGCATTGATTGCCATTTCGTCTCCACAATGCATTTCATCAGCAAGCTATCCATTGCTGCCACCGTAACGGCGGCAGCTCTTACCCAGGCTCAACCTCTCAAGAGATTTGGCTACCGTGATGATTCGATTCGATCCAACGACGGAAACGCAAACGCTGCCGGTCAATATCCATCAGGCCCACCACCAGCCATGTCGATTCTGCCCGTTTCAAGCGACGTTGATCCCATTGATACCCCCTACAGCTCACCCACCAGCACCAGGGAAGTGACTCCAAGTTACGGCCCTCCTACAGTCTCAGTTGGATACTCAGCCAGCCTTCCATCCGATTACTCGATTCCCACCAGCCTTGCTACTCCAACTTACGGACCACCCTCGGTCACAGATGCATTCCCAACTGGTAATCCAACTGACGACTCGGTTCCCACCGACGTGACTCCAACCTACGGACCACCCTCGGTCACAGGAGCATTCCCAACTGGTAACCCGACTGACGACTCGGTTCCCACCGACGTGACTCCAACCTACGGACCGCCCTCGGTCACAGCTGAATTCCCAACCAGCATTCCAGCTGACTATTCGCCCCCGGCCAGCTCAGACTCCGGCCCAATCACCGTGACGGTTCGACCTCTGCCTGTGTCCTCAGCCTCTGGTGTTAATCCCATCCAGACCAGCTCCACCAGTGATAGCCAAGCAACCCCAACTTACGGACCTCCTTCGGTTACCAGTGGATTCCCAACCATTCCAGCTGATAACCCAGGCCCCATCAGCTCGAAAACAGCAACTGTGACTTACACACTCGGAACTGGAACCGAGACAGTCGTGGTCACTCGAACTGTCACCATTGGCGTTCCTCCTCAACACCAGAAGCCCACCCCAGTATGTCCATGAATCTCAAAGAGAAAGAAATCACTCTTGCTGACTTGGATGTTCTAGCCCCCTGACGCTGGTGTAGATCCTATCTCTGATTCCACCACTACGTTGTCAACAACCTCGACGACAACTACTACTATTACCCTAGAACCGTCACCCACTCCTGGCAACAGTAAACCCAGCAAGCCTAATCGGCCGGGCAGACCTGGTGGCTCCCCATGCAAACCTGTTGTTATTGTAACTGTTACTGAGGAAGCAGTCACAGTGGTATGATTTGTCATAGACCTCTGCTGCTGCACTTTTTCTGACAATAGTTAAATAGACCGCTACTCCAACGGCTGTTGATCCAACGTTTGACAACCCAAAACCGACAGAGGTGGTCACACCACACCCATATCCGACTACACCAAGTGATGACGACGACGACGTGACTTCTGCACTGCCATCAACTTCTTCAGTTAGTGTTCCCGTCAAAGTCCCGCTGCCTCCTTACCCTACCGGGACCACTGTTCGCGCCAAACCTACGACTTCCTCAGGGTTCCTCACCAGAGTGCATCCGATCCCCACCGGAGGCTATTACTATTAAGAAATGCACTATAGCATCGTGGTTCCTGGAGGGTACCTCAAAAAGTTACCCGTAATGCCTTGCTCAAATTTTTACAACAGTCCTTAAAGCATCCAACCCTAGGTAGGGCTACCAGTATGACTATGGACTGTTTTAGTGCTACGGGGGATTAAAAAGCGATTCATTCACTAGTGCACCATTCCGAAGCGTCGAATATTTCGAGACGGGGATATGACTTGCTTTTCAACCTCGATTTTTCTTCTCTATTCTTCTTGCGCAAGATATCTGGTTTTCCGGAGGTATGGGACTTGAGGGAGTTTGGATATAGGGGTACGGGCCAAGGAAAACTACCTAGACGTTCAGTTTTCAGTTCTCGGAATATTATTCCTCGCCCAATCAACTTTTCCGAAATCCCCTGAATTCCATTTTCGGCCATTTCTTGTCTCAGTCTCTTGGCTGCCTTATTCTGCCTTTATTTATCTTTCTCTTCTTTTCTTTGATAGATTACTTTAGCCAACAAGGTTTATATATTGATGGTGCCATTATATGTACTGTACATTTGTTTATTGTTTATCTTTTTTATTTATTTTTTATTTATTTTTTTATTTATTTTTTTTAAATCGTCCCAGTCTGATGAGCGCAGCTGGGGGTTTGAATATCGTAGAGAGTTGTATTCCACATATGCAAATTTGGAGCCTGCCAACCCCGGCTCTGAGTTGAATGGTTTAGTTTTTTGTCCTGTTATGCCCTCAGGCCGGCGTATTTGTCTTCCCTTATTTACTATTTCGTTGGCCCATGCATAAATTATGCAAGGCATATCAAGGTTAGAGGCGCAATAATTGACTGTACGTTGGTAAACTTATCATCCATTTAGCCCTTTAAAATGTCTGTTCTTCTTGTTGCCCCATAATGATTTCCGTTTGTAAAACATTTTTCCAGAATTGGTCGGATACGACATGGTTTATATTTATTAGTATTATCCAATGGCCCGCCCAGGGGTTCTTCGCACTAAGTATTAAATATGTGACATTTGCTGCACACTGGCGCTCAGTCCTCGGGACTGGTTTGTTTCTATTTGAACTTCTAGCTGAATTTTTCTCCACCAGGCTTGTTTCACGTTTCAGATTTCCCGTTTGGCCTTTGGTCCTTGGATGGTCGAGACCCTGGCAACGGTTTTCCTCAAACAATGATTTGTCGATAGCTGTCGCGCGGCCACATGCCTGGACAACAACCTCTTCGGACGGGTATAAATGAGAAGAAAGGAGAAAGGGGAAAGGAAAGTACGGTAATGGGGCATGCTCGTTAAAATCTAATCATGTTGAAAGATTAAATAAAAACAGAAGGTGGGTATTATTCAAACAGGGGTATATAAGAAACATAATGTCTACCGTTCAAATCCATTTAAATTTAAATTTTTTGTTTTTTTTTTTTTTTTTTTTTGGATCCTGCCAATTATTCAGATTGTCGTAGGAGGTTAACGCCACTTCAATACGTGGGTGATATGTTAATTGCAAATCATTATCAGGAAAGTGTTGTATTCAGTTGCCGTCGTTGTCAAATCAAAGCGAATCAATTGCCTATCTTCGATGAAACCGCCTCAAGTCCACAACGAGCGATTTTTTGCCGCGTATTCTGCCATTCTAACCATGTCATAGCTTGTAACAGGCAATCAGCGAGGTCATCAAGTTTCTCGATTTCCAGTGCTTGTAAATCATCCATTGCGAAATGAGAAACCTTATTCGAAGAAGTGGTTGAAGAAGCGGTGGGCTTGGTAGAGCCTCCTTTTGTCTTTGCGTTGGTTCTTTTCAGCTTCTTTTCCCATTTCTTTAAGTAGGCTTTAACTACCTCATGCATCCGACGGTCGTCGCCGAACTGTATGCCGATATGACCACCTGAGTCTGCTGGTCCTATGCCACCAGCGTCTGATCCAGTACATGACGAGAGGAGTTTGCCAATTCGATCTATTTTGATTTGCTTGCGTCTATTCGGAGTCATTGATTGGGATATCTTCTTCGTTGACGAGACCTCTGTCTTCTTGCCTTTCGGATGCAGATCGAGTTCTTCTTCATCCATCCAGTATTTCATTACTCGTTGAGGCTCCACACCTTCGACGACAATGTTGGCTAAGTCGCCTTTCCGCTCCAGTTGTATGGAACGAAGAACCGCGTAGAGCATTCCTTCAAAGACGCCGACGCGAATGGTCCATTCCTGGACAGAGCTACCTCCGCCAGATCGAAATCGTTGCCTTTCAATAAGAATGTGTGTCGGTTTATATGTTGCGAGGAGAGATGACATGAGGGTGTATGCGTGTGTAGCATATAGTTTGGGCGCAAAGGACTCCTTTTCCTTTTCCTTTTCCTTCTCCTTCTCCTTCTCCTTCTCCTTCACCTTTCCATCACACTGACTAGCCTCAAGTGTGTCGAGAGCATTCGATCTGCTCGCCTTCGATGTCTTATTTTGCGGCTTCATTTCCTCACCCAAGTGCAAATCCAAAACTTGCTTGTCTGACGCCAAATTGGCCACAAAAGTAGGAACAGATAAGCGATACCACGCACTCAAAAAAGGAGGTTTTAACTCGCCGGCTTGGCCCGGCGGAACCACCAGGTGGGCAAATGCCAAGTTTCGGATGCCCATGTCAATACTTAGAATGCTTGCCGGTTTTTTGTGGTTTATTAATGATTCTTCTTGGCTAGCATTTTGGGCTGCACATCGTGGTTCACCGTTGAGTACTTGGCCCAAACGTTCTATGAGAACCGGTTTGGTACCCGAAGACAATATTCCCGTCAGAGAAGCAAGGCGTTGAAGCTGGCGTACTTTAAGAGCAGGTAGCCATTTCGTAGGGCATGTAGGAGGGGTCATATGCCCTCAGATCCTCTGTGCACACAAGGCGCGGAGGAAGTAACAAATACTAATATTTTCGGAATCTTTTGCGAGTGTACTTATTTGTTGGATGAATGGGAAAAATATATGAAGTCCGGGTTTGTGGCTAAAAGTGTGAGAATCAGATGGGTTAAGCTCTTCAGCTAAATAGAGTAGCTAGTTAAGGGTCATTATTTTACTAACCATTTAATTTCTTCACTTTCAATTATTATAAAGGTCACACGCTTCTATCTCCGTGTTAGACACGACACGGCATGCAATTTCGCTAAAATAAACGGTGTTTAAGTTCGACTAAGCGCGTCTTCCGCGCGGCTAAATAGTTCCTCCACCACTAACTACTCTGTATGGTTATGTCAACATGAACTTGCGGACTTTAGCACGATTCTTACCTGGTTGTAACAAGGCTGGAGGTTCATTAAGGCCCCTGAGATTTCCCCTAGCGGCATCAGGACAGCTTCTGCGATTTCTCATCCAGTACAGCTTGTTTCGGGTTTAAGGTGTTTCAATCTCGAGATTTTATGATTTACAACATGAGTCTCGGTTTGACTGGTTGCTAATGTCGTGATAGATACGAAGTAGGACTGATCCAGTACACCTCCGTCTCCTATGGTTCCTTACCCTTCTATACCATACCACTCCTCCTGGATGCTGAAGGGGCTAGCTGGGGGGCTAGTTAGGCCGATTGTAAAGTTATCTAACCATCTCTGCAGCCTGGCGCGGCTATGGAGAGATCTTTGGGTCTAACCCCAGTTTTCACGCATACCCCCTCTACATATGGACACACAAGCCTCCTTGAATTAATTTCATCTTCACGATTATTGCAAATTTGCTAACGCTACATCCATAGGGAGGGCTTCGCCTGAGTGATTGCGCTTCATGCTTTGTACGAAGAGATAAAGGTAAAAAAGAAAGAAAAAATCTTCGGCCAAAACCGCTTGATTCACACGAAAGGTTCGTGTGCTGCCCTGCACACTTGGGACACCTATATGAGCTGCGTCGACAGCACGTAAAGCAGACATTATCGAGATGGCAGTTACGCTCAAAAAGGTCATCCTCTGAAGCGGAAGGCTTCCTGAATTGTGCGCCGTTAATACAAAACAAGTTCCAGTCAGCTTTTGACTAGGTGCCTTCGGGGAGCAATATAACATCTCTTAATTCAAAACGTTGGCTTTAGCAGATTCGCTTTCCGTCAAGCACACCTTTCGTTTGATTCGACCATCAAATCGACCCCGTGCATAGTTTCTCAATTACCAATAGCTTGGGCGGGTCAAAATTACATGCGAGGAGATTGGCCGGCTCCTGGAATCGAGAGTTCAGCTGCTTGCCCTAATTCCCGCGCCATTTATTGTGCGCTTTTCACGGACAAGATCCAGAGCCCAACAGAGGTTCCGCCCGCAAAAAGGCAAGTGCAGAGAGCAGCATGAGCCGCCTTTGTTAATAATATATAGTTAACGTCGAATTTAACGGTATTTAAGTTGTGAGCAAGAAATGGTCATGGTAATTTCGAAGAAGCACAGGCTGAAACCCTCACAAACTGCAATGCTTCATTCATGCCTGGAGGACGAAGTTTGGGCCCTTTGTCTGTAGTGACTTGCCGCGCTAGGAAATCCTTCATACGAAATACCCCGCGGCGCACAGCCCCAGCATTGACAGTTATTCTGCCCTCAAACTGCTAGATTTATGTGATATTATTTCACCCATTCCTGAGAAACTAACATCACCCATTCCTTGTTGCATGTTTCTTTTTCAGTTTTATTTATTTTATTTTTCTTCGTCGTGAATCTCCACACCCAAGAGTTTCGCTCGGTTGGAGTGGCCGAAAGCTTGTTCCGTAAGCCGAACCAGAGCTATTGAATCAAGCAAAATGAATGAGGGCACGCCGTTGATTGTTCCCCGTGGTTTCAGCCATGCAGTCCACGAACTGAGAAAGTCCTCATCCATTGTAAGTAACAACACTTCCGGCGCGGCGGCGTTGGGGAAAAGGAAAAGGAGGGGTAGAGGGGCTTTTTTTCGATCCCTCGAGATATTCAAAGACAGATCGACGGGACTCATTTTGTCCATTGAGAGTTCAAAGTTATGGTTCTAAATACCCTTAATAGATATCATGCCTTAGTCTTTGATCTTTATTTTCTTTTCTTTTAGAACTGTAGTGGCTAATACTCCGAGCAGCCAGCACTCCCAAAGAAAATCCTGGTGCCGCGAACACGTCGAGGAAGCCACGGTATTTAGTTTGCTGTTGTCACCGTACTCCTTTCCTCTGCAGCATAATCTAACTGATACCATAGATGAAGGTTCGCTGCCTCCCGTTTTCAAGGTGTGGATTGATGATGCTATGAAGAGCCTGCTTGACCAAGAAGATACGGACAAGAATTTGCAGATTACCATCCTTGATAATGGGCCAAAGGTAGGAGAGATGACTATATACCTGGCACATATCTTTAAGGAAATGAAATTTTTTGTTGAAGGTCAATCTTAGGTGATTTCGTTGGGAACCTTGCTCTCTGACGGCGGTCGGACGCGGGAAATCCGAGGCACATATCTGCTTGCAAATCTACTCGAGGAACTACATTTGACGAAGGGGAAGCATGCATCAAAGCTGATCCACTTCAGCGATGTCTCCGAAGACCCGGTTAGCCGTATCAACCGAAAAATTAAGGACGAGTACTGGAACAACTTGACTAGACGGCTAGACGAGTCTATGATCGAGGCTGCTGCGCCGGACCCCAAGGACTGGAACGAGAACCCGCGCCCACGGATTTTTGTTCCATATGGCGAGGGGCGACTGTACGATTATTACTGCCAAGTTTCAAAGAACAAACCCGAATTAAAACTGGAGGTGCAGTACCTCCCCCAGGGAGAGGTTACCGCTGAATTCGTTCATGGCCTTCGAGATCGACCTGGTTTGCTCGCGCTCGAAATGGATTATTCGAACCCAGATAAATTGCGGGGACTGCAGTTTATTGTACCTGGTGGTCGATTCAATGAATGCTACTATTGGGATAGCTATTTTGCCTGTCTTGGTCTCCTGGAAATCGGAAGGATTGATCTTGTGAGGGACATTCTTAATAATTTCATATTCCAAGTGAAACATTATGGCAAGATTCCGAATGCAAATCGGTCATATTATCTCTGCAGGTCGCAACCGCCGTTTCTCTCGGATCTCGCCGTGCGAACTTTCCAAGGCATGAACAACAAGGAAGAGGCAGCTGAAGTTTTGCGATCCGGGATTCTGGCAGCAATCAAAGAGTACTTCACCGTTTGGATGTCGGAACCGCGATATGATCCGACAACTGGACTCTCGCGGTTTAAGCCGCCTGGTAAGGGTATCCCCTTGGAAGTCGAAGAAGGTCATTTCGACGCGGTTCTCTACAGCTACGCAGAAAAGTACACTTGTACAATTCCCGAGTTTATTAACCAGTATAACTCTGGGAATGTAAATGAACCTGAACTAGATGAATATTTCATGCATGATAGGGGAGTGCGGGAATCGGGACATGACACGTCGTAAGTCTGCTACTTTGACTTTAGGGATCGACCTAGTTTATTTGCTCCCGCAACAATGCTAATTCATAAGCAGCTATCGGTTCGACCAAGGCTGTGCAGACCTTGCCACTGTGGACCTGAATTGCCTTCTATACAAGTACGAAACCGATATAACTTGGGCCATCAAGACGGTTTTCAACGACAAGCTCCCCATACCAGCCGAATGGCGCACGACAGACATGGGGGATGACCATGTCGAAACATCAGCGTCCTGGCTCCAGCGTGCCAATCAGCGCCAGGAGCGTGCAAACAAATACCTCTGGGACCCTGAACAGGGAATGTACTTTGATTACAACACAAGAACCCATAAGCGCACCACCTATGAATACGTGACAACCCTATATCCGCTCTGGTGCGGCATCGCCAGCCGCGAACAAGCCGAATCCCTCCTTGCAAGAGCACTACCAAAATTCGAATGTGTCGGCGGCCTCAGCACCAGCACGGAGCAGTCCCGGGGCCCAGTCAGCATGCCTCACCGTCCCCCGAAGCAATGGGATTTCCCCTTTGGATGGGCGCCACATCAGATGCTTGCCTGGGATGGGCTGAAGCGATACGGTTACTTGCATGAAATGGAAAGGCTCGTATACCGTTGGCTGCAACTTATGGTTAGGGTCGCGGTGAATTACCACGGAGCGATCGTGGAGAAGTATGATGTGACTCAACTGGATAACCCCAGCCAGGTCGATGCGGAGTACGGGAATCAGGGGTTGGATTTTAAATACGCGAATATTGAGGGGTAAGCTTTGCCAGGCTTGTTTCTTCTTTTTCTTTTTCTTTATATTTCTTATTTTTTATTCATTTCTTTTTTTTTTTTTTTTTTTTCGGAAGGGTTTTCGGTCTTATATCATTGCTGACTGACACCTTTCGCGACTATAGATTCGGCTGGAGTAATGCTAGCTTTTCGTATGGGCTATCCTTGATCAAGCATCAGAAACTAATGGTGAAAGCTCTGGGACTCTGTGTCCCATACGATGATTTACGTATGGAGAGAGTTCATCGTTGACATATTCATATCGGCGGGCATTTATATTCCCTGCGGAATATCATGAATTTCCAACTTCTACTCTCCACACCGCGAGTACATGAATGTTAATGACGATGCGACGGATAGATAGGCTTAGATAGGGGCTTTTGGATACGACGATATCATGACATCCATTTTTTTTTTTTTTTTTTTTTAAATATATATATATAATATCTTGTGAGAACCTGTGCTTAGATTACCTGTGTTTAGAACCCTCTATTGTTATGCCAAGCCGATATGAAGTCCGCTTGTTCTGCATACATTTAACATTACGAGGTGACAGCTATAGAAAGGTGGGTTGTCCAAAAAGTAGGATCGCATTGGTCATATCAATTTAGTGGTTTGCCCACTATGAGATAGAATGGAACGTTTTGGGCGATGTATGGCCGCAGGATATGTGACAAAATGAGCCCAAATTGACAGGAATACAGATATATGAGTGCGCGGGCTAAGTGAAAATATCAATGGATGTAGAACCGGCTTTTCCAAACAAAACCATTGTTAGGTAGAAGAATTCGATCGTTTAGTCGTAAGAGTCGTGTTTACACGGAGAAATAAATACCTGGATGGAAAGCAGAAAGTTAACCAGGAGAATAAGAAGCATTTAGCAAAGTACATTAGATAGATAGGATGCACCAAAGTATAAATTTAGTTCTGATAGAGTAGGTCGTCCTCGTGAGGCTCATACTGAGATGAGGGTGGCACAAGAGATTTGCAAACCACCAACCGGCATATATCATTCCATGGCTGAATGAGATTTGCCAGGGAATCCTTCTGCGATTCATCCAAGACTACCGTATATTCCATATGAGCAACACCATCTTCCTTGTTGCCATAAATTATTTGTTTCAGTTGTTTTCGAGGTTCGGTGACATAAATCAACTCCCAAGGGCTGACTGCAATTGAGCCATTGGTGTTTCTGTAGAAACGAAGTCTGCTGCTGGCTGGTTGAGTTTTTGAGAATCGATCACCTGCAATGCGCCAGTCAACGATCGATTGAAAAAATCCGGTCACCTCGGGAGCTGCAGGGTTCGAAGGTGGGGGAGCGGGGCCGCTGTCATCATCTAGGTTCTGGTTCTCCGGTTGAATGGCGGAGCTGTTGAACTCGGCGAGCAATAGTGCGATGGTTAACTGGAGCTTTTGACTTAAATCTGCAAGTAGGAAATTTGCTTCCTGGTCGCTCCTCTCTTCCCTACCAATTACCAGTACTCGGTGCCCCGGTATCTTGGTGGCCGTGATACTTCCATCTGTCACTGGCGCTGCCGCGCCTGGTAATGCTTGCGATTGTTGCCGCATATTAAAACTCATCCCGCCAGGTACCCGCTCCATCTCCCACGTTCCACCTACCCGGGCCGAGAGGTTACCATTCACCAACGCCCTAAACTGACGGTAGAGCCGCTCCCCAGGCTCTCCCTCCGTCACGTATAGGTGAGACCAGTTTCTATCAGAAAGCGCGAGTATAGATAAGTCGACAATGCATGATGGAATGGCACGAGCAGGGCGGACGAGAGTGTCGTAGCTAAAACCTTGGTCGTAGCCTAGAAGAATAATGCGAGCATCCACATTCTTGAAATTGGGTGTGCCTGGCGAGGGCGTATTTACGGAGGACTCCGCTTTCTGTTTTTGCTCGTTACATATTGAGTAGATGAGAGTATATGTGTTCAACAGGAGGTCCTGAACGTCGTGAAGGAGTTTCTCTTCGCATCCAGAGAATGTGTGTTGGGCTTGTCCTAGGGTATAGCCTGGGTAGGGAAGGGCAATGTCGCACGAGACTTGCGCTGAATAGCGGACCGACAGGCGCTGGAGCCTTTGCAATGCGGCGCGAAGTGGAGGGCGATAGGCGGCGCTGAGTGCAGCGGCGGACAGAGGTTGCGGAGGCGGGGGAAGCAGGAGAAGCGCTAGCGGTGGATGATGGCCAGCCATGATTAATTAATTATATTAGCAGTTTGTTCCGCTGTGCTGCTTTTTTTTTTTCCAGAAGGTGAGTGTATGGCAGAAAGATTTAACTATCGCAGTAAGAAAGAAATCCAAACGAAGCGATCTAACAAGGATTGTCCATTAAATAAATAACTATCCTAGGAGGGGTTTCTTTGTCACTCTCCAAGCGCTCCATTGCAACCACTCCCTGCTCCAGTTAAATATTTAGCGCCCACCGCCTGAGGCATTTGTTCGCAGACACACTTGAACAAAACAACATGGTATGGTATTGGTAACTTATCCTTACCTAAATCATAGGCTTGTGCGCGCTCATGTTCAGCCCGCATCTGCCCTTGGATTTCAAGCCTACAGAGTAAATGAAGTCCAGTGGACCTCTGGCTGGGTCTTCATTATTATTATTATTATTATTGCCCATCCATCCATCTCACACTCTCGTCTTGATCAGCGGCTCTCACATGTCAAGGCCGCGTTCCTCTCAGTGAGTGGAGTGGTTGGGTTGTGTTGGGCACAAAAGCAACGGAACAGCTAACTTAGTTAGCTGGTGGCTTTCTGATCATTAAATAACTAGCTCTTCGCTCGACAGGCCATTGCATTATTGCATTGCATTGGCCCAATGGTGCTATTCCAGCCTTTCGGACCCCCGCGAACACTAACTAGCTCAAGCATTAGCTTGAAGTAACTTAACTAGTTATTTAAACAAGCTAGTTGCAATTTCAACGCCAGCTGCTGCCGTTTTACCCAACCAACCGTCATGGCAACTACCATTCTTTGCCTACCAACCAACCACTATTATTATGATTATTATTACCAGCCAGTCTCGATCTTCTGATCCATGCTGACCCTTGGGGGCTGTGAGGGCATGAAGGAACCAGGGTGGGTTGTCAAACATGGAGAACATCGGCTCTGACAGGCCGCAGAGCCTCCTAGGCCCGCATATAAAATATTCAATGCGTTGACAAGTTGACGCTTTATGTATCTTCCTCCCCCTTAAATCACACTCCAGCCTGTAACGGATGAAAACACTCGCAAGATGTCTCGCGTGGATGTGGTTGAGATCACGGATACAATGACTGACACCGTCATGGTCCATGAAAGAACACCGTCTGTTGCCTCTGAACTTCGACCAGCGGGCTGAGGATGGCAATTTTGCTAACACTATTTTGCACAGTGGTGATGAAGAAAAGGTCACAGTGACAACAGACGCTATGCTCCATCGCTTTGACAGGGACAGGGCAGCCCAGGCTGCCGCAGCCGAGATCGTACCAAAAGCACGAGCTAAACGACATGCTGCAACGCTTGCTGCCATGCGAAGGCTATACGAGGAGCGGAATAGTAACGGCATGAAGAACCTTCTTTTCTCCACCATTTTCAATGGTTATACACATTTACCTTCCGACCATGATCTTCACGACCTGGCTCGGTATCAATTCCCTCCCAGGGCATTACTCGAGGCTCAGGTTTGCGATTTCTATCCCGACCACGCGGAAGTTAAAGGGGTCCCTCTTGGAGATATTGAATCCCGTATGCTAGTTTCCCCCTACAATTGCTTCTTCCATGATCCTCCGATATATACTCCCATTTTGTATTGACAAAAGCAGACATGCTGACTCTTCTCAAGAGTGGCAAGACAAGCCTCACGGCGTTCAAGTTCGGTGGATGTAAGAGAAACTTATCATGCCGGGCTCTGTAATGATCATACACTGATTAATAATGAAATAGACATGTCCCAGTTGGTAGAGGAATTTATCACTCTGTGGGTTAAATGCTCCACGGCTCTAGCCTGTTTGCTGGAACGAGTGCTGATTCCAAATTTCGATTTAGTCTATTGAGGACTTGTTTCGACACGCGAGCAATGAGCACCCTCGCCCATTTAACAACGCTGGCCATGTTGGCTTTGCGTATGTTGAGCTCGACAATTTAAATTTTCGGCATCGTGAAGAGGTCGAAGATCTGCGAGACACTTACTGCTTGCTCTCAAGACTAGAGCATTTGTCTACTTCTGCGCCTGATTATAAAGGAGATGGTTTATCTCCCCAGACCACCGAAACATCGGTTGGACCTGAGCCACTGGACTGGGAGTGTCACCGAGGTGATAGAAATGCGAAGCTGCGAGCTGATCTAGAGTGGCGAGCAGATCATCTCAACACGGAGCTCACTTTCTGGGAGTTAGTTGCGTCCGATATACCTTGGCAAATCTCTGATGGTCTCCCGATCTGCGCAAGCGGGCCCTTGGGACGAATCAAGCCAGTCATCAACAGCTATGATTTTCGAGTTCTCTCCAGTCACCCAGCGTTTCTTGATGCCCAACTCGTTCGAAATGAGTTTCGGTTTTTCCATAGGAATGATGGTTCGCTCTAATATCCACCCTGTCGTAACCAAGACGAGACGGTGTACTCAAGCTGATAATTTTATGCAGGTTTTCTCTTGACCCTGTCTGCTGCGAAAGGCATTAATTATCTCGATGCTCGACTTCAAGAGTATCTCCGACAATCTCCTGACGACATCTTGCGAAACCCAGGGGCTTCGGCCGTGGGTCAAACCCTAAAGGAGTTTGCATCAACCGGAACGAGCACTTGGGAAAAACCCACTGCTGAATGGCTTGTCGTCCACCTCGCAACCGAAATCGGCGCATGCCCACACAATGACACTCTGGGCCATAATCAGATTTCTATAGTGGAAGCATACCAGGATATTCTTCGTGATCTTGTTTGTAGCCGAGAATCTAGCTCCTCATTCTAGGATTCGGCCATACTAACAAGAATCTATCAGAAACTACGTACCTATGAACCGTGGAGGCGCGACGAGACCGTTCGGTTGACAAGGACTTTTCTGCAGTGCATGGAGGAAATCAGGTTCATCAGCAAGATGCTAGAGTCGAGGCAGAGCCTGTTCACGCGGTTGAAGGAAGATGTTCGAACACATGATGAAGAGGATCGCAACAATGACATACCACACAACCCTGGCGGCGAGTCTTGCATGCATAGGGTGGACTGGGCTTTGGGCAAAATCCGACAACAGCGTGATGATATTGAGAATATTGCCCACGAAATTAAAAATTCCATGGATGATGTAGGCTGGCCCCATCTTCTGATTATAATACCCCTGAGGGGGCTCCCCCCCCACACACACACACAAAAAAAAAAAAAAAAACCCAGTCGCTCAAAGCATTCCGTCCAAACAAGAACCAGTCCATCCGGCAACTCATATACTTACCTCCATTCTCATGCAGCTCCTCCATCTCCGCACCATCGAACAAAATGAACTCACCATCGTTCGTGACAGCCAGCAGCGTGCGATCATGCTCTTCACCGCAGTGACGGTAATATTCCTCCCGCTCTCCTTTTGCACCTCCTACTTCGGCATGAACCTACAAGGTATCTCAGACACTGCCCGTTCGGAACGGTACTTCTGGTACGTCTGCGGCACGGCCGGATTTTCCATAGTAAGCGTGATTTCCATTTACGCCTTTTGGCACCCGGCTAAGGATCATCTGATGACCCTGCGGGAGCACCGGAAGTCGAAGCGCTTGGCAAGGGAAGAGAGGAAGCGGAGACTAAAAAGGAGGATCTCGAGTGAAAATGTGTAGAATTTGGAAGTTAGTAAGGCATATATACTGTTTTTACGTTTTAGTTCGTTTTGTTGATTACATTTTGGTCATTGATATTACCCCTTTAATTTTATCCAGTTTTCCGTTTCTTTTTTCTTAAATATACCAGCTCCGTCTACCTTTATTGTACAGCTTTGAATTTTTGTTTGTTTTCTCCCCATTTTGAGGTAATCCCGAAATTATATTTAATTTCTCGTAGTTTTTATTCGCCCTAAATTTATATATTCATCTTTCAGCCAGTGGCTGCTGTTTGTCCACATCGAATATTACGCTGTAATTGCCACAACTCTCCATCTAGCAACTTACGACAAAAATAAAGCCACGAAAAAAATACATAAAATTAAATTAAAATTAAAAAAGACTAACTTATGACGGGTTATCTATTTTCAGCTTGAGAGCCGGGAAAAATAATTACAATAACGGTAAAGTAGATGTACATGTACATGTATGTACAGTACATAAATGTCATTATATTTGGGGCACTTACGCAGTAATGCTTTTTTGGGTCTGCCGATTAAGGTGGACCGGCCCGAACCTTAAAAGTTATCCTATGTGGATCGGGCCGATTAACTCGGGGCCGGTTTTGTGCGTCACTTGTCACATCGATAAGCCCCCCTTCTCCCCCCCGCGGGGCGTTCACCAAAACATAGGAATGCCTCGTGAATAATGAAAACGAGGCTCACCGACCAAACGGTTGTCCCAGGTACGAAGATAATCATTGGATGAAAAAAGAAGGCGGCTACCTAGCACCTCCCGAGCTGAGTTACCTAGAAAATTGTGTGCGCTCGGCCTCTTTAAAATGGAATTTGACGGAAGTTGCACAGAGAGAGAGAGAGAGAGAGAGTCTGCGACAAGTTGTCGAAGCAGCCTCATTCTCACAATTCGTCTAGGGGCAAAAAGGGTGAGAGGGTCACCGAAACTGGAGGGACGGAACCTCTCTGGAAACTACCGCCCAGACATCGCGAAAATCTAATGATTATGAAGACGGATAAAATTATTGACCCCGGCAGACCAGAGAGCAGCAAACTACAGCGTACAGCACAGTGAGTTAAATGGTTTCTCCCTAGCGCTCCTTTGATGTAACTATCTCTGTTAATAGGGAGTGGAGGATTAAATAGCGAATGGCTATTCCCTAGTGTGTACTCTGCCGCTTGTCTGTGATTATCGCAATCAAGCGAAGTCAAGGACAACTTTTGATTTCCGTTCATCTGTTAGAAAGCCTTGTCAATCCTACCTGATCTGTCGCCTCATTTCACAGGCGTTTTATGAGGAAAATCCCAAATACGGAATTATTCGCCCGAATGGGCAAATAATCCAAATTGCTTACAGGTGGAGAGTGAAGCGTAGCTTTGCATCTATGAATAAGCGGTAGGTTGGGTAGATCGCTACTTTTGGATCAAGTTTCTCGGAGATATTCCGTTCGTGACTTTCCAACAAGAATTCTAACTTAACAGGGAATGATTAGATAATTGAGGAGTTCAGTGAAGCTGGGCTGGGAAGAGATGAAAAGTAAATTTCTGCAAATAATCTGTTTAATTAGACATTATAAGTTGTATGTTTCTCCAACTCCTCCAATTCCAATCCCGAAACAAAATAAGATCACTGTCGAGCTTTTCAACCTTTGGTCTCCTGAGGAAGTAGATTGTGGTTCACCTAAGTCTACATTCGAGGATGAGACGGATTGTGAGATGAAATAGGAAGATTAGAAATTTGTGAATGTTTCTAGAAGAAGTTTTGTTAAAAACAAGAGAAAGAAAAAATGAAGAAAAAATGAAAATGAAAAAAAAATGAAAAAAGAAAGAAAAGAAAAGGGTAAACAGACTTGAACTCAAGAAGTCGTAGGGTCCTCTGGTTTCCCCTTCATACCTCCCAAACGATTTCGGCTCCTCTGTGAAAAAGACTATTATTTTAAAACAAAGCAGAACATTCTATACCTAGCCTCTCCAACTTCCCGCATCTGTTGGCTCTGGTGTAAACGTGGTATCTTCATAAGTGCCAAAACTCCCAATGTGCATATAACTGTTGACGAGATAAAAGGAATAAGAAGCAAAAAATGAAACGGAAAGAGGGGATTTTATGGGGATAATGGGAAGGGAAAAGTGAATGAAAAAAAAGCTGGCTAATGACAAGATAATACTTAAAGTACCTAGAGAAAATGTCAACGCAAAGAGGGATAGATAAAAGTAAGGAGCAAAATATATGTACAAATAGGCAAAGGCAATGATTGCTTCCATTCACGAGGCATCTGGTCTAGTTACCTGTATTACGTGGCTAAACCCTTGGAGGATCAGGAATACTCAGAGCCTTTCATCACATCTCATCGACAACTCCAGGAGCGACGAAACGTGATCCACTCAACCCCCCCTCTCCCGGGTAATAAAGAAGCGGCGCCCAAATCCTCCAATGTAACACTCCGATATGAGCCAGGCGTTTTCCGAGGCATTGGATATCGGGTACCTGCGGCCACGACACGTAGTCGGATCGTTGCTCGAATTGTTGGGAGTCGGCAATGTCAAGCGCGGTCATATGCCAGTACTGACTCGCGAAGTTAACTGCAATATTTTTTAACTCGCGTTGAACGCATTGACGGACGGCCTCGAAAGGGCGGTTTCTGGGAGAAAGCTGATCTGATATGAAGTGGATGACGCGTGTGTCCGGACACGTAACCAAACTGCTTCCTTCTTTCATCATATGAGCCATCCGTGCAATTTCTAATGCAATACTAGGCGTGTTGGCTTCGAACCGGGCGATCAGGGAGTGTCCGGATACATCATTTTCGTGAGGGGTGTGTTCATCATACTGGAGGATTGACAGTATGCGAGACTGAAGAGAGTAATATAGCGCTGCGGAAACGTCGCCGTTAACAACCATGGTGAACGCCTGACAACATAGTCGAAGCAAAGTGAATGTCTCGATATTGGTTCGAATATTACATAGTCGGTCGAAGTCGAGCGCGAAGGAATCAGGAAACGGGGGTTGGCAAAAGGAGCAGAGATTTAAAGATAAAGCTTCGAATAAGATCTTCGCAGATTCGAAATCGTTGTGGACTGGTTCTGAATCGGTGTGGAACTCTCGCCAGTGCACAAAATACCAGATTTTTGAATTTTGAGCTTCGCTAGAAGACTTCATGGATTTCTTTATAAAGAAATCGTAGTGTTTTCGGAGATACTCAACAGAGTCCTCGATCAAATATAATCTGAATGCACGTATCTGATGATTTGCGACATCCTATATTCGAACATGTTAACAGTTGCTCCGTCAGATCTAGCTGATACGAGGCTTCTACTTACCAGTTTCATTGACTCAAGTATCGCAAAAAGCTGATGGAGGCCTTTCGATACTTCATTCATATCTTGAAATTGGCATCCATTTCGAATATGTTCGACCATATCATCCGACATATGATCCCTCATTGGCGCACAATGTGTTTTCAACAGGATGGCAAGCCATTCGGCAAGTCTGACCAGATTTAGGACCCCTTTTTCAACCTGCGTCATGAGGAACTTGGTATCTAAGTGTTCTTTAATATACACACGGTCGCGATCGGGAACAAGAGTCAACAGTATTTCTCTCAGTGCATCAAGCATATTTGGTAGTCTTGCCTGGAAAACCTGGCAAGAAGAAGACCTGCGTGCACCAAAAAACAAGTTGATGCTGTTGGAGGCGCCGAAGTTAAATATCGAAATTTCGATGGCTATGGCTTGCCAGTAGTCATTGGTCATTTTGGCCTTCGCAGGGCCACCAACAGGTCGAAAATGAAGATCCTTATCAAAATTGACATCCATGCGAAGCTGGGTGTTCTTCATAATGGCATCTAGGCCAAGTTCAGAGAGCGAATCTGCCGTCACCGGCGGGAACCTGCTGGCGCGATGCAATAATAACACCTCTTCCGGGCTAAGACTCAGCTGAGGCGGAATCAGCATTGCCTTGCTGTTTATGTCGGCGACTGAGGAGTGTGGTGATGGATAGTCGCCATCAGCAGTCGGTGATGATGCTCTGGGAGGACTTTCATTCATGAGAGCAGGTGAATGATCTCCACGCGGAGACTGTGAGTTTTGACCCAATTTCCCCAAAGCATTTTGAGATTCATCATTTGAATCATTTGTGACGTAGTATGATTTGTTAGACACATCTTCACTCTCCCCATGCGCTCTTCTCTCTTCGTTTTGCAAACCCGTCTCCATATGGAAGAGAACGTTATGTTCAAGCTTCTTCTGGAAGGAAAAGGGTAGAAAGTGTTCTACTATCCACAATGCCTTCTTCCCCTTTACAGTGGCCCGCTTTGATAAAGAAGACGTTTGTTTTGGCTGCAAACGGTAGATTGGTATCTCCTGGAAAGCCAGCGAAGCAGTCTCAGCGACAGTCCTGATAATATCTCATAAGAAAGGAATGATCTTTGAAAAGGCAACAAAAACGCCTTTCGAGAGAGAAAAGAAAGGGTTACCGTACAAGATAGCATGCAAATTGTTCGGCAAGTTTGGGTCAGGGCGGCCCGCGCTGAATGGTTCGTGGTGAGTGATGTGAGGCACTGTAGAAAAGTATTTACTGACAAGCGGAAGCACTTCAATAATCAATTAAATATTAGAGCGAAGAGATCGATAATTAAATTCTGTGGCATTTGGAGCGTTTAGTAGTCAACCTTAATTTATTTTAACGACGGGTCTAAGCGTACTTTAGGAACTTGGACAAAGTGTAGCGAGGTAGCCGAGTCCAGGATAAGAAGAAGAAAGCAATGGTCAAGAGTTGCCACATTGTTTCAGTTTGCTTGGATATTGTAAAAGTGAGGCTGTCAGCCACTAGCTATGCTGACTACCTCGCATTACCCAATCTGCGAACAGTTCAATTGGAGAATTCGGCATGGACAGTTTTTCTCTCCATTATTAAAGCCGGGCATTATGCACGGGGGTATCTTGATACTGTGGCTCGCCCATATTGGTGGTGAATCTGGTAAACACATGCCGGAACTGGCATATCTCAATCTACTGCAATATTTTGTATGTTCTTCCTCGACCAGGACGCTGCTGGTGGGCTTAGGAATTCCTATTCATTTCGTACTTGCCAAATTCAAGGCGTTGGAGGGTATTCCAAAAATGCTAGGACAAGTCGCAATCAAGGATGCAGAATCGAATATCCCATTGATACTAGATATGCTGGTACCCGTCAGTAATACGCGAAGACCAGCCTTTTATTGAGGGTAGTGGGCGGCCGTGACTTGGGGCTTGTTGCAGGTGGTCGTGGTCAAGAGCGTTGCTGTGCGTTACAACTTTTCTGTCAACAGAAAGGTCGATTGTCAAGAGGTAGTTCCCTGCACTTAAAGCCACCAGCCATCCTACCTGAGTCCCTTCCTTCTTCCCATGGATGGGATATTTCCGAAATTGAAATTCATGACATTTTCCAATCCGTTGGCCCTTCTTTTAAGGATGAACTGGCTAGACAATCATGGTTGTTAGGCCAATGCGGTCTGTCATAGAATGCATCATCAGCCCTCTGCCGATTGGAAATCTGGTATGGAATGTACGTGTATTTCCAAGTCACACTGGCCGTATCGATACATAGTTGTCTTTGGCGCCCCCTTCCTCACAGAATCATGGAGCAAGATTAAAATGTTGCAATACTTCTTCTGCTTCCCATAGGTCAAATCAAAGGCAAATTCCTTGAGATTACTCTCTCTCCCCACAGATAGTTTGTGTAAAATGATTCCTTGGCCGGTACTACAGTTGGTTATCTTATCGGAGAGGGCAACAAGTAGGTTGTGCGATTAGACAGAAAACCATGCCGGAGTTTTAGTTGCCGATTTCAAGTGTGACCGGGTGGTCACTGATTGGATTTAGTGAGTCAGGAGTCGAGACTGCGTTGTTGGTGGAGGATCTGCCATTTCCTTTCTTTCTTTCTTCCCTGGTTGTATTTTTTGCTTTTTCTGTTTCGTTTCCTTGCTCTTTCTCCCCGTCGTGGGGTTAACCTAACAATCGTCCTTCGTTTGTCTGTCATAATGGACAAAGAGAGGGCATAGAAAACGAAAGTCCTCTCAAAGCCCTTGATGATAAAGAATTTTCCGCCATTGTTTCACTTATCTCATGTAGCTTTGTCAGATCAATTATCGCCGTCCCTTGCTCTCATTATGATGGATAGAGCAAAAATCAATGGAGTAAGTGGGACAACTAGGAATGAAAAGAACTAAAACAAGGGATTATAATGCAGCCAAATATGGAGCAGTAGTGAGTGGCGCATTGGGAGCAGGTAGACGAAGGAGGGATCCAAATGCTGGGGATAATTATGTGGGATGGTCCCGACACACGGCTAATCCTCAAATAAGAGTAGGAAAACGACTCGCCTCACTTTTTCCGCTCCAGTCCAGTCCTGTATTTTTCGAAAGTAACCCCCGCCATCCTTTACTTCGCGGGCCCTGGACCCGGGGCAACGTCGTCAACATGAATAGCAGCATCCATAGCGTCCCAACAACAAAGTAGCGGTGGAGTCGGTGAGAGTCTTCGTTGAGGAACAAGTCTACAGAAGCCGGGAGCCGCGAGATGGCCAGGACAAGACGTACCTAGGTAGGGTTAGGGCCAAGGCTGTCACGTGGGTTTGTTAACTACCCAGGTACCTTACCTACTACTGGTTCTCATCTGGAAGCCTCCTTTCTACTTACTACATCTGTTCTTGTTTGAACGGTATTTGAAGTATCCTATCATGAACTTCTCCTACAAGACTAGTCTCTGGTCTTTGGTTGGATGGATCTACGCAGCCACGGAGTCGGAGATGCCTTCTGCGGTGGCACTTCATGCAATGGATTCCGCTGAAGGTGTTTACCACAGATTGGCCTGAGCTCTGCAACACGGTTGATGAGTTCGATAGAATATGGCCGTTGCATCAGCCTTGTTATTTTCGGATTGCATCCCAATCTCGTCATATATCGCTTGTTGATCATGTCTGGCAAGCGCATCTTGCACGCTCTCGAGGGGAAGCCACGGAATTTCCAGGTTTTAGATGCGGGCTGCCGCGCTGGAGAACGTTGTTGAAAGCGACCTGATCTAATACGACTGTCATACTATATGGCACAGAATCTCGTACAACAAACTCACCAATCTTTCTGTTCAACCTTTTAGTTCTGTGGGCGAGGTCATTCCGAATTGCCAGGTGACATTTTGCTTCGGAAAAGGCGTTTCGAATGACATTGGCGATTCCAAGAATCATCCCATACTATGGTCTGTACATCGAGCTTCGTTCATGTAGGACAATATTATGCACCCCACTTGATGTAGCAAATTCTACACGCTTCAATCTAGCAGAACGAATACGGCATTCCCCTGATTTGTTGCCAAGTTGATTGCCACCATATAACCTGTGACCAGTCCATAGAGGGCGGGGTGCAGAATGGATTTCCCCAATAACCCCGCTGATTATCTATACGGATATGAATTGCTCCGGGACCTAGGTTTTCGGGTTCAAGGGCTTCTTTTATCAACAGTACGTGATTTCGAGAGCAGCATGGAGATAGCCTCTAGTTATTCAACCTCCAAATTTATTGCGAGCGTTAGGTGATTGCTACTCATAAGGCACTTCTATCAACTACCGTTATTATGGGAAGAGAACCCCGACGTTATTGCTGGAACCATCACACAAATGTTGTTATCCGCTTGCTATACAATGATGATGTGGCATTTCCAAGCTGTTGTTTACTGCTAAACGATGACCGTGGTCTATTCCCGTTAACCTGCGATTTCCTGTTGTCCGTTTGTCTGTATATATAACCCACCCCTGTCTATTTGATATGGCAGTAAACCAGCTACAGTGTCTTTTGATCGGCAGGCTAACGGGTGAAAGTCAACTTCATAGTGCGGTCCCCCGTTCATTTCTACTTCTTTTCATTCTCACACTCGTTAACCCATTGCTCATGCAGTCTGGGCATGCAAACCCGCCACGGAAAAGTCATTCTCATGCTGCTTCCCGAATAGCAGAAATATCTAGATCACGTGATTTGTCATCATCCACCGTGGACCTGTCTCGACCCCCATGTCCTCCTCTGTACCAACAATCGAGTAGCATATTTGGAGGCAAACAACGACGGGATGGAGATATGCTCACAAGGGATCTACCACCACCGTCGAAAACTATGCCTTCACCTTAATCTATTCAGAGTCACTTTTGAATCACGGCAAAAGGCGGGCTGCGCCCCATAACAATCACTGCTTATTGAGACCAATATGCGGCGACGAGGTGTTCCAATGCATGAAATATCTGCTGTTTATTTTTATACTGGGAATCCCCAGTTATTTAACCTATTAATTGATGAAATCAACGTCACTGAAACCGTAGTGATGGCCTTGAAGGGTTATTTCAACATGTACTGGCTTTAATATCCAAAATATCTGCCCGATTCGCCCTCAACTGCAGGATTTCATCCAAGAATCTCAAGTTGTCTAAGAGTTCGAATCAACTTGTTGAGTTGCCTTCGCCTTTTAGAGCGTATAGCGATATTGGTGGCTTGCTTGAACCTTCTACATTTCCCAAAATCAGGCACGATGAACTGGGCTGATATACTTTCATTCCTATCATTTATCTGGGCGGTTCCAAATTTGTCCCCCAGTGGATCCTACAACCGTTCTGGGACGAACACAGCGCGATTCAGGGTTGAGTCACTCCCAGGGAATCCCATTATTCCTTCTAGCTATTCTGGATTAATTCCAATACCGGGAAGGGAAGAAGGGAGCGCCTTGTTCTTTTGGCTTTTTGAAGCTGAAAACTACGAAGACGATGAAAATCTCATCAGTAAGTCTCTCATGCTGTAAAAGTTGCTACGCAAGACTTCTTACCGCCGCGATAATTTGTTGACGAGTTGATAAATTAGTTTTTTTCAAGGGCGGCCCTGGTTGCAGCTCCGTCATCAGCGCCCTCTCCGAAAATGGGCCTCTCGCGTTCGTCCACAATGATTCAATACCAACTCCAAACCCTCACTCGTGGACGAAATTGGGGAATGTTTTATATATCGATCAGCCGGTCGGCACTGGATTTTCCACATCCAGCAGTCTGGAACCTATTGCGACAAACGAAGAAGTCACGTCGAACCTTTATACCTGGTTAACAGAGTTCTATCGCGAATTTCCTTATCTGCTGGAAAAGAAGACACACCTAATGGGAGAGTCGTACGCGGGGATTTTCGTCCCCTATTTCGCCTCCAAGATCGTCGAACATCAAGATTCACTCCCAATTAATCTACAGTCAATCTCTATAGGGAATGGGATAATCGGGAACAACGCTGTTATGGCTGACGTTACAGTGGGGGCGTACCTGGAAATGCATGCGCACAGCCTTAATATCCCCCAAGATATCATAGATAGCTTTTCCTTAGCTGATCATATCTGCAAATTTGATACTATTTTGGACGAGGCAAACGAGCACCCACCAATTGGCCCGATAAGTGTTCCAGGAAACCCAGAGAACCTGAACTTTAGGCGTGACGAACCTTGCAGGGCGCCATCGGACAGTGATGTCGGGCCAATGGCTGAATGCAACATATACCCGACGGCACCTAGCGCCGTGATGGAATCAATTTTGAATTCAACTTGTCACGGGCCATGTGCGACTTTCTCTACTGCGGCAGACTACTTTGAGACGCGTTCCAATTTAACACACGACTGCTTTAATCTATACAACATCAAATATGATTGCAACACCTTCAGCCCCCTGGATGCCCTAACTGCCTATTTAAACCGGGCAGACGTCCAAAATTCCCTGCATATTCCGCAATCTCACCCCAAGGATAAGAGCACGAAGAGTGAGAACAAACCATATCCGTTTCAAGGATGCAATAGCGCGATTATCCGGTCTCTTCTGGGCCCGATCAACCGCCCACCACCGCCGGCATATTCCATCATACCAGAACTGATCTCGACACACAATATCTCTACGCACATATACCATGGCAAGTTGGACATGCTCGTCAACCACATAGCTGCCGAGGTTGTCTTACAAAACATGACCTGGAACGGACTTCAGGGTTTCCAGCGACGTCCCGGGACTCCTTTTGGTTTTCGCAACCGCAGCAGTGGTGCTGGATCCATAAAATCGTCTCCAAATGATGGGACCAACACCTCTAGTGCAGGCATATGGGCTGCAGAGCGCGGTTTGACATATCATCTTTTTAATGAAGCGGGACATGTTGTGCCATCTGATCAGCCGGAGGAGATGTTTTGGTATGTGAAGGAAGTTGTTCTAGGAGGAGGCGAGTGAGGGAGTTGGGCTATGTATGTTTTCTTCTTTTCTCCATGTAATACTCTCGATTGTATCAGAGGCTTGGTGGAAACGGCGCTGAGTTTTACACAATACTACTTTTGCTATTCTAGGGAACTTGTAGCTTCTAGTACCAAAATAGTAGGATTTTAGATAGCTATTTTTTGTTAAAGGCAAAGTCTGAAGTAAGATATGTAAAACGGTTGTTGAAAATAAATTTTGGGCGCTACCAGTCAATGGTCTCAGGGCGCCTCTCCCTGAACTTACGGCAAAAACAAGGAAGGAAAGAAAACAGTAGAATAAATAAGACAACCAGGTATCTTAGCCATATCTTTGCCCCTTCATCTTCTCCAGTGTTCTCCCCAGGCGGTCTTCCCCATATATATTGTTTGTAGCAAAAATAAATAGGAAAGGAAATTGAAGTAGAAAAACCTTCTCCGACGCAATGCAATTTTCCGTAAAAAGTAGTAGCAAATAGCAAATAGACATATGTATTTATAAAGGCATGAGTGAGGGACCCCGAGGAACGTAATCACACGCAGTATTTCCCCCCCGCTTTAACACCAAGAAACGATTTTGAAGTTTTACCAACTTTGGCAATATATGAAAGTAGCACTAATATAACATGAGAGCATAGATGTCGGGATATTCGTAGAAAGATAAATGTTTTCGCATGGCAGCATTATAACATGAGTCACGAAGGAGAATGTGCCTGCACAGTTGTACAGCGATAAATCAGGGATGAGGGTACTGAGCAGGAGGATGTTGTATGATGGCATCATCGACGCGCAAATATCGGTGCCGGATTCGCCGTGTTGAGCAGAGAGTCTGCTCTTTGGAACACGTCACCCGCGAAGAATCGATCACTATACGCGCTCGCAGGTGTTGATGGTACCGTTGCTTGAGCTGCTGGACCAAGCGCAGCGCTTAATGGTGTTGCAGGTAGCGGTACGGACTGTGATGATCCGTTGGTTAGCGTCGAGCCCACACTCAACATTGTCGACGTCGAAGAATTGGTGAAGTGTTGGAAATGATGGGTTTGGCTGTGAGGTGGATAGAATGGCGTGGGATTAGAAGTGTTCAGTTCGGCAAGGTAGGACCAAGGCGAAGCATCAATCAGACGGCCAGCTTCCCTGCATGCTTTCTGCACAGGACGAAGTGTAATGACCACTTCTGGGTTGAGCAAGTGAAAATTCCTCGCCTCCCGCATGTCTGTTACTAGCTCGATGAATGCCTGTATGAAAGTTTTGCAAAGTTGCCAAAAGTCGCGCTGGTTCCGTGTTCCATCACCAGGTTCTTTCAATTTCATGTTTGAAAGGCGGTTATGGAGGGATTCGGAGACATCATGGCAGACACGGCACCGGTGAATTAGCCTGCGCCAGAGCATTTGTAGTTCTTCCGGAGCTCCGGTCTCTTCGGCTAATTCAAGGTACTGGGTGAATTGCCGTGCAACTAAGGGTAGGGCATGCAGCGCCGCTGTGCAGGCGGATGAGAGCTGAATGAATATCTTCTCGAATATTCGATCTACCTCAACCTCATCTAGACCTACGAATGTGTTGACGCGACCAGAGGATGAGGTATTGATTGCGCCGAACGTTTCGACGGACCGGGGAGTGTTCGCTAATGATGATGGCCCCGAAGCTAAACGGGTATTGGATCTGCTGCGTGACCTACTTCGGGCCCCATAGTTCAAGGGCGACATCGGTACCGATGGTACTGTGTATGGAGCGTTGAATTGCGCGGGAGTGGTGCTTTGATTTGAACGCTGGTAGGTCATATCGTTTGAGTTCGGAACGACAATGGGATGCACAATGGTAGTATCGCTGCGTAATCGCCTGGTTGGTGGGTGTCTGTCTCTAGTGGGGGTTGCAATTGACTCGCCTGCGTCAACAGGGTCCTCTCCGTTCGCTATTGATGAAGAGGCTCGGTTCATTTTCCCAGAGAGAGTTGATTGCTCAGAATGAAAGCTAATACCAAGGTGGGAACAAGCATTTCGAAGTTCAGTCAGGCTCCCAAATATCATGAGCAATAGCGAACGGAGGAACTTGGGATCCCCGAGCGAGACAGCCCTACTGACCACGAGTCGAAGTTGAGTGCCAACATGTATGTAGGCCATGATACAAGTTTCGCACTCGCGTTTAACCACCTCGCAAGCTCTTATTGCCCCCTCAGCGTCTTGCAGGTCGCCTTGTTCTGCACTTGTTAACGCGTCATCTAGCTGCTCCAGATGAGTTGCGGCATTGTAGAAAACGATCTCAAGACTATTCCTCCTTGCATCCTCACCCTTGAGCACATGTATCAACAAGGAAACATGGGGATGGAGCTGGTATAGGGCATATAGTATTCCTTTTGCAACCTCGATGATAGGATCCTGTGCTCTCACTTTGACTCGATGTTCTGGAAGACTCGACATCCGGCGAACAAAACCGTCCTTTAACTTTCTCCGGTCTCTCGGGCTGCCGGGGCTGGATGAGCTGCTACCGCCTCCGGGCATACCACCAGGCTTAGATCGCAAGATAGATCCATGACTCAAACCACGTAGGTGGCTGTTACGATATGGTCGTCCCTCGTCTAGCGTTCCTAGGTCTGTGTTTTTCCTGGTAATTAAGCCCATACGTCTATTTCGAGATGCACCTGGCCCTGCGATCAAGCCTTCGCTGTTGCTTCGATTTCGCTCATTCGTTCCCGAAAATGGCGCAAACCCTGAGCGTGAGTTTACCCCGAGGTGTAAAACACCGTTCTGCCCAGACGCCATTCGATGATGAGAGCGGATCGGGATTGGGGGTGGTCGTGACAGCGAAGGAGATCTGGATGAGTGTGCAGACTCGGACCCGTTTGTTCTTGGAATCACGGGGAACCGGTTCCCACGTTTTAAAGGTTTCGGGGTGTCGACCAAGGTTTCACTGTTGAAGGCGTCAGCGGTTAGACTTCTACGCTCCTAGAAAAAGAGCTACACACCTGCTCTCGCTGCCAACATCAAATTCGATATGTGTTACAGGTTGTCTATTTTTCAGGAATATTTTTAGTTCCGCTGTGATCGCAGTTTCTTTCTCGTTGTCTGTCATCTCAGACGCCGAAACGTCCGTTTCTTTGAGTTCGAGAACTCGTTTTAGAGGATACTTTAGTGCGTTGCCTGAGACCTTCAAGACTTGCAACTTGGTCATATCTGCCAATTCCGTCGGTAAATCATCAAGGAGGTTCTGCATGATAGAAAGGACCCGTAATGACGTAAGATTCCGGATGTCTTCTGGAATTTTGGTGATTTTGTTCCGGCTAAGGTCCAGGATTTCGAGAAGATTTAAATTAAACACCTGTTCGGGCATAAGTGTCTGAACAGCCAAAAGAATAGGTTTTATGGACATACCCCTTTGGGGAACTGGGTGAAGTTATTCGCCCGAATATTGAGATACCGGAGGTGGGTACATTCTGAAAACCGGAGTGGGATATGGTCAATATGGTTGTTGGACAGGGATAATCTATGGAATAGGCAAGTTAGATAGATGTTATATAGATATATAAAGAGGATCATGGGTAGAGGAACCAAGGAAATGGTTTACCTCGCGACTTCATCTTTGATAATATCGACCATCGATTCCGGAATCCACCCAATATTAGAATGGCCCAAGTCAATCGTCAGCTTGGGTCTGACCACATCATCGACCGCCTCACTCCCAGCCAACGACCGCTTCGTTTCCTGCAAACCATTTTCCACAGCCCGCTTGATGAGTTCAAGTGTCTCCTCTTGGCCGAGTATCTTTCTGTGGGATTGAGAGCGGGTGTCCCCACGGATGGATGGTTCAAAGGAAGCAGGAAGTACCGGGGGATAGGTAAACTCCTTCGTGTCCTCGTTTGTGTCACTACGATATGATCGAAGCGGCCGGGTAGTATCCTCGGTGCGGGTCATGATGCCGAGCATTGCAACTCAATCCACGAAGGGAGTGATGAGGACATCAAGGAGGGGAAAGAACTATCAAAAGCTCTGGCCGTCGCCAACTCCTTCACGAGCTAGGAATGGGCCCCTAAAAGCGGCATAATAGGGGTGTTATATCCTAGCAACTGAGGGTGCCATTAAGTTGACATCGACATCGGGTTTTGTAGTTGGGAAAGGATAGCACTTGGGCAGAGTCAGGAGTTCTGCTGGGCAAATAGCCCTTTGTAGAGGGAGCAAAGGGGCCAGTGAAGAAGCAGAACCACCGGGCGTCGGGGCAAGAAAGCTGCTTGAGGAGGAGAAGGGTGTGTGTCGCCGGTGGATAGGACAACCACCAGCGAGGTACACGCCAATCTGAAACAGTCAAGGGTTTGGAATGACAAATGGGCTTCGTGCAACGGATAATCGGCTGTCCATCCAATCAATTGCAACAAAAACAATTGCTATTATGGTCGTTCTTAAGCCGCGATCACCAGATAATCCGCTGGCCCCAGGGAATTTATTGCTGTCGTCTTTGTGTCTATGTCTTTGACACTGGCCTCATCGCGTTGAGATGGACCGGATGCTGGACTTTTGAATCACGTGATTTAGGCTTATTCTTGGCGCGAGTCGGGAACGTTGGAGTCTTGGCAGGGCCGGGGTCTGGAACAAAGCAAGGATGATAATTTCTGTAATCTGTATATCTTTTTTTTTTTTTTTTTTTTTTTTTTTTTTTCCTCAGGCGCTGGTTTTGGCCTGATACCGAGAAACAGTGATGTCAAGGAATCGATTATTGGAGACATATTATACCCGTGCTGCAGAGAGACCAGAAATCTCCAGATTGGCATGCAATACATCAATGAGTATCACAGGGAAATCTCTAGCTACTGAGTGACAGTTTGTGGTATTTTCAGCTAAAAATACAAAGTGGAAATATACGGCTTGATATACCAGAGTTTGTTTAATACTACTCAGTGCATGGCTCCCCGGAATGACCTCTAACAATGAATAACCCCACAATGTTACTAGATGGGAGACCGTGATGGCACTTCGGCTTCTGCTACTTCAGGCGCTGCTATCACATCTTCCTCATCTATCAGAGGGGCCTCCTCGTCGGGTTCGCCGCTCTCTTCCCTAGCACCAGTAGAGCCGGTGAAAGCAGCCAGACGCTGCTCCATCGCTTGGTTTTCACTCTCGGCCCATACCTTCCATTTCTCATATTCTTGATTCTCCAGTTCCATTCCAACAGTGTGCATATCTGGCCCGAAATATGCGCCTGTCGCCAGGGCCTCCTCCTGGGCAACCCTTCGCTCGACATCCTCCTGTAGACGCAGCTGGTAGAATTCGCGTCGGGCAATATCATATGCAGCGCCTTTAGTCATATCCGGGACATTGTTGAGGAGGTATAGTTGCCGTTGTACGACACTGTATAAAAAGTACAAGTGGAAGATTATCAAGTTAGCCAATTTGTATATCCCATTTCACAATTGCCTGGAACCTTGGGGGTGGGCCAAGGTAGAATGAATTATCTCAACAGGGGAATCCAACCTTTCTCCATCAAGTTTCTTTCCCGGCTGTTGGATATTCTGCCAGTTGTATCTTCGATGGTCATTTCCGTCATTCTCAAGAACTACTCGTGGCCGAGCAAGCTCCCATGGATGATCACGAAAGAATTCCTTTCGTAGCTGGTCTTCCTCGTACCGTATTTCCTTCGGCTGGAAGACGCGGCTCGGTTTCTTCGAGGTCTGCTTCCGGCCGACGGACGTTCTGATTTCAAGTTGTGGTTTTGACTTTCCCGGAACGGTCCTCATTCGTTGTTTGATGATAGGATGTGACGGGGCTTGATTGCGAACAAGAATTGACGCTGGCGGGATATCTGCCATGACATCCAGCCAAGGCTGTCGCGTCCCTGGCTTACCACATTGTGTAGTAGCTAGGGCGGTCCGCCTTACACGAAGTGCAGTTAAGTTATATCGTCCCATTGTGCAAGATAACCGGTATGGTTTCCCTCAGGAACTCGCACGCGCGATGTTTCTTCACCAATTGCGGTCCCCGGCGTAGAAGGATTGCCGTTAGCTGCCCACTTGTGCTCTTCGTCCTGGGCACAGTTAGAGACAATAAAGATCCAAAAGCCAGAGAGGAATAACAGGAATAACTAACAAAAGCTGTAGGGTGTAAGCTGCGGATTGCGGATTGCGGGATTCCTGCCAGCGACATGCGGTGTTCAAGATGTTCGGAGCAAGGAAATTGAAAATGTCCAGGTCTTGGCGTTTTTGCCCGATCCCGCCAATCACAAGCTGCCAAACACAATCGCCGTCGTCTCCAGAAAATTTCCCAACCATCGATGTCGTCGATGCCAAATAAACAGCCAAACCTCCATCAATTTCACCCAGTTTCTGCAGCAGACTTAATAAAACCCCCCACACGGAGACTCTTGTTATTTCACTACAACCATTTGTACTTCCATGACGACGACTGCAAGCTGCGACTTGTCCCTAACCTCACCGAGCTAAAGAAATGCCCTGTTGACTAGGACTAGGATTGCACGATGTCAGGCGTCTCATGTCACTCTTTAATAGCTTGGAAAGGACGGCAGGCTTTCGACTCGTCTCTCAAGCAGGGCTCTTCTACTCTCCTTCCCCCACACCCCGCTCAATGCGCTCAGTCCAATTGCCTCCCTCTTCATACATCCCGCGAACCATGCGACTCCAGTCATACCTTACAAACCGCACTCGAATTAACGACTTGTTTACCAATTCGCTTGTCATGGCCGGACTATGCAGAGAACACTCACCACGGAAAAGAAAATTCGCGAGAATGGCGAGACACTCGTCTCACACTGCGATACAGCCGTCTCAGAATATACAAACGGAAGAGAAGGTTGCTAACGGGAGCAGCATCAATTCACAAACAGCCGACCCGCAGGAAGGACATGCCCTTGTGTCGCAGAAAGCAACAAAAGCATCTTCGATAACCGTTAACCAGAAATCACACCCCCCTACCCTACCTCCAGACTTTACGATTGACCACGCCGCATTCAAACGAGCGGCAGCTTCGAAACTCGACAATACCAAACACCTTTTCCAGCTTTACCTCGAGACATTGGGCAAGAAGGAAGGGCTAAAATCCCTCCAGGTTGTATTATCAAATCCAGCAAGAGAGATATGCATGCCCCAGAGAAAACAGACAGAACCTTACCTGCCCGATGCAGTGGAAATCCATGGGGTTCAACGACTAGTGGATTTATTGAACGAAGAGCGCAGCTCAAACCAACAGATTTTCAGAGCATATAAAGACCTCCCATCGCCCGGTGTATTATACCTTTCTGCCCGAAGTCGAAGACTCCTATTGCATCGCTTTGCGAGCCCCCCTCGTCGCCTACGTGTACATGCCGAACGATATCTGAAATTGATAGACGATATGGCCGAAGCGTCGTTTTATATATCGCCATCGTTATGGACCGCAGCAATTCATTTGGCAGGGAAGTCCTATACGTCAGTAAAGAGGCCCGATCTGAGATCGTCACTGGGAATGTGGAGGCGGATGGAGCATGAAGGCTTAGTACCGAGCTCCAGCATAGCATTCAATATATTATATGACGTTGCTATTAAAGCCAGGCAGTGGAAAGTTGCCGACAAGGTTATTGAGGAGATGAAAGCTCGTGGACTGGAGCTCTCTCGATTCGGAAGGGTGGCTCACATATTTTCCTATGGGCTACGCGGAGATGCTGAAGGCGTTCGGAAAGCCTACCATGAATTTATTCAACTGGGCGAGGTGGTTGATACCGTTGTTCTAAACTGCGTCATGGTTTCGCTCCTCCGGTGTGGGGAGCAACATGTTGCAGAAAAAATCTACGAGCGGATGAAGGACATGTACCTTACCCTAAAAGCGCAACGACCCGAACTCCTAAATTCGAGTGTATATCCTTCACCATCCGATAATTACGCCGCCTATAGGAAGGCAACTAAGAGACTCGGTCGCGTTCTCGGGATGACAACGTTTCTCCGTGATAAGCTTCCGGAACACCACCGTGCATTACAAAGAGCTATGCCATTGACTCCGGATGGCAAGACATTCCATATATTTCTGTGGCACCATGCAAACGTCACAGGTGATTTACAGCGTATAATCGCACTCCTTGAGGACATGAAAGTCACATTCGCTATTCCCCCGCAGGGGATGATCTACATATTTTTATTTCACGGCTTCGCTGCCCATGGGGGAAAAGAGGGCACACAGTGGACATATAAACGCCTCAAAGGTGTATGGAAGCATTTTCTTCGAGCCTTGTACCATTCAAAGTCGGAACTTAGTGCCAAACGAGGTACCAAATGTCGAAGGGAGAAGTTTGTGTGGGAGAGCCCATTATCCGATGAACCAGACTCATCTTCCCGCGGATCCGACAGCGTTGAAGAAGCGCGCGAAGAATCATCGGACTCGATGCTACACGATAATGACAGGGGAGTACACCAAGTATCTTCGTCGAACGCTTCGCGCGAGGATGGACCCCCTAATCCCTTCGAGGAAGACGAAACCGATGATGACTGGCGGTATGAGAATACTGTGTACCTGGGTCGGAAGCTAATAGTTTCCTGTCTAAGGGCGCACGCTGCTTGCGGTGGGCCCGAAGCTGTGCTGGATGTCTGGGAACGAATTGAACGTCTTTGGAAGCCCGAGTCACAGAAAAAAGCGGACATCCTTGCTGTTAAAACAGTTCTTGAACAGCTCGTTCCTTTCGACTTTTCACGGCTTAAATAATGTGTGCCCAGAAATTACCGTAATGTATTTATAGATGTGTCTTTTCACTGTGCGGGTTTTCGGTTCTGGGCATGTGCCTTGTTAGTTTACCGTGCTGTGCAATGCAACAACATCCGGGAATCTTTTATTATCTAAGCTGAGGTTGAGATTTATTCACCTCAAGGCTACCCATATACTGAAATTAAAACTTTTATTTATTGAATTGATCGCTACCGATGCACCTGTTGACAGCCCACCTCAATACCGTTCAAAGTGAAATCACGTGATATCGCGTTCTACCCGACCTACCCTTGGAACACGACGCGATCATTTGGACAGAATGAACCGCAACTGATAGCGGTGGACCTTGTAGAGCACAAAACTATCTGCTAGGGAAACGATATAAAACCTATTCCCAACACAAAAACATGATATTATCTTAAGTTGAAAGGCAGCAGAGATGTCTCTGCGACAAAATAAACGACGTCCTGTAGACATTGACTTCACGCTGCGACGCGTCTTTGGGAAAAAGGCATTTAGGTGCGTGGGGCTATTTTATCTGTGGATTAGGGACGTCTTGAGCTTTAACCGCTTCGAGGAACTAACTGCTGCTCATCATGTAGGCCTCTGCAGCGGGAAGTCATTGAGGCTGCCATCGCGGGTCATGATGTGTTCCTTCAGGCTGCTACGTCTTTCGGGAAGAGCTTATGTTTTCAGTTACCGGCAATCGTTGGCCATGGAGGTGAGTGTCATCAAGATCTTTGTTATGGGCATGGGGAAATCAGATTGCTAATCAAGCTGTCAATGACAGTCACGGTTGTTGTTTCGCCCCTTCTCGCGTTGATGGTACGTTTGTTTGCAATGGAAAGGTTATATTTATATACCACTTCATCGTACCTAACCAATACTTTGCCCATACTAGGTGGATCAAGTTGCTGCCCTGGAGGCTAATGGTATACCAGTTGCAACGATCAATTCTACAACCCCCCTCACTAAACGGCGGGAGATTGTGAAAGATCTTCTTTCAGGACATCCCATTACCCGACTTCTATACGTAACCCCAGAATACTGTCAGACTGATGCCTTTCGACGGAATCTTCAAACAGTCCATCTACAAGGCGAGCTTGCTCGGATCGCAATTGATGAGGCGCACTGTGTCAGTGAATGGGGACATGATTTCCGCCCAGCCTACAAGGAGTTATCATGGTTTAGGCGAGAATTACGTAGGCCATTTGTTCCAATCACCGCCCTTACAGCGACTGCGACGGCCCGTGTGCGATCAGATATCATATCACTGCTAGGATTAGATCCTATGACTCTAAAGAAATTTAGCACAGGATCAGCACGGCCTAATATTCATTATGAAGTCCGCTATCTTCAAGATTGCTCGATGGACCCCACAATCCCGGACACAGATCAATTAAATGATCTTCTCTGCTGGCTGAGTTCGATTCACAGTCGACGCATTGCGCGGTTTTCATCCCCTTCTGCAAATGTAAGCTCCGACGAAGAGCTTACATCAGCCACAACGCCGCCTCTCCCGCCAATGACGGGAATTATATACGTCCCCCTAAGGGCTATCTGCAGCGAACTTGCCAACAGCCTATCTGCTTCACCCCTCAACATTAAAGCAGTCGCCTACCACGCTGGACTGTCAGCCTCCGAGCGGTCTAGAATTCAATCACTATGGAGCTCGCCAAGTAAAATATCTACATCAACCAAGGACAAATCAGGAGAGAATTCCAAGCCGCCATCATTTTACATCGTTGTCGCCACCAACGCTTTCGGGATGGGGATCGATAACCCTCACGTCCGTTTCGTCATACATTGGACCCCACCCCGCAGTTTTGAAGGATTTGTCCAAGAATCCGGCCGGGCAGGGCGTGATGGCCGGGCAGCCGTGTCTCTCATATACTACAGCCCCCAGGAACGTGATCGCGTATTGGATCGTATCAACCGAGATCAAGAATGGCACTTCGATGCTGCGCTGCAGGGAAACAACAATCCAGCAAGTAAAAAGCGCAGCCACTCGGCATCAAACATCGCAGCCAAGGTACGCAATCAGCAAGCACTCTTCGAGAGTTTTAAAAGAGTGGTCAAGTACTGCGAGACAACCACGCGGTGCAGACATGAAGTGATTCGCGAATTTTTCGACGAGCGCGACCCACAAGCCGATTCAGGGATCGGGCAACCGACGCAGGTTTATACTAACACATCCATCACGTCAACGTGTGATTTTGCTTGTGATTTCTGCAAGGAAGGTCGTGAAGTGTTGACGCGCCGGAAAAAACTGAGCAGTGCGTCTGAAACTTCACTGGAAGATTATGAGAATTTCCCGCCAGCGCCTATACCGATGGATGATTTCATGGGATTTCGTACGGCTAGTCTGATAGATAGAAACGGTAATAGGTGAGAACGGGACTGTCTGTTGGTGTTTATTGGTTTCTTCTGGGTATGGTGGATTACGGCATCGGTTTATGCTGGCAGGCGTTATTGAAGAGGCGGACGTTTCTCTTTTTGGAGAAGTTTTGCTCTAGCTCAATTTCGATGATGTTATGATGTAGTTTGTATATATTACCACTAAATTATCTATGGTGTTGGAATACTTTGGAGAAGGCGTTGGGCAAACCACAAAAGCGGAAACGCTAGCTTTGATCAATTTATCCAAGGGCGTGGAGCACGGGACTCGGAAGTACTTTGCGGAATAACATGTGTCAAAAAGAAAGAGAGGAAGTAATTGAAGAAAGTATGTGCTCATTCTTGCTCATTTTAAAGGAAACGGTTAGAGAGGAAGAAAATATTTGAGATTATACAGGAGACCCAATTCAAAAAGTAATCCCAACACACATATGGAAACCCACAGAGCAGAAATGGCGCATTGTAAACCATTCAGAAGTATCAGAAACGGGTAGACAGTACGGAGTACGAGAAGATCCGGGGTACTCATAAGAACTCTCCGTCCCCACCGCTCCCCCCGATAGCTACCTTGAGTATGAAGGGGGAAGACGTATTTATTTACTATTATAGTAGGTAGATAGAATAACTCGACAGGGAATTGTGCTATTTGGAGAATATGCTATGAAATAGAAGGAGGAAACCTTTCAACGCAAAATATTGCAAAACATTTAAAACTAAGGCAATGTTGGGGAAACAACAGGGTGAAAAAGGGACAAAATAGACAACTGATTGAAACTAGTACGGTGCGACGAGTATGTAGTAAATTTTGGAAAGAGGAACGGGGCTAAAGTTGACTGTGTAACGAAGGGCAGTCTTTGCCTGAAAACGAATGGTTAGGAATTTGGATTACACTAGGGAGGGAAAATTGCATCATGTCCAGATATCACTATGACACAAAGCGTAGTCTGCGAATTTCCAGCAAAAGTGGACATTTATAGGCCGGGAGGAGGGGGGACCTATCAAAATAATGAGTTAGAGTGATGATTTGAATATGATGGGAAACGCGGGGAACGATTCATACAGCATTGTATCCCCCAGATGATGGTGGCGGCGGTGGAGGTGGTGAACCAGCTCCTGGAGGTGGTGGCGGTGGAGGAGCCTCAGAAGCTGGTGGAGGCGGTGGAGGAGGAGCAGAGCTTTGTGGAGGTGGCGGTGGCGGCGCTTGCTGCTGCTGCTGTTGCTGATAATACTGCTGGTAGTACGCGACATAATTTTGATAGCCTCCCCACGCTGCGTATGGATCTTGGCCAGACATATATTGGGAGTACATGCGGCTGTAGTCGGCTAGAGACTGACCAGCCGCCGGTGCGGCTTGAGCTGTCGCGCCGGCATCAGCGCCAGGTGTGGCATTGGCAGAAGGGCTCATGGGTGTCTGGGGAGACGAGTAGCTTCCATAATTGCCACCGCCTCCCCCATAACTCCCACCGCCATAATGGGAACGGTCGCGCTGTCCATACCCGCCACCATGGTGACCACCTCCACTGTATGACCGTTGTGGGGGTGGTGGCTGTTCCTTAAACCTCTCATATTGCTCCCTCACGTTAGCGAGGAGGTCCTCGCAAAGCGCTTTGGCGTTTTGGACTTCCTTCGGATCCGGGCCACTGTGATGGATTAACATGTGCTATGACTTCATATTTCCTACCACGGAATAGAAGACGATACTTACGCTACATGTAAATACATAGGTTCATCACTTTCTCTTCCTGTGCTATGTTCTGTAAAACCAGAGCCACGCCCCTTGATCTGAACACGGCAACGCGTCTCCTGCTGGATGTGTTTAACATATGCACCGCCTTGGCCAACTACCTGAGCACGAAGATTAAAACCTGGGATAGGCTCTAGATCCACAGGGATCCGTTCCTCCGGCCATTTGCGCTGTACGATTTTTTGTTAGCCATCGCATTAGTGCTGTATTGCTCTCTCAAATACATACTCGACCGTATTCATCCCGCTCCACTTGCTGCTCTGGCTCTCTGCGGCGGAACCTCCGCTCGTCAACGAGGTTGGGCAGTTCTTGCTTCATCAATTCCTCTATTTTGGCAACTGCCTTGTCAAGGCCTTCTTTGGTGGTGCTCGTTACATGAAGATAAAGCGGGGGATTCTGTAAAATGTCAGTCACCGTTCATTTGATCTTCCCGCATCATTCAGATACTGAAGGAGCTTACCGCAGCCGTAGCCATGCTTTTATCAGGGAAATAGCTTCCTCGGGTTGTGACATCTTTAAACCTTTACATGAGCTTCTGTTATCTAAAATAGAGTAGCATATGATAATATAGTGATGGAGAAGTCGTACCGGCGCCAGTTTCTTCTTTAATCTAAATATCACGTAGCGGAGGTCAGCAGATGCCAAAGAGGGGTTTCGAGATGCTATGGAGAGTTGGGTAAGCTTCAGCCACCATCACAACAAGAAGGGGAATGGTGATGTGGATATGAGTTGAATATTGTTTTTTAAACCGTGGCTCCGGGCCATAAAGAGTAACAATGCCTGGGAATATCAGTGGACATGACAGAAATATTTACCATCCTCTGGGTTGCACCCTTAGTCAGTGTGTAGCGGTTTCGGAGATCGTTGACTTCAATATCTTTGATGTAGTCTCCATCCGCCATGTAAACTTCTCCATTAACGTTGCGTGCGCCTTCCGCACCTGGAGAAGCAGACTTTGCCGCTGGACTAGCAGTCTATTGATTAAGTATATTAGAAACGAGGAAACGCGTTCATTGGCAATGGAAGGTTAATGGGTCCCGAGGGGGGGGGGGGGGGGGGTAGGGTAGGGGAGTCTGCATATCATACAGAACGGACTGGCGGCACGTTCATGTGCTGATATCCTTTCTTGGCTTGAAGCTCAGCATTTATCTTTGCAGCAGCGGCAGCTATTTAGATGTCAATCCGAATATTGAATTAGTATTCTGCTTGCGAAAGAAGTCCCGATGAAATATGCACATGGCAGAAAACTCACCTGCGGCAGCAGTTGGATCTGGAGCTGCGGACTTCCGCTTGTCGTCGTTTCCAGGGCTTCGCGGTTCCCGGCTCAGTGGACTTCGTTCCCGCGTGGAGTCGGAATTTCGGGCAGATGGGGATCGCGAGCGTCGGTCAAATCTTGACTGTCGTCGAGGCTCTGCTTCTGTTTGATCAAAACGAGAGCGCTTTGCGCGCCGCTCACTGTCCGCCATTGTTGGTAGCGGCGGCGTAGCCTCACACACGGGAATCAAACTGTGTCCTGTAGATCCGAAAAATTAAATACGCTAGCGTGAAGAAAAGTGAGACCAGAGTCAGGGTTGGTGATATCGTCAAATAGGAATATTTTGAGCATGTTCTTCGCATGTCTGTTAACAAGAGTGCTTCAACTATACGCTATTCCAAATCCGCGACTAGTGTATTGCTTAGTCATAAGAACTTAGCCTCAACGAAATAAGCTAATCCTTAGACGGACTAGGCAGTTGCTGGTACCGCTCAGTCGTTTCTCCGACCTCGGAGTTTGGCAGCGATCATGTGACTCATATTTTTCAACCTCCAAAAGAAATGGAAGAAGAAACAGAACTGTTTAAGCCTTGGAATATCCGCTTAAGGTGAGATTGTGATGAGCATCATTCCTTTCCCATTTCTCCAATTGTAGAGTCATAGAGGTGGTATACTCTGTTCCTTTTGGTGGATAGCTTTCTTAGCTTCCAACACGAATTTAGAGCTAACACAAGAGGAGTCACCAGTAGCTCCTTGCGACTAGACGGATAGAGAGCAATTTGCTCTCGCCGTCGTGCGTGGTAGAAAATGGCTTCTCGACGAGTTTTCTCCCTATCTTCAACGCGCGCTCTATTGTCGTCGCCCTCTACATGTGGCACTGGAAGCAAGCTCGCCACTTCCCGCAAACCATGCAATGCCCGTTCCTCATCGAGCTCGACATCCGCTCTCGCGTACAAAGCTCTGCACCGTCGTTCCCCGCTTCCTCTCCCAGTAGCTGATAGCCCGACCTGGTCCGCCCCTGCTGCAGTCTCCTCGATTCTATACGAGACCCCAGTACCGTCGACCAAGCCTCCAAAGCGCCATGTGCTGAATTGCTTGGTACAAAATGAACCTGGCGTTCTCTCCCGCATCTCCGGAATTCTTGCAGCTCGGGGTTTCAACATTGACAGCCTCGTTGTCTGCAATACGGAAGTAGAAGATTTGTCGCGGATGACAATTGTCCTTCGTGGACTAGATGGTGTGGTTGAGCAGGCCCGTCGCCAACTGGATGACCTCGTTCCCGTATGGGCTGTGCTTGATTACACTGACTCTGCCCTGGTACAACGTGAGCTTCTTCTTGCGAAAGTTAGCATTTTGGGCCCAGAGGTGTTCGAAGAACTCCTCCAGCACCACCGTGAAATGACCACACCAGAAAATGAGGAAGTATCTGGCTCTGCTGAGAAACCGGCGAAGTCAGCCGAAATTGAAGTGCAGAGGTTCAAAGGAAGCCAACACGCCAGTGATTACCACCCCAGCGGACTAGCTCACAGCCAGGCACTTCGACACAAGCACGAGCATTTGAAGGCCATTACCCACCTGACCCATCAATTCGGTGGCAAGGTTTTGGATATCAGCACCAACAACTGCATCGTTGAAGTGTAAGTTTATGCATCCCGGCTTGTTGGTTATGAGGGCCACCATTGATAACACTACGTGACAGATCCGCAAAACCAAGTCGTATCGATTCCTTCCTTAAACTAATTTCTCCCTTTGGTATCCTTGAATCTACCCGAACAGGTCTGATGGCCCTGCCACGCTCTCCGCTCTCCGGACCAGAAGAAGAGTTCGAAAAGGATACAAGCGAGGCTGTCGACGCTAGTGCTCTTCCACCTGGTTAAATTTCACAATATGCCGGCCTCTGAGGCCTCTGATTTAGTGCTAGATTCAGTTGCTGCTTTATATTTGGATACGTGTTATTTGTTATCTGCAATAGTTTTGTGTAGCATTCCTGAAGGGAAGCAATCATACTTTAGGGAATGAATGGAAAGAGAAAATGGAAGGACAGTGACAGGCAATCAAGTTATTTCTTTTTATTTTCTCATTTCTCTGGTTCTGTATAACTCTATGCTATCGTCTAGTTTCCTTCATCTCTTGTATATTTTACGTATTGGGAAGGAACGGACCGAATAACTGCCCATTTTAATTCTACTTTTTTTTCTTTTTTTCTTTTTTTTTTTTTTTTTTTGTGGCTGTTTATGTCTTGTCGTCATCATTGGCGTAGTGAATTTATTTCAGTGCCCCTCACCGCAAAGCTCTCCGGCCTCTCGCACCGTATATTGGTCTAGGGGCAAGGTACTAACTCTTCTTCGGGCATTGGAATTGCCATTGATACTATGTGAAAATTGGATAAACATAGAAGCGGTGTGAATGGAACCAACCACCTAGCTATTTTCATTTGGTCTTTCAGGAATAGAGCAACGAACGAGCTTACATCCAAAAAATAGCTTGAAGAAAATATGAAATCGTAACTGGATTGGAAGACCACATACGCATAGAACGAAAGTCATAGTAGTTGGAATCTCAAAGATAAATGCTTATCACTAGCATCCATAGGGCCACAGAGCCCTGCTGTTCATATGGTTGAGCAGCTCCTATTGAAGAACAGTTGAGAGGGGAGAAGAAAACGAGAACAAAATAAATAAAACGTGCTTCTCACAGTCATAACGTCGTAATATCGTTGGGGTATCAACTGGGCCGTGAAAGGTCATAGAAATGAAGACAAGGGGAGAAGAAAGATAGCCTGGGCAAGACATGTCGCAGACAGTGGAAACACTAAGAAAAAAAAAAGAGAGGGGGGGGGGGGGGAAGAAGGGAAATAAGGCGGACAGAAAGCCCAACAAGCCAATTTAAAGCCGTCCACCTGTGTTCATCAAGAGCAGTGTGTAGGAAATATCCCGAAATCCGTATCTTCCGTCTTCCCAACGACCACGTACCAGGATGTGCGGTATGCGGTATCTTTCAACCTTCACTTTCTGTCCCTTTCCGACAAACTTCACAAATTCCGCAATACAAGGGGCTGTAGTTTTGTCCTCTGTTTGTCGGGCAAGTGCAGTCCTCAGAGAAGACCGTCTCTATGGCTCCACATTTATAGATAACGGTGTGGTTGCACATGGTTGTGAGGAAGATGCCTCGCGCAATTGCGGGTTGGTTGAAGGATAAAGGAAAAGACGAGTCGGATGGGAGGCTGGAAATGGGATATAGCAGAGACGTGGAAATCTGCCTATGGATGTTGTTCAATTCTTTGTGTATTTGATTTTGATACTCCTACTCCCTTCACGTGCTATGGCAGCAACAGAGATACTGATAGTCGGAAGTTATGTGAACCGAGGGTGATAACCGGTGTCGAATAAACAAACGGCTTTGGGTTAAAGTTCTGAAATATCTATGTAAAGACTTGATATGAACGGACAAGAGGAATTCGAGAAGGCTCTGCCCTATTATCGTAAGAGTCGATGTGTAAAGTCGGAGATGAAGGGGCGAGTAAAAGGTTAGGAGAAAATTGATTGCGCCGTATCAGAAGTGTGTATGTGAACAGCCCGGAAAATCTTAAGTGGACGGTAAAAGGATGTCGACAGCAAGCTGATATATAATCGACCTGGATTGTTTGCTGTGGGGAAATAAATACTAATTTATTGGAACTCCACTCGGAAGTGACAGCAAACAAGAAGGTAAATTTGTGCTACCCCTCCAAAAATCGAAAGTGTTAGATGTGTACGTGAAATGAAGCGTTTTGATATTTGCTAACGGATATCGTTAAATAATGTAAAATTGTAAACTTCAGAATTGAATTGAGGGGACGAGATGTAAATTATATACCCTTTCAAGGAAGATAGACGGGGGCCCTATTTGCCAAAACCATTCGCGCAAATCACCTGTGAAAGATATAGGCACGAAACTCCCATGCTTGCTTGGGCACGAGTGGACCTTTTGTTTGACGTCATCTAGCAGAAATAAAGAGATGCGCGAAAGTTTAAAGAAAATGCAGTTAATACAATATCGCAATGCAACAGCTGAACGGGGGTTAGTAGCGGAGATGTCAGAAGCAAACGAGACGAGGATTCAAAGGTGAATCCTGGGCGACAAATCCTGTCACAGCATGAGGGTCAGGATGAAGTGAAACAATTGAGGCTGGAGAGCTTAGCCTGGGAGCCGGGATCATTGTTCGCACCTGTCGCTGCCCAACTATGGAGAATCAATGCGATGGTTATCTCAGTGGGAAATTATGGAATGGAAAAGTAGGTTCGTGTATAAACTTTATCTGAAGACGGTGGGTAACTACCCAATGACACAGGAGAGGCATTGATTGTCCAGCGAGCACAGTAATACTCAGATCGGTCCCGAGGTCCTTGAGTTGGGAGAACTTGACAGCAAGAGATGGCGCAATAGAGGTCGCCATAGGGCAGGTGAATCCGAGATGCGCAAAGACAAACCCTTACACCTGCCAAAGTGCGTCACTTTCTCGTAGTTGATGGGAAAAGAAATCTAAAATCCAATAGGATGTCAGGGCCATCTGTGGGCATTGGGAAAATAACGGACTTTTTGAGACCACCAATGATGCAAAATATTGACCAATATGAAATTATGACATCAGTGACAAGGAAACATTAAATATTTGCTATTTGGGCTGCGATAGGGAAAATGCGCAGTTAGCTCTGAAAGAAGACCCAAGTGTAAAAAAAATGCACTTAGGGAGAGCGGTGACTATGGATTGAAAATGATTGGGTGGCGGCCGATGATGCTAAGGAACCTGGCCACATGTTCATCTCCAAATAACCGGAACTGACCAGGAAGAGCAGCAAAGAGACGAGAGGGATTCCTGGAAAGGTTCGTTGAAAGTTTGGGGGAGGACAACTGGTCTTGGTCCTGTAATTCGTCCACGTGTGACCAATCAATCTGGGAACCGGAACCGGGACCATTAGCATGCGTACAGATCGTGACATTCTGATCGCCTGGTTACAATGATCGACTCGCTATTTACCTACCTTTTGCAACTGTCATCGTCTGAAGACAACCATGGTCAAACATCCTTGCTTTGAGATGCTGACATTTGCGACGCTAGCCTTTGGACATTTTTCTCATTAGTGTACCGGTAGGTAAGTAAGTTGGAAGTCGCCTTATTAACGTGGGAGCTCATATATCTCGTGCCAGACACGGCACGACATTATGACCAAAAATGGACAGGGACTCATCCTCAACTTGTTTGCCAGAAACATTGAAGCCCCGCGCTGAAGATTCTTAGTTGATTCAAAACATTGCATAGAATACAAGTTGTGCTAGAGTTAGTAGTCCGCATCCCGGTAGAACGAGAGCCAGCGGAACAGCAACGATCATGATTCAGGCAAAACCCGCCGCCGAGAAAAGATTGGGATAAATCACGGTTAGCCGGGATGTGGTTATAAAGAACTCTTTCGCATGTCCGTTGACGTAAGGCTCGAAATGCACATCCAATGTATAAATACAATGCCAAAAGGTCAAAAGGTGGATGAAGTATAGTCGCATTATCCTCCATAAAAAGTATGTGTACGCCAGTGAACACCTTTTGAAGCGGGTTCCTCAGAGACCCGAGACAATTAACCTTAAAACTCCAACATGTTGCTCTCGAAAAGGAAAGGAGGAAACCTGACAGCTCATTCCAGAAAATGGTTCCGCATCGTTAGAAAACATTATTATCCTATATCCGTACCTTTGCGCCAATCCCTTTACCTTTGTAGAACACAGTATTCGAATAGTTTCCGAGCTGCACGTCGACGTCAGCGACAGCATCCATTCTCAATGTTCCCCCTAACGCCTGTCGGATCGCTTCGTATCCCGCGCCACTAAAATCCAGGTCCACTGGGAGCCGCGGTGTCTGGGATATCCCAGGCGGTACTGCAAATGGAAGGTCATACTTGATATTTCCTACAGGCTCAGTGTGATTGTAGAATGCCACTGCGTCAATACCGGTAATCAGAAGTGTGGTGGACAACAGCGGTGAGGCCAGGGTGAATACCGCAGTCGAAGACCACAAGTGCAACTACCAAGACCAAGGATTTGCAAGTCAGTCCTCGTCAATGGTTGTGTGTAGTAGAACACGAGTGAAATTTAGGTAGGAGAGAAATCAGATTATGAGGTACCCATCTGCCTGATTTCCTCAGTAGGAGATTGTTTAGAAAGGCTATCGGCAAGAGCAGACAATACCGTTGCATCCTTAATGAAGTGGGTTTGGCCATCATCCCCTGGATTCTGATCATCTCTTGGTGCTCGAAGCTTCGGAATCGGAATGTCCAGTTCCAGGGCCGATAATGCCAACCCTAATCTAGGGAGAGTTGGAATCGTGTGTTGATGTGGGCGAAGGGCGATGGACGCATTGAATCCTGAAATCAGTTAGAGGAGTTACCAAGCTGGGTTGTGTGTAACTGGGACAAACCTGAAACATAACGAGATATCAGATCTTGACCAACAGCGATTCCATCCTTTCCACCAAACCGCAATGGGTCCCAGAGAGCAGATATTTCAACCCCGGAATTGAGTCCTGGTGACATTGACAGGTTTCGGGCGATCACGCGCCCAACGTTGGTTCCGTTGTGCGCGACTCGTAAATTTATATAAGGAACGATCGCTGAATATTCAGTTGGATTTGTCAAATTTAATTTTGCTGCAAGAAGGATGGATGACTCCGTCGTTTGGACTATTTCTAGAGTATCCACGGCAACCTTGAGGTCCGAAAATCCTCCACTCGCGAGGGCTAGACGTAATGGCATATTAGTTAGAAATTCACGATAACCAAGATATCCGAAAACGTACGCTTCACAGTGATGTTGCCACTAGCTGGAATATCTCGAATTATGAATTGCCCAAGCGCAGTATCCGTTTCTGCATCCACCTTTGCTTTAACATGTAAAGGAATAGGTTTGCGTTCGAGGATTAACGCTTGGACAACATCCGTAAATGTGTCCCCATTGGTGACCTGTAGCGGTGCTTTCTTGATATCGAACTGGACCAGCAACGCTGCAGACGGAGGTGAGCCGTCTTGAATGCGAGTTGCAGAAGCATTTTGCCACTTGTTAATTTTTATGTAACCAAGCTCTCTTCCCTCATAGTAAATATATGCAGTAGACCGAACGTGGGAGATATTTAATGGAAAGTTCATCTCCTTAGGAAGGCCGATTACCGCTTTGACCATTGCGGAAACCGTAAGTTGAGCTTCTGGGGTGTCTGGTTGAGCGAATGGTTCCGGTAGGAAGAAATGAACGTTCGTCATGGAAAAGTTTCGAACTAAATGGCCAAGCGCACGGCCTGCGAAAGGTACAGGAACCGTGACGTTTCTCAGAAAACCTTCTATCCAGTTAGGCAAATTGGATGAAGGGGATTTGCCTCCACGAATGTAAATTTTAGATTCCAGCCCACGAATATAGTTTTCAACTAGAAGATCTAAAGGTGACCAGTTGGTACCAGGACAGGCAGTGGTTAAGACATCAGGAAGTCTTCCAATATATCCTTTCGCAGAGATATTCACGGGCTCATTGGGGGCGATTTGAACTAGGTCCGTTGTAGCATTAGCTACTACAATATAGCGGTCCATAGGTGCACAGTTTGGTACTGAAATCTTGAAGCCCATTGGAGGCACGGTGAGTTTGACTGGATATCGATTCATAAGAAGCACTGAGATGTCGGCTTCCATAGCTTTTTGATGTGTTGGTGTCCTGATTTCATGGAAGTCCAATTTCGTGATGTTGAAATCAGGGAAACCGTGGTAGCTATGGTCTATTAAGATTATTAGTCAAACATGTCCAAATTCAGGTCAGGATTTCGAAAGAAACTGTACAGGGATTGACCTTGGAATACAAATGACTCCGAGATAGTCTGAGATCCGAGATATAATATGCCGGATCTCAGGCGCACAGAAGCCACTCCTCTGACACGCAACTGGCCAAGGCGGCCCTGGAGCCAGTCGTTCGCTACAACTCGAACCCCGGCCATATCTCCGGCTTTCAAGTCTGTTACAAAATCGATGGTATTCACGTGGCCATCACGAATATTGACTCGGATGGGTGGGATCGTCGCAGTTCCTAGCAGGACGTTGCCGTACTCTGGAAGATACACTTGTACTTCGGTTTCATCGCTCTCAATCTCTCTTGCTAACCACGTTCCCAAACGCCCAATATCACGTACAACTTTCGTCGGCACACGCGACGCATCGAGAACAAAGGAGCCTTGAACTCTAGCCTTTACTCCATCTGATGTAAATGAGTCGATGGATACATCAGTGGCTTTAAAAACTGTAGCCGTTTCAGCATATTGTTTGATCACAGTCGGGCTGGCAAAACCCAGCCCCAGAACTGTAATTATTGCCAGTATAAGGCTTAGCAGAGCGATAGACGAAGGTCGGGTGATCCACCTCGGTCCCTGTTTTGTGGAAGACGGGTTCGGGGATGATTCGCGGGAGGACGAGGATGAAATGTTGACATCCCCCAAATATTGGATGCCTTCACTTGCCCGATGTGCAAGAAGGGGTGTAGATTCCGACAAAAGTTCATATGACGTGGTTTTGGGCTTCCCGTTACGAATAGAGCTTGTCCGGGTCTCTGGATGGAGGTTTTCCTGGGAGGCCTCACTGAGCAGCGGAGCACATTCTCCCGCGGCGTCCCCAGCCATGATGGCTGGAACTACAAAGATGGCAACGACTGTAACTTTAAAGGTTAATTCTTCAACGACATGGGCCGACTCTTAATGAAAAGTGATGTGACTCGAGAAAGTCAAGGTGGAAGAGAAGGTGGTGTTTGAAACCTTGGATGACGTTGTTTAGTCAGCGAAACCCCTAAAAATAACATATGGTACTACTGAATTGTATTAACCAATGAATAAGCAGATAATTAATAAAGTTGACAAATAATATTTAGCTCACTATCTTGCAATTAACTTTCAAATACAACCAATAGAATATTTTCCCAAATTTAATGGCCGGTTTCCGGTTTCGCACAGTACGCTGTAATAATACGTAGCTCGACTACCGCTTTCGGTCTTCCGAGGGAATCTCTATGACTCCAACTCCAACTCACCGTTCAAGGATCAAGGGTCAGCAAGATAGCGCCCTGCCAGCTCTCCCTGCGATATAATATATAAATCAATTAGCTTCAAGCCCTTTTGAAAAAGGATCTCAATCGATACTCTTTCAGCTCTTCTTTTTCACATTCGGTATTTTCCCATTTTGCAACTGCATTCTTTTAGTTTTTCAATTCTTTTATTCTTATTTATTTTTATTTTATTTTATATATATATATATATTTTTTTTATAACAGAGCACACAACACAGCACTTCTCCAATCCCCTGCGGCGCATTACAAGTCACCAAACCAATCCCCCAAAACCCGACAGATTTCCTTCAATCTTCTAACTAGTTTTGATCATGTTGCTATCCCGCAATGCAGCCAGGACTCTCCGCAACATGGGTTCGCAATTGCGACAATCTTCCTCCAGTGCCGCAGGCCCGCGCCACCTGCTCTCCATCGCAGACCTAACCCCTTCTGAGTTTACAACACTTGTCCGCAATGCCTCTGCACATAAAAATGCCATGAAATCTGGCTCGATACCGGACTCTCTTCACGGATCGTTGTCCTGCAAAACTATCGCCATGATGTTCTCCAAACGAAGTACGCGAACCCGCGTGTCAACAGAAGCAGCAGTGGTCTCCATGGGCGGACATCCGATGTTTCTTGGGAAGGATGATATCCAGCTTGGCGTGAATGAGTCACTTTATGACACATCCGTAGTGATCTCTTCCATGGTATCCTGCATCGTGGCCCGGGTTGGCCCGCATTCCGACATCGCAGAACTCTCCAAACACTCTTCAGTCCCTGTTATCAACGCTCTTTGCGACACGTTCCACCCGTTGCAAGCCATTGCCGACTTCTTGACTATCCATGAAGCGTTTCCGCCGTCCCAAAACTCTACACCATCCAATTCTAGTCTAGGTCTTGAGGGACGAAAAATTGCCTGGGTTGGAGATGCCAACAATGTTCTATTTGATATGGCAATCGGAGCTACCAAACTTGGCGTCGATCTGGCCGTCGCGACACCAAAGGGCTATGAAATGCCCGCGCATATTAAGGACCTTATTAAAAAAGCTCGCGTAGGAGTCGAGTCTCCAGGAAACATTACTCACACTAACGTTCCGGAGGAAGCTGTCAAGGATGCAGACGTCCTTGTGACCGATACGTGGGTCTCTATGGGACAGGAAGATGAAAAAGCAAAGCGAATCAAAGCATTCGAAGGATTCCAGATCACTTCTGACCTGGCAAAGCGTGGAGGTGCCAAAGAAGGCTGGCGATTTATGCACTGCCTACCTCGACACCCCGAGGAGGTGAGTGACGAAGTGTTCTACGATAGGAGTCGGTCCCTAGTATTCCCCGAAGCAGAAAATCGACTGTGGGCAGCTATTTCGGCATTGGAAGCGTTTGTAGTCAACAAGGGCCAGATCGTATAAATAGGACGAGTCTTCGAAATAGAAAATCTTTGCCCCTTTCTCTACTTCTGTCTGTATTACTGCTCGGTTGAGGAACTTTCTACGTAACATAGGTCCAACTACCCACTTGACTTTCTCAACCTTTTGTATCCCACGTCCATAGGATCTGTTTCTCACCTGTAGTCGCTAGAGACGAAGCTAGTCTCTGTTTTGCCATAAACGTCTTCCAGTCAGTCTGGCTAAATGAATGACGCGGAATACTACAGAGTATATGTGAGCTAATAAAATGGATCCATGGATGTGTTTGAAGCCGATTTGATCCGTCACGTGCGCTGAGTGGCTGAACTTTGTCTTGTGCCACATGCACGAGCCACAGATCCGAACATGAACGACATCATTATCCCTCCAACCTGGATGTTCGACTCTCGCTTCTGTTAAAATATCAACGCTCTCACCTTCGGTAGACTGATAAATTAACCTACTGGTTCTAATCTGTTTACCAGTTTCTTCATACCACAGTCCATTCCTCCAATCATCCACCAAGGCGGTGTTCTTGCCTCGAGGGCCTTGCCAGTTAGGCTTATGAAGCTTGTGAATGTGATATCTTATTTGCTCTATACCTTCTTGGTTGGTAACTATGGAGGTATGTAACGCTGGACAGTGTTCTCTACAACTAGCACTTTCATTGTTTGCTAACCTCAACAAAGTCTTTACCTCACTCACCGAGCTCATTTCGCTCCCGCCGCTCTCATACGTCGCTGCGTCACATCTCACTTGCGCCATTGTCATCCAGATTCCCTCTTGATGATGATGACGAACTTGATTCCGACTACCATTATTCAAATCCCAATGGGTCGGACCCTTCCCGACGACTCTCATATAGTTCTCATCGTGCCACATCGTCTTACCTTGCCAGTGCCTCTGTTCCCACAACGCCGCCGATACTCTCTCGTAACACCTCGTATACTAATCTCCCGAAAAGAAAAACCACTCCAAGCTTATCTCATATGAGCCATACAAATTTAGACAGAATAAAGTCTGAGCATACCCGCCATCACCGCAGGTCCAAAAGTTACACTACTCTAGGACCAAAACTAAGCAATACGGCTACGCGTCAGGACTCCGAGTGGCTTTTGCGGGCTGGATTGGCGTTATCCTCTTCCACCCGGGAAGAAAAGGGCCAGAGCTGGCTCGTGAAACGAGATAGCTCAACGAGCCTTGTCTCAGAAGACGTTCCTGATAACGAGCCTTGGCGCAACTCTCGTCATCACTCACGTCATAGCCATGGCCGAAGACAGAGATCTGGACTATCAACGCCTGTTACTTCTTCACGGCGACCCTCCAACTCTCATGTTTCCAGCAAATTTAGCAGTCGAGTAGACCTTTCTATGACGGTAGCGGGCCTTGCAGAGCAAAGCCCTGACGATCGCGCTTCAATATCCGACGATGCTGTAGGACTCGTGCCGGACTTTGTTGATGAGACCGTCCGTAGTGAAATGGCTGCGATGTCCTCACAGCCATTTGGTCAGGCAAAAGCGCCGAGCCAGCGAGGAGTGCGAAGTTTCGATGACGGCGGATACCCGGCGGTGTCGCGACGAAATTCCGCATTTGATTCCTCATTTTCGGCATCGTCCTCAGAATTCTCGGATTCCGAAACAGATGAAGAGGAGGAGGTAGACGAGGCGGAAATGCAACGTTTGACTCGTGAACGAGGGTTAGGCCTTGGTAGTTGGATAGATCGTCTGGTTGAATGGACCCTTTTTAGTGTAGAAGATGAGATTCCCGCAGTTCCCGCAGAACCTTCCCGTCAACCTCGTCAGTTTGGTGATATTCAACATCAAACTTTGGTTGAAGAACCGGACAACAGTTCCAGTCAGTACTATGAAAGTTCGGAGACGGAAAGTGACAACCAACAACGGGAGAAGGAAGACGAAATTTCGATGGCGATGCCTATAGAAATACCAAGTGATCAAGGTGGATGGTCTGATGTTGGCTGGCTACTTCGCGTAGCGAAGACCATCGTTTTTTAAACTGTATGGGAAGCCTCTTTGTTTTGTATTTTTCTTTGACCCCTCGTTTTCGAACTTATCACACCTCCACTTCGGACTATTTATGCTTAATATCTTTCTCTAGGAGCAGGGTAGTTTGAGAGATCAGACCTCTGGTGCTATTGCTCTATTCAGATTTCGGTCTTAGGTCTGCTTTCGTGGTTATGTTACCAATGAAATCGGAGATTGAAGATAACGTGTGATCAAAAAGATCGCCTTCTCGATACATATGCAGCTTCTTCCTCGCTGCTGAGACATTTCTTACCTTTAATACTTTTGCTATGTTACGGAGTCTCTCTCCCCAATTGATCATCTAGAATCAGCAACAAATTGTACCAGAGTTTTCGCCTTCCAATCCCTATTTCCGCAGTTTGTACGCTAGCATATAAATCATCAGTCAAGCACGGTCGGGCGTAAATCGACTGCTCTCTCACAGAAGCCCCACGCAATTTCAAAATAAGCTTCCTAGACATCGTCATTGAAAACATCGTTTACAAACTCGGCTTTTGACTTGCGTCTGAACGATGACCGCACATCATTTCCCCTGTGTAAATTCCTGTGCCACTTTCACAGCGAATCGGTGCCACAAGACACGGAATCTGCAAAATTAAATTGCATGCACGGGGTATGTACCCAAATGAATTAAGGCCGTACTTTAGCAATTCACCATAATGTTCATGCAGGACGCCAATCATTCTTTGCTTCGAGTGAAAGAAAAAGGAAAAAGCAAATAGCGGAAAACCAACATGCTTGCCCCAGTCTCAGCTTGATTGGTCCAACCTCCACGCTCGAAGTCGGGACCACGGGCGTTTAAAAGGCTCTTCAACAATGAAGCTTCCAACCCGGTTTATTTCTCTCTTCCATGCTCTCGTCAATCCGAATACTAGCTGCCCAGATAGTCTCCCTACACATCCGATGATGCGGAAGAGAGATAGATCCCTTTCATTTAAGCCTTCCATTCGAAGCTGTCTCGTTTTGCGGGGAGTGAAAGGTTGAAAATCCACAATGCAAGTATGGTTCCGGCCACCTCTCCCGAGCAAACAAATCTCAATGCTATACAGGTCGCCGCGACAAAATAATGGAAGGTAAAGACAAAACTTGCCTGAGCGGGAATTCCGCCCGTCCCTATCAATGTGGCCCTTGTTTCTAGGGCCGATGCTACCAATAGAGCACCCCAACTAGTAAAATCAGAGTGCTTCAAAGCGATTCATCATGTGACAGATATGCCTCTCGAAAGTAGATAGCTACTGCCCCTTGGTTTCCTTATTATTATTATTATTATTTTTTTTTTTTAAAAAAAAAAGAAAAAGAAAATATGGGGCGTGCCTCGCCAATTTGTGTCACGGTACTCCGTACCCAGCCTGGAAAACAATCTCCTTTCTTATATACCGCGAGGTTCAACCGCCGCCGCCCTTCTCTTTCTTTCCTACTGATCGCCGTGCGCGAATTCAATGTTTTCGATATTGCTGATTTTACTTCCATCTATATACTTCATGAACTGAAGTAGATGGGTCAATGGACCGCTTGCGTACATCCCAATTAGCTTCCGTTGCCCTTCTTTTTCTGAGCCATTTCATCGCGGATGCTTCCACCATCACTTCAACTGTCACAGATATTCCGCCCACTATAGTAGGATACTATACTCGTGACCACGAGGGCAGCACCACAGGTATGTATAAGCTTTCGTTTAATGCCTAGTGAGAACTTGTTCGACAATCACAGCCTGCTTAACTCGGAATCGCTCTATAGTCGAAAATGTATCTTGCCCTCAGCCTCTCCACTTCAGAACATCAGGCATCTATGGCTACTGCTGCCACCCCAGTAGTACTACGCGATGCCCACTCGCAACGCAATGTAGAGATGGTATAATAGAGGGGCCCTATCATACAAGCGAATGGTATGCCCTACTTCACGCGCAAAGACTCCAAAGTTTCCCCACCGGTATTAACCAATGCGCTACTATCTTATCGTTCTCCTAGCACGCATTGCGTTACAATGTCTGTCTACGAATCATTTCATATGGTAGCTCCGTCAGTGACCTATATTCAATGTCGGAAGAATTGGCCGGTGTTGACACTTCATCGTCATCTCGCAATTCCCCAAACGACGTCTACTGGTATAGCTTCACAGCCTCGGAATGAGAGATTAACAGCGGCTCACCCTTTCCAATTTCCAGATACCACTATACCCACTTCACCCGGGGAGACCACAAACTCGAGTTCGCTGCAAACATCCCCAGGCGGCATACCGGCCACTCCAATTACACCGACAAGGACTCAAATCGCGACCCCGTCGCCTGGTGACTTCTCCGAGAAATTCCCCGATGAAAAGAAAGTAGAAGCAGCGAAGATATCCAGTATAATTATTGGAACGATCCTATTTATCGCGATAGTCATTCTTGGACTCTTACTAGGCCGTAGTAAGTGGAATAAATCAGTGTCACAGACTTCACTGCGCAAATTACACGAAGCAGAGGGATCTACCGGACTTGTATCGGCGCCCATTCGAAGAAGAGTGCCAAGGCACGGCTCGCAGCGAAGCCATACGTCAAGAGACGGGTTCATTGCGTTCGACGATCTCAGTCCTTCCGAAAGGTATTCGCCAGCGCAGGAACTGCCCACCGTGGTTGAGGAGCGATATCACCAAGTGAGCACTGCCTCGAGCCCCATCAGCCCCTGTGTGAGCTCGCCCCGCTAGTTGATAGAAGTTCATTATTCTTTTAATTCTACTTGGCGCATCCCTGATACCCCATAAATCTTCGCACACGGCTGGGTTATTATAGAAGCATGCATATGTATAGGATCTCCAGGCTTGAATATGCAGCGGTTATTGATCGATCGGGCACCGCTTGCTTCCCATTTCCTAAACAACTCGTCTATATTTTGAAAATATTTGAGTTGCGGCTAGTTTCTGTGGATTTCGAACGTCTCCAGGTACACGTGAAGTGCACGCATACCAGTTTCCTAATATTTAATTTATCTTTATGATCTCTTCCCTATAGCCCTGATTCAAAGATGGGATAGGACATTTTGAACTCTACGGTGGAATTCAACGAATACGGGGGTATCTACGTCTAATTCCCTAACAGACTTGAATATAACTTATATGTACTCGAACCTACTCTTTTGTATTCAAGTCCTTTCTCCCATGGCTGGATGACCCGTCTATTACACATTAGACAGCGCGGTCGAACCTACTGGAGCCAAAGGAATTACAGCTGCCAGCTAAGAAATGTAAAAATATGCATCTCATCCCAGTTGGGGAACGTAAACTCCAAACAAGCTCATCTTACAGCTTGCCGTACTTTCACCCTTTTAAGGCGATACTTGTTCACAATTCTTCGACGAGTATAGGCCAGACAACGCTGATATTATTATCTTCCTTGATTATCAATGTAACTCGCAATGCACTCTCGCTCTCAGTACCACAAACTAGATTAGTCATTGAGGCATGTTTACAAGATGAGGATGTTGATGATATTCCCCTTTCCTTTTCCAGTGTATGACTTTTTGACATATAGTTGCCATTTGCCTGGGGGAATTGGAAGAAGTGTCCAAAATAAATAAGCTCATTCATGGCCCATGCGGAAGAGGACTGGTTGTCTTGTTCAAGCGACCCTATTTTATTGGCTCCAGTCCTGGTCACTAAATGGGATTAAATAGGCCTGCTTACCTTTTTGTTCCGCGCCTCCCTCCCTACCTTGACTGCATCTAACCCACTTATGTTACTATTTTGCAGGGTAAAACAAAGCATCAATATTTAATAGTAGCACTGATGAGTTGAGGTCACCAAGCACCACGAATGGGAGTGAGTTTAACCTCAAATTTAATCGGGTTTAGTTAGGGTGGTCAACTCGGGAAGGGGAGCAACGGAGCGCGGAGGATTCAATGATCCGGATATTTTGATATGCATTGATCCTTTAAGGCTTTCCTGAATCGATACCCATCATGAGATGAACGTATTCACTGTTTGGCCACTTATTCGTCAGGTAAAATGGGGCATTACCATGTAAATACTCCCTGGCCTTTGTAGAGATTTTAGACGTGTAATATATATATTTGTTGACTAACTAAAGTTATATAATCGTTGGAAAAGGCCAAGTTAAAAACAGAGAAATAAATTACAATGAGTAGATATAAAACGAGTTCTTTTTGAATCCCGAATGTTCTATTTCCAATTAAAAGGCGATTTTAAAAATTCATAAAAATTTGAACTGCACCAATATCCCTGGGACCAGGTAATTCGGGATACGAATTCGCTCCGGCAAAAAGAGTAAAGAATAATATGGAGTTGGAAACTCAAATTCTTCAACCAGTTTCCACTTCGCTCTCTTCTCCTTTTTTGCATCGGTCCTGTCGACGGATGTCGGGTCTGTGGCAAACCTGGCGATCAACCAGGAGGGAGGATAACGGGGGGGGGGCAGCCATGGCATGTCATAGAATGGGTAAAGGGGAAACCTGAAAGATGTGGTGTGCATCGCGTCAGCTGGGCGCGTGTGGTAGTGAGCGGCCAAAGTTCTGTCAGCATTTCTAACCGTTGATGTGGAGATCTATGACTCCGGCTTCGACTTCTGAGGACACGCGCGTTCTCTGGCAAGCATGCGATATCGGTCCAAGAGATCGGTTTCCGCCACTCCGGGTTGGTGCTGGAAGTTGAAATGGGCAGCTAGAGCTTCTCCCACAATAGTGACGGCTAGAAAAGGTGTTAGTTTTATTGTTTTCTTTTTTTCTCATATGGAGGGCAGATAATAAGCAATAATCAAGACCTACGCCGACTATACATCTTAGGCAGCTCCATAACAACCATTTCTTCGTCACTTCTTTCCTTTGGCCAGGTATCTATATCGCTGTCGAGTATATCGTCGGCCCAAATAGCAAGGACGTTGATCCTTATTCGCTCATTATCCATGTTCCACGGAAGGTTAAACTTGTACAAGTCAAGCTGATCTTTTTCCAAATTTTCTAAAAACGAATAATGTTGCTGGGCAGCGATGGCCCAGCTTGTATAGGTATCACCCCATACCTCATATTTGAGGTGGGTGACTGGTGTTCGAACGATGGCTTTGTCATCTTTAACACGTAACCATCGATGGCCCTTAGCCGGAGGCGCTGCGTCGAGGGCCCATTCAAACTTCTCCGGGCCTTCCCAGTCCGGATGATCGGAAGGTTTCCATGATTTATTATCGCTGGGCTTTGTGGAGGGTTTGCCATCGAGCAATTCAGGGAAGTAAGGGTGGAGAGCGCCAACATGGTAATGGATGAAGCTCAAGGGGGGATTGTTGATTATGTTTGCTGACACGGCGAAATCATCGGGATGATTTATTTTTCGATCAACTATTCGAGGAATGGTATCGTCGGCTAACCAGACCTATAGAGGAGGCGAGGAAAGGATTAGAAATATTGCTACCGGCCTGGCGGAATTCCCCTTGGAAGTCAAGGTGTAAAAATAGGTTTCTTCCCACTCACCACATCGTCATCTATTTTAACATATATCTTTCCCCGTTCAAGATGCTTCCAGATTTGTCTGAACTCCGGACCGCGAACCTTTCTCCCAAGGTCTAGCTTTTTGTATCGTCGAGATCTAGCCAGTATTTCATCAAGATACTTTAAATCATCCTCATTTTCGGTATTGACGACCCATAGCACTTCGTCCAGCCAACCCTTGTTGTCAACCAAGTTGCGCTGTTTGCAAGCAGCCGCGCGGTCAGCTAAAAATCCCAAGAATCATGTCACAATTCTAGTTCTCCGCTGGAGAAGTGCTTCATACCTCCACGTAGCAGTGCATCGCCTCGACGCGATCCCGACGACCATAGAACACAAAGCCGCTAATGACAATATTCTCAGGCTTTACGAACTCGGTTGCATTTGCATTCGCATCCCCATGTAGGCGAATAGGATATATCGGCGCTGGTCTGGTTGAATCCTTTTGTACCGAGTTTCGGCCCCTATAGAGGGTGTTCGTAAGGAGGAATACATTGAGGAGCGATAAGGCCACGAGGGCGTACAAGGTGGATCTCTTCTTGAGATTGGATATTATCGATTCACCGTAGCTGGATTTACTGGGGCTGCTGAATGGGGGTATATTAATACTTGTCATTGCTTTGCGTTTGCCCTGGCGTGGGGCTGAAAGTCGGCGGATAAATCAGGATAATGGACACTCATTCGCATCCCCGTGGCCAATATTTTGGATAGTTATTTATTTAGACAACGAACGACGTCCTTCTCGGATGCAACTTGCAAATATGAAAAGGTCGAAGGGGCCATGGGCTGCTTAGCGCGACGACAACGGGGCGTATGTACTCCGTACTGTATTTAAATAAATGTACCTCGTTTTGGTAATCCTGATTCGCCACCATCAGGCGGAGGAGCAACTCCGAAGAGCTGAGCCTCCAAAACCATAAAGAGTATTTATTCCCCTTTTAGATGTAACTTAGCTTTGTGGCTTATTAACATCGCTCGCTGGAGAAGCCAAAAGGTCTCGTCAACATATATTGGAAAAATTCTCTTCCTGCTGTAAGGCCTAGGGCTTAGGGCATGCTTACATACACATCATGTGACCCACAGAAGCCGCAGCATCTTATACTCATTTCCTGCTTCTCTACTATCTAGTTCCCTTCTTCAAGAATCAGTAATATTACATCCTAATATGAAGCTGCTGCCACCCCAATATTCATGTAATCAAGTTCTAATATACTGATTCTTCTTCTCTACAATATCAGCCACAGTCTTGCAGCTATAAAATCACAAAAATTTTCACTCTATCATCATAGCACTCACCTGCAAAATGCAAAGCCTCATCAATTAAGTTAATCAACTGGCTGAGTAAAATCACATAATGGTGAAAGAAAACATCTGTCTTATTCAATATCTAGATACTCTGAATGAATACTCTGCTAGTGAACTCTCTCTACTAAACTCTCAATCTCATTTAATTAAGATTAAATTATAAGAATCTGACATGTTTAATGAATTTACAGACATACACTTTTAACTACTTGATATGAATAATAATATCAGAGAATATCTCATTGCTGCAGACATCTCTAAAATAGTCTTTATAATCAGTTACTTAGCTCTTAAAATTCATTAATATATTCAATACATGTAAATTAATAATAATATATATATCATTATCTGAGAAATTCTCAAAGTCTGACTGTGTAATAATTATTATGAAATCAATACAGCTCTCACTACAGAATTATATATAAATTCTCTATAAATGCAGTATAATTAATATATAATTGATTTTATTACTGACTTTAAGATATTAGTAGCAGATCTCTGCTGAAATAACTCAGTCATCTACTTTATATTCTGTATTAAGTTAATCATATTAATTCTATAACAAATTAATCAAGCTTATTTTAATATCTGACTCATCACTTTCACTGATTGAAAAAAAGCTGCTATCACAGCTGAAAGTTATATTATTATATTTAAATAAATAATTCTTAATAATAACTACAATAATAAACAAGTCAGATTCAATTTAACATATAATATATAAAATATATATAACTATGAGAGTGCAGCTGACTGAGTATATTCATACTTCTTTAACAGATTCTCTCACAGTACTAATAAGAACTCAGATATCACAGACACTGAATACTGAAAGTATCAGTGTGAAGACTTCTGCATTTAATACAGTTATCATAAGCATGTTCAGACAGGGTGACCGCTCCACCACGAACTCGCTCGATTTTTCGAATAAGAACCCGCCGATAGATCCATCGAAAAGCCCTCGATCATACGAGCATTCTGACCCCATCGCCGACCGCATACCCTGTGTGGTGGTGGAGTTATCCAGCCAAACGTGAACCGGACGTTGTTCAAAACTCCTGTGTGGGAGTATCCCCCGTTCTCCCCTACCACACCACAACCCCGGGCCAAAGTGCCATACAAATTGTAAGGTGAAGAGACCTAGCCATATGCACCAATCTTCTCGATTTTGGAAGATCCCCGATCTGTAGTTGTGGAGATATCTGAGGAGCGACCTCCGCGAAAACCCTGTCCATCTTTGATGTTCCAAAACACCAACGCCAAGTCCCACCGTTGTACCGCCCTTCCTAATCTGGCCCATCCCCGGCAGAAAAATACAAAAAGATACCTCGGCGATAATATCAAGCACATAACCAACGGCCACTTCTGAAGTGCAACCTCCGCGGTCTGTCTTCAGTGTATCTGAACATCAACGCCAAGTCTCGCCCTCGTACCACCCCTCTCAATCTGGCCCATCCCCGACAGAAAAGTACAAAAAGATACCTCAGCAACTGTACTCAATACATAATCGGCAGACACGACAACTATAAAATCAGTATACCCCAAGGTCTGACTGAGCCTTTGATCCCTGCACAGTGAGATATATTAAATCTAGTTTTAATACCTCAATATTCAATAGATTCTGCAAGGGATTGAGAACAGCAACACTAGATTTCTATTGAATTTGAGAATTAACTCTATATTGATATAATCATTGACAAAGTCTTCTATTTTGAGATATAAATAACCAGTTCCTCTACATCCTGCTGGCAATATTTATATTATCATATAGAAACAGACTTATATTCTCTATAATATCAAGACTCTGAAGAGGGAAAGTCTTGATAGGGGGTATACAGTAGTGCATATCTTAGCAGTTTCTATCTCATTCTTCTGCAGCAGTTAATGCAAAAAAAAGATTTTAGAAATAGTTTTTTACTTCTCTTAAAAAAGTAAGGTGTTTTTCTCTGGGTTTTACACAATATTCTTACAAAGAATTAAAAACAGAGTTGTTTTCTGTCATAATTTCATATTCTTTTAAGTAAGAATTACTTTTTCAGTGACTGAAGAGCTTTCATTAATACTTAATTCTTTTTTACACTCTTTATTAACTGATTTGAGTTGCACACCTGTTGTGCGAGGAGAATTGGATAATTTAGAATAAAATTAAATAGTTTTAATCAATTTCTCTTCAAAAAATTGATTTATTTTTTGTCAGTTTTTCTCTCAAAAACTGTCATATCATCTGGTTTACTATCAATTGATATCATACTTTTTCTCACTGTATCCCAAGAAAGAGATTGTAAAGATTTTATTGATTTATCTTAAAAATCAATTTTAGTTTATTAGATTCTCTTCAAAAATCTAATCTAGTTACTGAACTAGTGTGAAAAAAATCAGGTGTTTTATACACAAAAGTCTGCAATTCTTCTTTTGAAATAGTCTGATCAACTTTTCAATTGAAAACAGACTTAGAAACCTCTTAATTGAAACAGTCTGACCAACTTTTCAATTCAAAAGAGTTTAATAAATATCTCAATTGAATTAGTCTGACCAACTTTTCATTGAGTAAGAACAATGAGTTCAAAAGTACACTCAGTTGATGTGGAAAAAGATGCTTTCTCAAATGCTATTCCTGAGATTGAAATTCTGAAGAGAAGAAAGAAAGAAGAGATAGAGAAACAACAAGTTCTTGAAATACAGAAACTTGAAAAAGCAAGTAAAATTCTTGAAAAGCAGTGTCTGAGTGAGATGAATGAAGAAGTTCTGTTAATTCTTCATGCTCAGGCTAGACAACTACAGAAAGTGATCAAGTTCAAACTTGGAATTTCAAACACAGTTCAAAAAACTTTGAAAATTTCTAATACAATCACTGACTCTTCAGTTTGCTCTTCTTTCTTTTCTACTTCTTCTTCTTCTCCTTCTTTGAATCAGAAGAAAACATATGCTCAAGCAGCTGAATCTGCTGTCTCTAAATCTGCTGTCTCTAAACCTAATGTCTCAAAACCTGCTCAAAATTCTGAGAAAACTGAGAAGAATACTGCTCATGCCTCTATTCATAGAAAAGTGAAAAAGAAAATGCAAAAAGAGAAAAACTTCCAAATCTCCAGAAATAGAAGACTTATTCTCAAAGTCTCAAATCAGGACATTCTGCAAAGAAACAAGCTAAACTCAAATCTCATTTTCAGAATCAGAAATGAAATTAACCAGCAGTTCTTTTCTCAGTTAATGACTGATATTGAAGTTCAAAAACCAGTTATAGCTTCAATTGAATCATCATTCTTTGAAAACTCCATCATTCTGACTACAATGCCTGAATTCAGTGCTGAATTCCTTATTCAGAATGAGAATCTCTGAAAGTCAGCAGTAGAATCTTTGTTAAACACAACAATTCTATCTGAAAGAGATGAAAAGTGAGACAAATTCATTCTTCATGATATTCCAGTTGAAATTTTTGACTGTGAAGAAGAAATGCTACTTCTCAAAAATGAATTGAAAGAATACAACTCTATTCAACTGAGAAAGGAGCCTGTATGACTAAATTCAATTGAGTTCAGACAAAGCAGGAGAAATGCCTCTGTTCTAGTATATATAAAAACACTTGAACAGTCAAAGATCTCTGAAGTAAGAGTAGCAGGTTTGAAAATGAGAGTTCATGAATACAAAGACTCAAGGATGAACCTCAAAGCTCAAACACAGTGTTCAAACTGTCAAAGATATGAACACTTTGCAATCTCATGTTTTAGAGACTCAAAATATGCATTCTGTGCCAGAGATCACAAAACTAGTGAGCATAAATATGAAACATGCTCAAAAAGAGGTGAAATTTGTCAACACACTCTGCTTAAGTGCTCTAATTGCAAAGAAAAACATGCATCTAGCTCAAAAGAATGTATGTTTGCTTCTAGAACTCAAAAGAACTGGAGAAAAGATGAAGCTCAAAGTCAATCTAGAACTGAAGAGAAGAGTCAAGCCAGTAAACTCACAACTGCAAGCTCAAAAAGAAGAAACTCTCAACTATCTAAGTCTTCAAACTCCAACTCTCCAGCTAAATGTAAACAGAACTTGAATCCTCAAACTTCTGTTAAGATTAGAGAATTGAGAAATGACTCTGATGATAAACTAGATATAATGCAAGCAGTTGAGATTCCTACTTTTCAGAACAGTTATAATCTACTATCTGATGATAGTGATTAGATTCTACTCTACTCTCTTTTAGTATGAATATACAACAAAAACAACAAAAAAAGTTTAAAAACTCTTCAAAAATCACATTTATTCAAAATAATGTGAATAGAAACTCAAATTGTATTTATTCTTGTCTTCAAATTGCATTTGAACAAAAAGTTGATTTTATACTGCTTCAGGAGCCGAATTTTGATGCTGAGCAAAAATATGTTATTTCTCATTCAAGCTACTACTGCTTTTTACCTCAAAAGTCTGAGATAAAGTCAAGAGTAGTGATCTATGGAAGAAAGAGATCAAGATATCAATTTAATCTAAGATTTGATATCATGTCTGACCCTGATATTCTGGTGGGTGATATTATAGATAAAGAAAATGAGTTTGATACTATACAGCTCATAAATATCTATAATGAAAAGTCATTGAAGGAAAATAACAATATCTGGACAATTGATAGAGGATTTCTGAACATAACTCCATCAAGAAACTCTATAATTGCAGGAGATTTCAATGCACATCATCCCTGATGGAATTCAGAATGCAAGAGAGCAGTGAGAGCTGATAATCTGATTGAATGAACCTTTGAGCATTCAATAGATTTGGTTAATAAGTCTGATCAACAAACATTCTTTAGAAAAGGCATGAAACAGAAGTCTATTATAGATCTAATCTTCATGTCACAAAATCTAATGGAAAGAAGACTTGTAAACTGGTTTATTGATTCAAATGAGACATCAGGATCAGATCATGAGATTATTCAATTTGATATTGAACTGAGTGAAAAACAAATGAGTGAAAATCCTCTTCTCTCTAATCAGTATAACTTTGAAAAAGCTGATTGGAAAGCAGTTGAAGAAAGCATAAAACTGCTAAAATCTGAAAGACAGAATGAGCTATATTGGAATTCTGGTCAAGATATCTCAAATGAAATGCTTGAGAATAGAGTGAAGCTTATTACATCTATTATTCTAACAAGTGTTAGAGATAATATTTCAAAAAGAAAATCTTCTGAGTATTCAAAACCTTGGTGGAATGAGAATATCTCATCTAAAAGGAAAGAATTAGCTACTGCTAGAAGAGATTGGAAAAATGATGTAATATCTGATGAAGAGTTCAAAGCTGTCAGAAATGAATATTTTTCAGATATCAAAAGAGCTAAAACAGACTGCTGGAATAAATTTCTTGAAGAAGCACAAGAGAAGGAAATTTTTAAAGCTTTTAACTATACTAAAACAAGAAGTGTAGCAAAACTTCCAGCCTTAGAATATGAGTTTCAGAATGAATCATATACAGCAAACTCTTTTGAGGAAAAATGTCAAGCTTTCATGAGAATTCTCTTTCAGAACTCATCAGACTCAGATTCAGATTCAGAGGAAGAGAATATATCACTTCTCAACTACATTGATGAAAATGACTGGGAATGGCCTGATCTTACACAAGATGAATTAAAGTCAGCTATCTTCTCAAGTTCTGTTAAAACTGCTGCAGGTCCTGATTCAATTAATCACTTGATTATTCAAAATACATATTCCTACTTAAAGAATGAATATTTTGAGCTCTTTTTCAATCTCTTGAAAAATGGATATCATCCTGAATGCTGGAGAGAAGCCACTGGAGTGATTCTTGCAAAACCTAATAGAAAAACTTCAATTCCTAAGTCATATAGAGTAATATCTCTATTGAACTGTTTAGAAAAGGTTTTAGAAAAGATAATAGCTACTCGACTATCTTTTATAAGCTCTATAGATGATTCTCTTTTATTCAGTGAATAAATGAGAGGTAGAAAACAGTGTTCTGCAATTGACACTGTTCTCTCAGTTGTTCATGATATTCAAATAGCAAAGCATGAGAGTCTGGTCTCAACTGCAGTTTTTATTGATATAAAGAGAGCATTTGATCATGTTTCAAAGTCAAAGTTAATTCAGACATTGAAGATATTAAAACTGCCACTTTCTCTAATAAAATGAGTTAACTGTTTTATGTCTAAAAGAATTATACAACTCTTCTTTGATGGAATGAAACAAGACAAGACTGAGATAAAAATAGGAGTACCACAGGGATCTCCAATCTCACCCATTTTATTTGCAATATACACTGCATATCTATTCAAAAATAGAAATATGAGAATAGTGCGATCTCCGAGTTATGTGGATGATATTGGTCTAGTCTACAGCTCAAAAACTATCAAAGAGAATTTGAAAGTAATTGAAGAAGCTGCAAAGGAAATCTTTGTTAGAGCAGATATCAATCAAATTCAATTTGATATGAATAAAACTGAGTTAATTCATTTCTTTCCTAGACTCAATGAGAAAGAACTATCTCTAACTCTTTTAAATAGAGAGATTAAACCCAGTGTAAATGTCAAATGATTAGGAGTATGGTTAAACTCCAAGTTGAATTTTAAATATCACATTCAACAAAGAACTGTCAAGGCAGAAAGACTATTGAACAACATAATCAGACTATCAAATACAGAGAGAGGTCTATCCTTTCAGGCTATGAGACAGTTATATATAGCCTGTATCACATCAGTAGCTGATTATGGAGTTCAAGTTTGGTGGAATAATCAAGGGAATTTCACTGAACTCTTTCAAAGTCTGCAAAACAGAGCCTTGAGAAGAATTCTGAGAGCATTCAAATCATCTTCTATTAAAGCAATGGAAATTGAAGCTTCAATTCCTCCTCCTGCTATTAGATTTGAAAAGGCCTGTATGAACTATGCTCTGAGAGTTGTAAAGATGAGCTCAAATCATATAATCAGAGAAAGAGTCTCTTCTTCATTTCCATCAATTAACTCTGGAAATGAACTGGATTGAAATAGATTTCTTGATTGGAATGAAAATAATTCTTCAAAGAAAATGCCTTCTCAACTGTACAGACTATGCTCTCTGATTAAAAATCAATTTTCTTCTTTAAATGTTGAAAAAGTTGATCATGAGAAGTTATCTCCCTGGAGAGAAAAGCTTGAATCTCTTATAGACTTACAAATAAGTGAACTATCAAAAGAGAAAGAATATGAACAGCATTTGAAGAGAATTTCTACAATCAATATAAAAGACTCTATTCTGGTTTATTCAGATGGCTCAAAAAATGAGAACTTGAATAGATTAGGCGCAGGCATTGCTTATACTGAAGATAATATTAATTTTATCTCAGATTTCTGGAATCTAGGCTCTGAATGTGAAGTCTTTGATGCTGAACTATTTGCAATAGTGAAAGCTTTCAAACTCATTGAAATAAAATCTCATAAAAGAGGAAATTGTTTGAAAGAGGCATGGATATTCTCTGATAGTCAAGCTGCTTTAAAAAGACTTAGAAATAGTCAGATTCATAATAATCAAATGAATCTTGAACTGATCTTAAACTCTGTTTTGAAAATTCAAAAGAGAAGAATATCAAAGCTGATAATTCATCTACACTGAGTTCCTGCTCACATGAATATTCATGGTAATGAATTGGCTGATTCAGCTGCAAAAAAGGGTGCAGAATTAAGCAGATCTATTCAAAAAATTATATCCTGGTCTTTTATAAAGAGAAAAATAAAAGAATCTTGTTTAGACAAGTGGAATGAAAGCTGGCAGAAACAAAAGAAGAGTATACATTATTCAAGATTTGAAACAAAACCCAAGTGGAAATCTTGTTCAATTAAATGTAAAAAGAAAATATTCTCATCTATAATACAGCTGAAACTAGGACATGGCTATTTCAAATCTTATATACAAAGATTTGATGATAGATTTGACTCAATAGAATGCTCATTCTGCAATACAAATGAGAATCCTGAGCATATTGTAATGCACTGTGCATTATACAATAGTCTCAGAGCCAGATTGAAAGAGAAGTATGATCTAAATCAATTAAATATGAGATTCTTATTCTCAACTGAGACAGGAATTAAATACTTAATAGACTTTCTATCAGAAACTCAAGCAGCTACAAGAAAATGGCTAAATTCAGAATTATCTGAGTATGAAGAGGAGGAAATAAATCAGATATAGTCTGTTAAAACAGCTATACACTCTCTTTTAATAATTTGTTTTGTTATAGTCTCTCTTTACTTTATCTTTTTCTTTATCTTTTTCTTTCAATTTCTTTCTATCTATTTATTTAATGTGTCTATCTTTGAGACTGTGTTCTTTTTCTCTTTTCTTTTGTCATGATATTGTCAAATG